AGCACCTTGTGAAGGTTTATCCAGGGAAGTATTTACCTTGCATATTTCGTACGTGTGTATTACTGTGTTTCGGTTTTTGTAAGGTTTTGAAGGGGGCTGGTGAATTACGCCACACGGGGTTTGTGTACTTACGACAGTGCCAGTGCACCTCATATCTGCAACAGTTATGGACAAGCGTGTCGCTTACCACTAAACGATAAACTTGTTCGTCCTGTCACTTGGTTTCGAAAAAAAAAGAGTTAAGGAAGTAGTCCTCGATGCGTTGTTTGCAGGAACCAAAAAAAGGTTTTAAGGGGAATTGCACAGTCTGATAACAGACATAGTCGGAGATATGAGAGCTAAAATTGAATAAGTATACAAGCTTAGAAATGTCATACTTATGATCTATTTCATAAATTACATAACAAAATGGTGATAAGCATTACTCCACAATACAGTCACGATGATCAAGTCCCATTGTTGACGACATAGTGATATTTGCTCATTCATACCTACATAGCGTCGATCAGTATTGCTCAATGATCAATACCGCGTGGGAAACTGGGCCACGCACAATGATAGCTTTGTTTTATGTGCAGAGGAACTGAATTTGTTTCAGGTAGGAAAAAATATTTGTATAGTTTTATTCTATTCATTTTGTAGTTCTACATATGGATGTTTCAAACTGTTCAAAGAAAATTGTAGGGGCTCTTTTACTTATGATTTTGAAAGTATTTTCATCTTGACATACTGGTCAAATTAAATCTGCAACTCATCGACTGGTCATCGACGTAATCTGTTCAGTAATGGGTATTTGTTTCTTACGGTACAGGATTGACAGTACACGTTTCGATAGCTTTATAGAAAATTTAGTCCATGTTCTAACACAGATAAACCGACTATTGCAATATTATTTAATTATTTGGCACCAAATTAGATGAGATTTAGTAGCAGTAGAGCTCCTTGTGAAAGAGTTCGTCCAAGGAAGTATTGCCACCTTACCTGTTTCTGCCGCTAAGCAGTAATGTGAGCAATGCTGCTGCTGATGATGGTGAAATTACAGGCACATGTGACTTTTGAACTTGTATGTCTCGGGTTGGCGGGTGCAGTGGCAGTGCCTCGCGATTTAAAGCTGTGAGTGACACTGCAACTGATACGGGCGGAGGGCGATGGCAACCGTTAGTCATTTAGTAAAAGTGAGCGTGCCTACAGCTCCGGTACCTATCTGGAAAATAGGGAGGGTACTGTACGAACAACCGGGGCGGCTCACCTAACGCACTTGCCTTACAGAGAACCGGACGAAGTCCGTGCAAACCGGCTGATCTGGGGTTAGGACCTGATTTAGATGGTCCCTGCGTGGGCATGCTCGCGCAGGTCATAGTGCCCTTCTCGTACACCCTAAGGGTCGGTAGGAAGGGTGACTATAATCAAAACTAATGTAGAAAGATGAGGCTGTTAAGAGCAGAAAGTACCAACAGGCACACGACTTGTTTGTTTCGTCATGTATCATAAAAAAATTCATAATAATTCCCTGTACTACAAGTACCAGAGCAACCTAGATCACACTAATTAAGAAAACTTCGGTGCCCAAATTGATTCTACCGAGAGTGTTATTTCTTCTTAGAAAAGTAACGTCAACTCGAGGAAATTTATAGGCGAAAGCTAGTTGCAACTACTTCAAATTGCAGTAACTTCGTAGTCCAGGAATAACATCTGCGATTTGCAGCAATGTTGGCCAAGGCCTAAACACAAAGGTTTCACTTAAGGTATTCCATTTAGCGTATCTTCGGTAAATTACCTGCGTAACTCCAACGAGGCGCAATGGACTCTTTGCTTTTGAAGGTCTTATAGCTTTTTCATACAAATGTAATTGCGCATTGAACTCCCATCTCACCTGATGAAAAGTGACGATGAGGTCGACGATGGAGCATGCGTACCTAAGTAATGCCTATTATAACCGTTCGCTATATAATGTGGAAGCGGAACGCTACGTGCGAATCGCCTGTCGCCACGTCTAGTCCCCCGATGATGGAAAGGGGAAGGCCGAATAAAATTATGCAATTCCATCGCACACTCTCCGTGATATATCCTGTAAAATACCGATAAGCAGGCAACTTTGCGGCGGTGGCAGCAGTACTCCATACGCGACTGAAATTGTGCATGATACAGCTGAAGCAACTGTCCCGGTGTAAAGTAACGCCTCTGGAAAGGATGCCAAGCTTCTTTGATGCATTTTTGGCCAGGGATTCAATGTATCTGCCGAAGTTCAAATAGGATGCCACGTCCATTCCAAGTGGCTGGTGTAGGTGTAGGGGACTCCGTTTTGTGGAATAGACACGCCTGCGTTTTGATAGCTTCGGTTTTAAGAGAAATTTCCCTTAAGAATTTCTAAATTTGATCTAACACTGCCTAATTGTAGCTTATTATTTAAGTCGCCAATACAGCTAAGAATATTTCAACTTCTAGTTTAAAAGAGTCAGCAAGAGTCCTTAATCTCGGGTCCCACGTGCCTTGTAAAAGCAAATATAATAAACAAAACATTTTTTTTGTTGATCCAAGCACTTTATTTCAAAATACGGGCAACGGCACTTCAAACTTGAAGCCTGATATTGCTGAGCAACAATTTTTAAGCATCGTAATGCCTATCACTTTACGCAACAACGATAGAATTTAGTTTAACAACGTATCCACACCATATTATATCTGGCAACGTTTCACTACAACTATTGTGACCTAGGCACTGCTCGCCTTTACACTTGCGATTTAAATTCAAGTTTATACCACTTAGAGGATGGTCCAGAGTCCAAGGTAATATATATTTTATTTTCCAAACTTGTCAAAACATTATTATTCAGTATTTTCTATATGTACTTTCGTCTTAATGAAACTTATACCTTATTCCTCAAAAGCTACATATAACCTGTATTACTACAATTACCTATCATAATGTAAGATGGAAACTCATAAAACAGCATTCCTACTGGAATCAATTTACCAACTTAATTTACCTACAAAATGAAGAGTGTAAGGTTCATGGGACCTATCGAACCAGTCGTAGGGAGCTGATTGTTCAGAGCCGGTATATTACTGGGAGAGGGGAGAGAGGGATGCGCGGGCGCAGGGAACAAAGCGCGGGCGTTGACCTCACGACCGCACTCACCTCTGGATGCACTCTCCTTTATTTTATGCCTCCTTTACTAATTTCTAGAACGTGGTACCTAACACTCAACACCAAAAAGTTAAATAAGCATAGAACCGTATTGTTATAATGATTGAGCATCCAGTTGTCATAAGAAAATATTAAGCTGACAATTATTTCTATGTTTTAATACTGACGTAGAAAATTGATAAATAAAACAAACCCAAATGAAATCACTTTTTGAAAATAGAATGAGTGTACAGTCGCCAGCAACGACTGTCTGTATACTCACTATAGAGGTAAAGATTGGAATAATTCAAAATATGACAAAGAACACTGGGTACATATTAAACAAAATTCTACAAACATTCTTTCATAAAAATGAAACAATTGTTGATCGAGACCTGTATTTTTGTGACATTATTTACATAGGTGCACCGGTTCTGCTCAGATATAAATTTTGAAACAAACGCATTTAAAAACCTGGTAATAGGAACTTCATTTACGAAAACTGTAATTAACAAACTGTTTTTATTTTTCATTTATTCTCAATATGTTATTTGTTATTTATTTGTTAGTATAAAAAACATCCAAACATCAGAGCGATAATATTGATCTGCATTTATTATTTGTCAAAACCCAGGAGACCTGCAAAGCACCATAAAAAATTATCAAATTTTACGTTCTATAAATCTACTTGTGTGTTGTCCTTCACCGTTAGTCAGAGGTATTAGGCACTATATACTAAACATAGACATTTTTTTCTATGGCCGTTATGTGGCGCTATGAATTATTCACATAAAATCAAAATACAAACCATCGTGTTCATAAAAGACATTCATTATAAAGAGAACATTAGCTCGCAGAAAATCAGTAAATGTTTCAAAACAAATGACGGTCGATACGATAATTGTTTGAGAAGCTAAGAAAATATATAATAACCGCGGGTAATGCAAAAGCAAAAGAAAAGAAGGCCGATTTTACTCCGCCATTTAAACTTATGTCATTGATTCGCATAGTTGTTTTGTGTTTGGTTTCTCCGTGATCGTAATGGAAACTGCAATAGAATCCCAGAAGCTTCTTGATACTGCTGTGCAATACGAAAAAGATGCTGGAAAGTGAGTCCAATTTGTATAACAATAGTTTTTTTTTACTTAACTGACTACGAGAACAATCAAACGGTATCGTTAAATAATCAAACGAGAATTTAATACCACTAGGTCACTGTGAAACTACCTCAAATTCATACACCAAATCATTTAGAACATGGTGAATGAGCATCGTCCGTGTGTGTTTAACCCGTACATGAGCAGTAATCGTAAAATTAAAATAAGTGATGGTAATAGTAAGGCATTTACCCTAAAATTAAAATATCAAAATATGACAATGACGTATCCTGTTTCGCTATATGAATCTCAAAAAAAACAACTACGGGGTTTTAAAGAGCAATTTCCAAGTGATTTCTGTATAGTTGTCGCCTACTGGTTTTCCATAGAGAAGTATCAATCAACAACGTAGTGATAAAATTCAATGATTTACATAGAACATTTTAGATTGAATCAATATGCACTAACGGCATAAAGAAAAGTTGTGACATTTCTGTGAGCGATGCTATTTAAATAGGTACTGACTATGGGTTAATTTAAGTTTTACTGTAATCGCGAAGTTAGCTACCATGCATATCAACAATAACCTATATCTGAGTTGAGGTGTGGTGAGACATTAGCACGATATCCTAAGATTGCCTGGAAGAAATTGCTACTTAGAAATTAGGCCGCCTGTTGTACATTGGCTTACTCTGTGATACCTACATTACTGTAATTTTAATGTGCAGTAAAGAATATTTCATTCGTTCATTCATTCACGATGATGATTGTTTCAGAGGGGAGAAGCTGTACGTGACTGCGGACAAGCGCGGCGAGAAAGGAGGATGTAAGCGGCCACTCTGCTGGACCCTGCTCGCGTTGGTAGTAGCTGCCATCATCGCTCTTATTGTTCTTGCTGCTAGTAAGTGTTATTTGTAAACCTTTTTGAAGGTATTATCAAATCGATCGTACAGACCACAGTTGTTGCGAATTTCTGACAATCTGCATAGATTCAAATATCGGCATCCGCATTCATCGATGCTGATTGCGGATGTTGGAGTCACATGACCTAAAAGGCACGTTGGAGTAATTTAAAAACCTTCCAGAAAAGACTGTAATCCTTAGTTCAAACGGCATTGTCCTGCACATTTTTTAACATATTCGATTATAAACGGTTAGATATCGGGGTGCTCACACAATGTATTTTCATGCGTTTAAAAAACGGATAGGTGAGAACACATCTGTAATAGATCCACACTTTGTTACACTTTTCATATTAGCATAGAAGACGCCAACGGCTTGGCAGAAGAACAGAAGGTATTGGGGTTATCCAATGTTTCAAGAAGCAGTGCGTACAAACATATTAATTGGAAAACGTGAGAAATGATGAAAAAAAACGGGCCTTTGTTCTATAAGATATCAATAATTCGTTGTCTACTAGAGATTTATTTGTATGAATAAAATTATGCGCGCCCTCTTTCCAAAAGATATTTCAATACTAGACGCCGCTTGTTCGGTGACTATTCGATAAAAAACGTATGACTTCGCGCCGTGTGAAAGAGATGCATTAATACATTAATACTTTGCGCCACTTTGCACACACACCTAATACGTTAAAGAAATACGTTTAAAATACTTTTGATACGAGTGTATAAAATATAGTTTATACTATCGTGATATAATCTGGCTTTTCTACCAAAATTAGTGCGTGTTGATATAGATAATATATATTTAAAATATACATAAAAATTTAAGTCTTTCTTTTATCGTAATCCAATGTTTAACGATTCCAGCTGGAGTTCTGTTCGCGAGCTCGCCGACGCCACTTGATCAATACAACACAACAATATCGTCAGCGCGGGCGCTCGGCGGACTCGGAGTCGGAGAAACTCACGACCACGGAACTACAGAACATGACCACAGTGCTCACGACCACAGTGCACACGACCACAGTGCACACGACCACAGCACGCACGGCCACAATGCACACGACCACAGTGCACACGATCACAGTGCACACGACCACAATGGACATGACCACGATGACTCAAATCATGAGCACACCGACAACAACCACGACCACAACCATGTGGACCAAAAACACATAGGACATGATCACAGGTACGTCTAATATCCACACGATATTTTCCATGGCACTAAGATCTACCACATCGCCAGTAAATGCACCTTTTAACCTTCAAAGCTCTTTGGTCAAGGATTGTACAGACGAAAGCCAGCTATCCGCCAATTTCGCGTGATAAAACACAGATCTCGGTAATCGTTAGTAGAATGAGATTTTCGAAATGTTTTGTTTATTTTCACAGTGAGCACGATCCTTCGCCCAGTCCTGAGCCAACGCCTGAGCGGTCTATAAACGACGCAATGAATCCTGCTTCAGACGAAAGTACCGACTTGTCCATGTATGGTAAGTAAGCTCTTACAATCATTTCCTATACGGAGTATACATAATCATTCACTGGATAGACGACTGTACTTGTAGATATGCAAACTTCATTGTTCTTTTTATAGTATAAGTCTGCAATTTGTCCCGCAAGTCACCTTAGGCGCTCTAAATTTCATCTTCTAATGGTCACAACAACTATAATTCTTGTTTACTTGTTGTCTAGTTTGAAAAAGTTCTTACGAATGTAACTTGACATATTCAATTATGTATTGATATTGATAATATTAACTAGCATTGCTGTTCCTTTCAACAGTACCTAATATCGGCACCATTTTATTGAACATTGATTTTATGTTATGTTACCATTAACTAAATGTGATATACGTATATATTATGCCGCCTCGGATACTGTTAATTGTTTACAGGTTATCATTGCTCATAAATCATAGTAAGTTGTGATGGTCAAATAATTTCAAGCTCAAATAATGCATACTTCAATGATCTTATATGCGTACTTGGAATTAGGTGGTTTCTGCGTAGTTTGCTATAAAGAGATCATAAAGCTACAAAACTCACTCACTCGTAAATTAAATAAACTGCTGTTAATTTTATTTCACTTTGACTAATGCCTTATTAGTATATTATTCCAAAAAAGATGTCGGTTTTGTAGCTGTAACAAAGATTTTTTTCCTTTTTCAGTGCCAAGAACATTGGAGGGTGAACTGAAAGTGGACAACGAAGAATTTAGACAGGCCTTTCAAGACCCGGAGAGCGAAGAATATCTACAGTTCGCTAACAACTTCGTCTTTGCGCTTAAGAACGCCATCTTCAACAGAAATGACGTGGAAAATGGCAAAAACGAAGTCATGGTCGAAGTCGTACAGTTAAGGTATATAAGATAAGTTTAATAATATTAATTATGTCACTGTTTCACTTATTACGTATTTCCAAAAATACGCTGCGGTGTATCGATATCATTGACATTAAAAATAAATCGTTTGATTACAGGCCAGGATCGGTGGTAGTGAAGTACAGGATCCATTGGAAGCCAAAATTCGTCGATGAAAACACACACGGGGACTGGTTAACGGCAGAGACCTTAAAAAAGAAACTCGACACTTACCTTAACAGTAACGGCAGAATGATAAGTGTTTACCACATTGCTGATGACAAAATAATCGCAAGTCGCGTAATGGACCTTTGTCAAATTAACAAGAACGATTGTGAACATGGCTGTGTGTTCGATGAAGTTGCCCTCGATTTTACATGCACTTGCCCACGAGGTATGTTCCTTAATATTGACAATCCCAAAACATGCATGTCCTTATTCGACAATTCTAATGATAGCCAAGCAAAAGATACCTCGAAGGAGAAGGAATTCAGGGTGCTAGACTTAGACTTGGTAGGTACGACAAGAAAGTCGATACCAGTAGATGAGCCAAATATAGAATCTGTTCATGTAATACAAAGCGGAAACACATTTGACTGGAAAGATTCAACCGGACACGAAATTCATCAAACAACCACCGAATCTGAGGCGGATTACAAATTTTCACATGTTTTCGGGCACCCCATAGACCCGAAGGCGGAGCAAGAACCAACACCTGAGCCTGAACCTGAACCTGAATCAAAAGCTGAACTCGAACCCGAATCAAAAGCTGAACCTGAACCAAAAGCTGAACTTGAACCTGAACCAAAAGCTGAACCTGAACCCGAACCAAATGCAGAACCTGAACCCGAACCCGAACCAAAAGCTGAACCTGAACCCGAACCCGAACCAAAAGCTGAACCCGAAAATGGCCAAAAAGCTGAATCCGAATCCGAATCAAAACCTGAACCAGAACTAACATTACAGCCTGAACCTGCTCCAGTTGCTGAACCAGAGCCTACATCTGAACCTGAACCAACAGCGGATCCGAAACTCGAATCCGAATCCTCATCAGAAAATGAATCAAAACAAGTTAGCGACAGTGAAACGAAACACAGCCCAGAAACAGCCGCCGCACCAGAACCTACGATAGAGCCAAAAGTGCATCCAGAACCAGCACCTGTAGTAGAACCCAACTCTGAAATAAAACAAACTAGTGAAACAACCGAGAAACCGACATACTCTGTTTTTGAACATTATTCAGAAATAATAAACAAATCTCATAATTGGGATTATTTGCAAAACATGGACGACCAGCAAAATTCTAAAGAATTCGAAACAACTCATTTACCAGTTACCGAAGCGGAGATGCCACCCATTAATTATATTCCAGTAACAGAGGAACAACCCGATGAAACTGTGACAATCTTACAAGATTATAGTGGTGAAAATAATAACATGGAAGTAATAATGCCCAAAACAACTAGTGTCAATCACATGAATAGTACAGAATTTGATAATGACTGGCTTGACCCAATACCTATCACCAACGATGAATTAAAATTTTTAAATGATGAAACAAATACGTCTGACACAAACACGCAATTCACGAATGACATGCATGAGAATATGAATATGGGAAAAATTCACGAAACTCAGGCAAGATCTTTCAAGAAACAAGATATGGAATATCAAGTCACGGCTGAAACTCCTGATGATAATAAAGATGATTTTAGAGGAGATACTAAAACCACCGAACAAGGAACTATTGAAGAATCCAATTCACGTCCAGCAATTGCATTGTTTGCGTATCAGGATAAACTAGACAAAAATCGTACAACCACCTACGTACCTCCAAGTACAACACCTAAACTCGAAGAAATCATGGTTGATGATGAAACAGATAAACCAACAGAAACAGAAATAGATATAGAAAATCGAACAGAAAGTAAAACACTAAATAATGAAATAGAAAAGAGTAAAGCAATCGATTCAAAAAACGAGCCCTCGTCAAAAACTGAAAAATCAGATATGATGACAAAGAATGATATAGCGAGACTACTGCAGCCTCACAAAGAAATTACTACAACAGCATCTACTACTCGAGATTCAGAATTTTCCCTGAAAAATGGTATAGACTCGGGAATGGAGAAGCAATTGATGGAAGTCTTAGACATCAAAAATACATCTAATAACAAATATGATTCGCCAATGCAGAAAGAAAAAGATCTAGTTGATGAAAATGTAGACATCACGTTCGATGCCATAAATATGCTATACAATCGTTCAACAAAACCTACCGAAAACAAAGCTCAAGTCATATCCATTGCCGAAATGACTACTGAAACAACTGATTCAGATTGGCTAACGGAAGCAGTGACGGAAATCGATTACGAAGAGATGAAGGAGAACATAAAACCAATTATAACTTCGGAAACTGCGCAAAAACCAGAGGACGTAATAATGAGAGGCGCACTGCCAAAGTATGACTTTGAACCCGATTACTTAAATAATTTCGGACCAAGTCGAACCTCAGAGCAAGACGAGCCTCATTACGGAATGATACATGATTACGACAATGAAGATTCTAGAGTAAAACGAGTTAATATTGATCTCAAAGAATCACGTAATAGCCGCTCAGAAGAACAGCTCAATAAATTCAGTACGAGTAAACCTTCTATAAATGAAAAACATGTAACAACCTTAATGTCAACAGATACATCGTCTGAAGAAGAAAGTAAATTAACAACTAACAGAGCTGATGAGATGACCACCTTTTCGTCATCGGCAAAAGTCGTTGAACCAATAAACGACAAAGTATTCAACAATGAAAAAGAAAGCACACTAAATGTCACTACAGAACCTACAAAAACGACAGATTTAGTAACAGAAGTAAATGAATTTGATAAAATTTTGAAATTCGTAGAAGGAGAAAAAAATCAAGACGATGCAATAGAAACCACTACAGTCGGTCAATTTATCTACAATTCTGCTGAGAGATATCTAGACATATCTACTGCTAATAACAATACGGAAAATAACAATCCAGCTCCAGTTTGGGAAGACATCAGTGACAATACAAAATCAATTTTATTCAAACCTAGTACAGTGCGACTGGAACAAGATTCATCTGAAGACAGCATGTCTAAAAATGTAACCTCCACTACAGCGTTTACACCACTAACAGTCATAATCACAAATGGGAATATATCATCTAATGAAACGGACAATGCAAGCTTAACTTTTCAAAAGAACAACTTAAATGTAACAATATACGAAGTGCCAGGTCACAACAGTTCTATTGCCACTTCGGGACACTCTCATTCAGCAGAATATGATGACCATGAGACTGAAATGAATCCGTTTTTACCTGAGGTAGAAAATAATAAACACCTAGTTAAAAAACTTCAGGAAGGTCATGATTTGGAATCGTTGAACGCAAACGAAACACAAAATGAAAATGCTGAAGAGCAACAATTTCGATCTTTAAATACTCAGTCTGTCGACGAAGGTACAATGAAGGTATCCAAAGATAGAAACATGACTAATAATGATGGAAAAAAGGTGACGAACGTCAATTCCAATGAAAACGCAGCAGAAATCCAAGTACATAAATTCCAAAAGCACAATAACATAGCTACTCAAGAACGTCACAATACAGCTGAAAACAAAGTGTCATCATTTTTGTCAGACACAGATGATTTGGACAAACCTTTACCGAGTACCTCCGCTCCCAGTGTGTCTGCTAGTATAACAGATGATACTGAATACCTAAGTGTAGTTCCTATCAAAAATTTAGATGGAAAAGCAACGTTAAAAAAGAAGAACAAAAGTGATAGCATCGAGGAGCTCAATGACATAAGTGATTCACGGAAAAAGAGTGATAGGAGGACATTAGATGCAAAGAAACTCGGTTCAGTTACTAACAATGAAGCGTAGTACGCGCGTAAAATGTAGATAGGTTTAAGATTGTATATTTCTGTTTTTATTTTTATGGAATGCTGTGATGCTGTTGAACACTTTTAATGCATAACAGACCTGGAGTTTGCTGATGGCGTGTTGTGAGTGTGATTCTAGATATTCAATTAGCAATATTTCGTGTGGATCGCAGCGATCTTCAGCCAATAACATAAAAAGAAACTATCTTTTATTAGACTAGTCAAACTTAAGGAAAGTCATCAACGCGAGAATTTTAGATAATTTATTGCTACAAATATAAAACCTAAGTATTACCATTTGACCTCAAAATAACATTTGAGTTGTTCTATAAAATCCTGTGTCTACGTAGTGCGTGTTATTTTCAGAACAAAAGCCTAATAATTGTCCTTATTAAGAAAATTGTTACCATAGCTAAATATATTTTAGAATTATTTTATCTAATGAAATTTCAGAAATCAGATACTTTTCTAATATAGTAGAAAATAAAAGATGTAAATTATGTTTACGTATAAGTTTTATTTTCTTGTGTAATGGATTACATATTCTGCCATGCCGTATGTGATAATGATTACGCAGACATTCCATTCGTAATTAAATGTTATAGAGTAAGTGATACAGAGTGAGGTCTGAATGTAAAATAATAAATGTATTAGTTTTTGTTAACTAAGAATATATTTTGTATAATATGGTTGAAATTGTAAAGATAACGTTGTAAATAAATTTAAAATTAATAATTATTATGGCATTTTTATTTCCTCATTTTAAGTATCCCGTCTAGTGTAAATGTAGTAAGCTAAATATTACAGTACAGTGCTACTATAAGTACTAAAGGATTTTATTAACTAAATACGGACAAATAATATTTCGCAAGGCTTCGAAATCAATATCACAGTCTTTGACTTAGCCAGGTATTTTTAGGACAAGGCGTAATGTCTTCGATCTCTTGCGCAATCATGGGTTGATCGTCGACCGCCATTTTGGCACATAGACACCCCTCTCCAATCGTGCCGTTACCACTTACAATACAGTTACCTAAAACATCTTTACAACTGTTAAAAGGTATCATTTTTATTTCCTGTTCTTGTAAATTATCTTCTTGGTACTTTCTTATAGAAAGATCTTCAACCATAACCTGTGGTTCTATAACTTTAGTATCAAAAATTATATCATAAGTATCCTTTATTTTAACTGTACCATCAAGTCTATGTTCAATTTCAGGTGTTTCATGACCTTGAGTAATGTTTCCTAAAGTTTTTCCACTGTCTGAACACCAATTATCACAATAACATCCTTCGCAGGCATTTGTTTCTATAGAAATGTTATTTTCACCAACGACTGTTTTCAAATCTTTACTTAATTTAATCACGTTGCTTACTGTACATTCAACATTATCTTTTAATAGATTTTCATCAGTAGTTGGGCCAATTATTTCTCGCTTAATACCAAAATTGCTATTGATTTGAGCACAGAAACAATTATCATCACTAATACAGCCACCTAAAATGTCTTTACAATCACTTATGGTACTTTCATCTACTGTTACTTTGTTTTCGAGTTCGCTACCTACTTCATCTAAAAAGTTTTTAACTATTACTACATCTTCAGCCTTATTTATAGTGTCGGATATTTCATTAATACTTAGTTCAAGAGATCTTACACAGATATCAAGGTTCTCTTGTTTGGGAACGCAATTCGCTATATGTTTAGAGTACTTTAGTTGAGATATGATTTGGCCACATGTAAGACAGAGCTCTGCAGCATCTGTAACAACAAAATATTGGGTTTAAACGACTTAGTAATCACAAAAAAACTTCTGAAAAATAAATGCACTTCTGACCTCCATCTTAACAGATGGAAAATGATGACAATAATGTTTAACTAAATAATGCTTATTCACCTCGCCGTAAAAAGGCCAGTTATATATAGCGCTCAGGGAATAAGTCTGCAGACAGGTAATTCCACTCCATATACGTTCGCCATATAAATGTGGAAGCAAAACGCTTCGTGCGAATCCTTGGAATATCTAGAACATAAGGTTTGAAACCCAACCTACGTCTAGTCCCGCGAAGATGGAAAGGGGACGGGAGAATAAAAACATGAAATTCCATCGCACTCTTCGCGATATATCTTGTAGAATACCGATAAGCAGGCAATTTTAGGGCGGTGTTCAAAGCTATGTAGCTTCGCCTCCACTAAATCCGAGTCACCTATAAGCCTCTTGACACGATTTCAACTGAATCCAAGGTGGCATGTTGGAATTTAGCAGAACCATTCGATAGGTGGCAGCAGTACTCGATACACCACCGCGCTGGACTTCCTCTAGGCACAGCTGAAGCAACTGTCCCAGTGTGTAATGCCTCACTTTAGAAAGGATGCCAAGCTTCCTGGCCATGGATTCTAAGTATTTGCCAAAATTGTAATTGGACTACAGGACCATTCCAAGTAGCTGGAAACGGTCGCCCATCAGTATGGATATATCACGAAAAGTCAGAGTCAGATCAAAGGTCAGGATAATGGACACGCCTGCATTTTAGTAGTGTTAACTTGACAATTGCTAAAGCAGCCTGTAAATAATTAATATGTTCTGTAGGTTTTATCTACATAACACTACAGCTGAGTATTATAAGAATATTTACTGAAATAAAATGTTCAATAGCTTACCTTCATGAACGCTTTTTGACTGGAATTTGACACTAGCAGGTCTATTTTCTGTAAAAAAAAAGTATACAAATTCGGTTATTAAGGGTGAGGCCACAAGAGAAAGAGGGACCACTGACATTCGGTTAGGACGCCAGATGAACGTATTTTAACCGACCTTAAAAAAGGAGATTCTGAATACGACTGTCTGTTTTTATTTTTTCAGTTTCTTTTAAGCGTTTTTTGTAAGGAGTATTTTGTCATATAGTGTAATGGATCCATTAAAAAGTAATCCATTTATGAAGCGTTAAAAGATGATGTTAGAAAAAGAAAATGAAGCTGGGTACACCCACTCAATATGAAAATAAAAGTATGGTCAGTTTCATATACTATTTATGTGAACATCCAGATCAATTTGTATAGTATTACCACATGCCAATAAATGTTTCCCACACTCCCCTCCGCTCACACAAGCACGTCATACAGTGCGACCAAAGGTCGGTCAGAATTACGCGCCATAGTTGGCAGAAAGCTCAATTTGCATCATCGTAATAACATAAACCGGGTTTTTACATACTAAAACAATCAGCATGGTTGATATACTTACTATGTGTAGCTAGATGTCTCTTTCTAGCATATTCATTAACAAATTTCTTATTGCAGTTTAGTTCTGTGCATGATAGCCAGCTTTCCGGATCATGTGACTTCAGGTGCACTTTTAAATGATGAGATTGAATAAAACCTGAAATAGACCTATATAACTCAATTTTATTCAAATAAAGCCTTTAAAATATAACTCCTTACCGTATTATAAAGATGGAGTTACATGAGTTATAATGAGTTTACTAAAATTAAAAGAGGATAAAAATAATTGTGAAACTAATGCTTGGAAAGTCAAGTTTAAACAACCATTAAAACATGCAATGGAGAGTTTCTATTGCCAGACTTTTGTGAAGTTAATTCGCCAATTTATGTATGTCCGGCAGCAATTCGCCACACGTTGAAATACTCAAACCCCCAAACGAGTTATTTTACAACTCCATTCCCCATAAAATCCCCAATAAATTTGTAATTCTCCAAACATTTTAAATAGCCTAAAATTGCCTTTTCCTATTTCAAACATAGCCTAGTCGCCAGCCACTTTCTTAAGTCGCCGTGCGACTCCTCAAAGTAGTATCGGTAATCAAATTATATGATTTTAACGAGAAATCGATTCAAAATTTTAAGAGTTTGTAATTGTTTCTTTTTCGGTTCATTGTTGTTCTGGGGGCCTAAAAGGCCAAATCGTACAATTCAGTTAAAAGCAATTCATTTACAGTATTCCTTGCAATTACTTATTTTCGTAAAATTCCGATGAATTGCATCTAATTCTTTTAATTTAGATTTTATAATACTCATAAACGGTTTTTAAGAGAATTCAGTGTAAATAATGTATATTCATCAATAAAACAACTACATAAGTCAATATTTTTTCCGATAAATCGAAGAGACTCGGTGAAATTCGGCGATTAATTGCTTACAACACTACTATTTAAGAAAAAATACCTTGAGGACGTAACTGTTTTCAGGACGTTTCAGAGTAACTCAAAATTGCATTTTATTTTGGAATTCCTGCGAAAACAGTACTTCAAAAATGTTTTATCATATTATATAATGTTTCAATAAAATTTATGTATTTTTTTAAACTCAATTATGCTAATATTTGTTTGTTTATTGTTTCGTTGATCGCATTCAAAGTTACATACTATCGTTTTCATTAGCTGTCAAATTTGGCCTCTTATTTGGTGACGACTATAATAATAGGGGTTAAACTATGAAATTGCCGATTTGTACTGAAAATCTAAATTGTTTATTTTTTAAATTTTTAACAAATTGATTTAATCAAAATAGTTGCCATTATTATCTATACATTGCTGCCATCTAATGGGAAGGTTATTAATGCCTTTGCGATAGAACTCCGACGATCTAGACTGCACAAACTGTGTGAAAGCATTTTGTACTGCCTCCTGGGAAGAAAACTTCTTGTCACGTAGATAATTGTCCAAATCACGAAAAAAATGGTAGTCCGTTGGAGCAAGGTCTGGTGAATACGGAGGATGACGAATGGTTTCTAACTGCAGTTCCTGAAGGGTCAAAATGGTTTCTCGTGCTGTGTGAGGTCTCGCGTTGTCGTGGAGCAATAATGGTGAAGATCGATTCATGAGTCGGGGCTGTTTTACTGCTAGTTTTGTCAACATGGTTCGGAGTTCGGCACAATAGACATCTGCCGTTATTGCTTGACCAGATCGGAGAAAACTATAGTGAATAACACCATGCTGAGACCACCAAACAGTTACCATTACCTTTTTATTGGTAAGTTTTGCTTTAGGACACTGTTGTGGCATTTGACCTGGGGTCAGCCATTGCATTTTTCTTTTCCGGTTATCATAAAGAATCCACTTTTCATCACATGTTACAATTCGATCCAATATTCCTTCATTTCTGTACCGGTTCAACAAGGCAACACAAGTTTCAACACGCGTTTCTTTCTGCAGATCAGTCAAATCATGAGGCACCCATTTTTCGTAGGTATTTTTTTATTTTATTGATTTGACGCAAGTGAGTCAATATTGTGGGTAAGGTAACGTTAAACCATGCCGCTAATTCCTGGGTAGTTTGGCTAGGATCGGCTTCCACTATCTCTCTTAATTCATCGTTATTCACCTGTGTCACAGCGGTCTTCCTCGTGTCTCGTTCTTTAAGTCGAAATTTCCATCACGAAAGCGTTTAAACCAAAATCGCACGGTGCGTTCATTAGTAGACCCCTCTCCAAACGCAGCATTGATATTGCGGGCTGTTTCTGCCGCGTTAGTTCCGCGTCGGAACTCGTATTCAAAAATCACTCGAATTTTCGCAGTATCCATCTTTCTTGTCTAAATTGAATAACAAAAACAATTGAAAGTCGATATTCAAATGCTTCAAATTAAAAAAAAAAAATCACAGAAACCATTTCAAAAAAGTTTCATTCGAAAACCTCAAACCATGAAGATTCTATGAAAATTCAAAGAACCTATTGCAATAAAACGGCAATTTCATACTTTAACCCCTAATAAATATATAATAAATAAAAAAATACTATTCTTGAGTGGTAATGGATTACAGTGGTTTATTTTTGACGAGGATGTAGAATCATAGTAAATTCCAATACAATGTAAATACTGTTAATTATAATATATATAACATAATAATTTACCTTTCCCACATTTCTTACAGAAAAACTGTTTCGTGTCTGTATGGGTTAATTCATGGTGTTTTAAGTGATGAGCAAAGTTGAATGACTTCCCACAGCCATCAAACCCGCAATGGTATTTCCTCTCTGATTCTGCTTTGTGTGTCTTCATATGTGTCCGTAGTGCAAGCTCACTGTTGAATGTTGTATTACATTGCGTGCAGGAAAATGATCCTGCAACATTAGACATTTTTAAATTCGATAATGTGCTACCGCCAAAACAAATACAAGACAAACATGAAGAATAGAGATAAAAGAAAAACTCAATAACTACATAAAGTTGAAAAGAAATATTCAATAAAGCTGCTAGCCTAGTGTTTGAACTTCCTATGTCTATGGTTTGAACAGACTATATCGTCAGTGTTTTGTAGAAAAGGCGAAAGCACCATTTCGAATAATTTTTATCGAATAATTTTTAGGGACGCATATTTTAGTTTTTCGTTTTTCATGACTGTTTTAAAATATTTACGTTCTGTTTTAAATTCAATTTATTTCAAACCAAAATTGAATTTTAAAACAGAACAAAAACATTTAATAATAACAATAATATAGTGCTCGTCCTTTCTACAAAATACCGCCGCCGTACTTAAGAGAGAGGAAATTTCCTAATGTTCGATTTGATTTTGGAGGGGTATATCCACTTTAAAGTTAAAAATAAAATATTGTATGAGTAACTGCACTATATATTCAAGCATAGACGTTAATCAGAAACATAAAACAATAAAGTTTCCTCGATAGATAAAAATCACGAAATGATCTCTAATTTTCACATTTTTTCGAGTTATTAGGACAAAAATTAGATAATTAATTACATTTATGCATGATCGACAACTGTCACTACGAATTTTTTTTAATCCGTTTAGTTTTAGAGTTATTTCGCTAAAACGAATTTGGTACTTTTAATGCGCAAAATTCAACATCTCCTGTCGCATGTCACGCGAACTTCAGGCATATATTTGTTTCACAAATTTGGGCGGAGTTGGCTCAAAACTTTTTTGGCATGAGAGCTCCTAATGCAATATTCTATACTGACTTGAACACCCAAGGTAACTTTTAATTTTTTGGGGAATATAAATTTCAATAAATTTATACATGTTAATTTAGGAAATGAAACTATTTTTCCGGATTTAAATCGCGTATATTTGTTTTTTCAAACAAACCGACGTTTCGGGCCCTTTACAGGTCCCATGGTCACGGTTGACTGAGGTGGTACAGTCTTCAACCAGTTATGTCTAATATTAATGCAAACCACCCTATTTTTTCACTATAGTTACAATAGTTATTAATTAAATACCTTATTTTTAATTTTACAAAGAAAACATTCCAATTTACGCTACATTAAGTTTTACAAATTATTTTATTGAATGAATTTTTATTAAGTTTAATTTATTATTAATTATTAATAGAAATTAGAATAAACTAAAACATATTAGGAAATGAAACTATTTTTCCGAATTTAAATCGCGTATATTCGTTTTTTCAAACAAACCGACGTTTCGGGCCCTTTACAGGTCCCATGGTCACGGTTGACTGAGGTGGTACAGTCTTCAACCAGTTATGTCTAATATTAATGCAAACCACCCTATTTTTTCACTATAGTTACAATAGTTATTAATTAAATACCTTATTTTTAATTTTACAAAGAAAACATTCCAATTTACGCTACATTAAGTTTTACAAATTATTTTAATGAATGAATTTTTATTAAGTTTAATTTATTATTAATTATTAATAGAAATTAGAATAAACTAAAACATATTAATTAGTACTGTAGTCTTATGTCTGTTTGGGATTTTTCATTAGAGGAAATACTGGATCCCAAACTGGTGGTACGGAGAAACCATCTTCCCTGTTGAAATTAGGATGTTTTTTAATTTCAATGGCCTCTCGCAGCATCCTGGGTAGATAACGGACTTCTTTTGCAAGGACCTGGGGTTTGTCAAACTTCATTGAATGTGTAGGTTTATCAATGACATGCTCGCAGACTGCAGACTTGTTTACGCGACGGCGTTTGACATCAGCTATATGTTCTTTGACGCGGGTACAAATACTTCGCTTTGTTTGTCCAATATAAGAGAGACCGCACTCACAGTCAAGCTTGTAAACTCCTGCATCCTGTAAGGGGATGTTACATTTCACGGGTCTCAGGAACTGAGAAATCTTCCTCAAAAATAAATATAAATAAATAAACCTCAGAAATAAATCCGGAAAAATAGTTTCATTTCCTATGTGTAACAATCGCGAAAACCTAAGAACTCGACATGTTAATTTATTTATTTAAAAAATATTTCTTATTTACAAATTACTATTTATGCATACAGTCTCTATTTGGTAGGTCGTCTGTTTGCTTTATAATTATGGCAAAAATTGTTTTGATAGAGAGATGACTAGATTTTAAGTCTTATAAATAAATAAAATAAAATGTTTATTCGTTCATTTTAAAGGGCATAGTACCGCCACTTAGGCTTGTTAGGGCCTGAGTTAGGAAACATCGCTCTTCTATAATATTAGTAGTAATCTTGCTCTTATATAATTTTAAGATGACGAAAAGGAATACCTTAATATCTACTATAACAGGTGTTACAACTAATACAAATTTCACTAATTACAGTAATTTTTAACTTTTCAGACTAAAAATAAATTCACTTAATTGTTAGTGTGTGTGAGTGCAAGTATGTGTATATGTATCTGTAGGTGTGTAATTGTGTGAAATGTGTGAATGTCTACATGTGTATCATTATAAGAAGTTACTAAAATAACAGTTGTATTATAAGTTTATATAAACATATATGTAAATTAAATTTCGATTTGTGTGTATGCATATTATTTATTTACATTATATATATTATTTGTATATGGATCTGTTTATTTTTTTATATATTACAAACTTGTAATAATAATTGCTCAATCTCCTCATACGACTTAGTTTCGAGCCATTTTGTAATTGCTCACTTGTATTTATGAACTATTTTCTTGTACAGATCCAGTTCTCTGTTTAAACTATTATATAGATATGAGGCCCTGTATTTGTACTGTCTACTAGCTGCAGTAGTTTTTATTTTTGGTACCAACACTATGTTATAGTTTCTTCTTCTACCTAAAACCCCAGGATCATATGGCAAATTTTTATGTTGTTTTATTACAGTGTATATACATAAAGTTTCCTAACAGATGTTAGTTTTGTCAGCTGATACAAACTTTCAGTGGAATAAATTCTTTTTTTTTTTATTTGATCAAACCACATTGTGCTCGTCTTAAGAATGTATAGTCTTAAAAACAAGAACAAGTCTTAAGAATGTATAGCATTCCATTCTTAGTACAGGTGGCATTTTCATTCTTCTTCTTTATTGTTCATTATGTGGTGGACTTTGCTATATAATAAACCCCGTAAGTGCTTAAGTTAAGTAGTACATTTAATAACTAATTATTCTGCTACTTAAAAAAAACTAAAACTTTAGGTACCTTTGTGTGCATACTGAATATGCCTTTTTAGAAGTGTTTCATCTCTGAATTTTCCTCCACATTTGTTGCATTGCACTGAGCCTGTTCTCTCATGCTGCTTCTCATGACGGCGAAGCGCTGATCTTAAGCAATTCAAAAACCCATCATTTTACTCACAAAATGTTAGAACCATAGAGTATATATTCAGAAATAGAGATGAAATGTCACAAAATTTCTTTGAAAACTATTGTGCCAAATCATTACAGTGACAACTGCGCTCTGCAAAACAATTGACAGGTGTCATCAATTGTTTCACTTAAAATCTATCGGTTTAACATGAGATTTGCCATAACAGACAAAAATTGAAAAATTACACATTTAATATTTAATTACTGACGAAATGTAATTCTGTTTGTTTCGTAATTACATGTTTTTCTGCTTTTCCCACAACACCAAATGGAACAGTCTCCCATAGTTAGAGATATTATCTTTATTACAATAAATACAGAATATTATAGAAATATACGGAGACATACATACAGGTCAGTTGTCGGTACTGTACCATTTCAGTGTTCTAATTTGTGACTTCAGTGCAAACAATAATTGATATTTAAAAGTGATGTAAAGCCCATTTGCCTGATGAATTGCCAGGGTTGGATGGCCCTTAATTCATCTCTATTTCTGGTTATAGACTCAATGATTGAAACTAAGCCTCCACAAAGACAAACTGCATAGACAGGAATCGAAAATTAGACCAACTTTCTTTTGGACAACAACAAGGGTAGTTCTGAGCAATTTGCTTCCTTGAAAGGAAAACTTCCCCTGAATGTATTGTGCAGGAGACCAAATACTAATATTAAAAGATTAAACCTACAACGAGTGAACGAAATAATGTACTAACACAGATTTTTCAAAAAACCTTTCCTTATTCTACTGCAATTAGATAACTACAGGTACATGTATACAGAATTAAAACTAAGTATAATAATTGATAACAACAAGCCCACGATAACCACTTTATGTCATTTGTGTTATCAAAATTATATTTATTATATTTGCAAATCACAACATACTTTATTAATATGTACTGTATTCTTTTAAAGGCCATTGTGTACATTTACATAAGAAAACTTTTAGATCTTATATATTTGAAACTACAGTAACGAGTCCATATCGAATGTGAGGTAAATAAAAAGTAGTAGATACTCACAGAAAGCTAAATTTCTTTGAGCAAACTTTACATCCAAACTGCGGTATGTGGCTTTGCTCGTGCCTCCGCTTTTCGCTCTCATATCTGAACTCCTTGTTGCAATGTGTGCACTCCCACAATGCTGCCTGTTCAGACTGCATGACACTAAGCAACAGTCAGTTTGGAGAAAGCATGAAAACAAAGCCAGTTTGCTGTGCTTTATGAATGAATCAGTCAAGAAAATCAGCTGACTTTAAATGTCAACTGTCTGTCAATGTCATATGTCATCACTCAATGTGTTGCAGTAGCTTTGTCAAATTGACAATATGCTGCACTTTCCAAAGCACAAGACAGTTCATTGTACGTACACATTTTAGAATAATGTCTGCTGTCTGCATGAACGTGGCGTGAACTGTCGGTGCACTAACCCAATCTAGACAAAATAAGAAATATCTTACCGAGGTCAAGGTTTAAAATGAAGCTGCCGTTAAATATTAAACTTCGATACTACTGGAACGCATCCACTTACAACTCTATTATAATGTCAAAGTCACCACCACCATTCCATTCCAAACAAATTATTTTAAATATAGGAAGAAATCACCATAAGTATTACACGGAAATCACTATTCACCAACATGCTGTGAGTCTGAGTGATGCGATGAGATATTTGGGGATAAAGGAGTATGTAGTCGACATCAAAGAGTAGAATATTAAGTCTACATTATGATAATGTGATTTGTGTTTGTAAACACTTACGTAATTTTTTCACCAATGCGTTTGAATCGTTTAGAGAATGCTGATATCGTCAGTATCGCGTGCCGGCTCGAGTGGCGCGCCGCCTGTACTGCTAAATACTGTAAAAGCACGAAGAGACCCGGTCTATAACCTTACTTAACCTTTAAATTTATTGAATTAAAATGCAACAATGGATCAAAGTGACCCTCATATTGTGTTTCTTTGGTACTTTGAGGGAGATACGACCCTCTGAACCTTTCGTTTCGGAGTTTTTACTTGGTCCCTGGAGAAACGTAACTGAAGAACAACTGAGTAGAGAAGTGTACCCAATTGGGACGTATTCGTATTTGGCGCTGCTCGTCGTAGTTTTCCTGATAACAGATTTCTTGAGATTCAAGCCCGTCATCATTTTGTCTGGTAAGGTGTTTTTATGTCATAAAATTTAATAGTGCCAAATTGGCTCAACTGTAGATTACCACAGTAGAGTTGAAATTAATATGATGAATAGAATGTAGTTAGTTACTAATCTAATCCTAAAATCTCAGATGTATTTTGTAATCTAAGCCTAAGATTTGATTTTTATGAACTTTAGGAAACTCGTAGTTTGATAATAAAAATTATTGAAATATTCGAAAATTAATAATAGGTCTGGACCAGTGTTGGGCAAAATTTAATTGTCCTGGCAATTAAAGATTGACAATTAATTAATTGTTAATTGCGGTTCTCGCAACTAACAATTGATCAGTCGTTAATCGCGTATATCTACAATGAACAATTAATCAATTTTCAAACTTTTCAATGTTTTTGATTAACAATTTAAACTGGCAATTATGATAAATTTATATTATATATGCCCATATGGGGGTGGGTTAGGGCGTGGGTTAGGGGGTGCGACGTGTCGCAATTGATTTCATTGCAATAGATTTCAATTGAATTGATTTTTTAATCTGACTGAATTTCTGATTGAAATTTAATTGATTAACGCCCAACACTCTGGTCTGGACTTTAGAATATGGAATGGAAACTAAAGGACATGTTATATTGACATATATAAATCAGACGTTATAAGTATATGATGCATTTCGACGTTGAAAACATAAACACGTTATTGACTTTGTTTAACTATTGCGTGCCGTCTTAAGCCAAAAGAGATAGCATTACATTGGTCTGTGTCAAACACCGGAATCGAAAGTACATAACGTCATCTTAAATGCCAAACGTGTCCATTTCCCAGTACATGAGGTACATAAGCAATACTCTTTGGGTACATGATACGGTTGTCAAAGGGAAGTACATCAAATGTCAAAACAAATGTTTTTCCAAGTGTTTTATTGAATTATTCGCATGTATTGTAATAAAATGAACAAAAATATTGACAGTGAGGACAATTAAATATTAATAAAAATTCGTCACTGCAGCATTACGGGATGTGGCATTAGAAAAAGCGAACATCGACCAAATGTAACATTGTACAGCCACGTGTTGTTTTTCTGTCTATAAATCACACAAAAGCTAAAATATCTCACATAATTAGACATATATAGGTTTCTTCAGATTGCCTGTTTGTTTGTATATTTTGATGATTGTTGTTAACGATTATTTTGAAATAGTGTTGTTCTTGGAAGCGTACATATTATCGATATTCTGTTATTAAAATAATTCACTACGAGGTTTTTATTATTTTATTATTATTATTTTTACTATTTCAAGTTTACCTACAAATCAAAAAAGAAAAAAAGAATGGTTAGAAATAATACCACCGTATAATAGTGCCGAATATAAACAATGAATCAAAGACCATCTTCATTTATTCGCTTCATTTTGAAGAATCAAATTTTTACATAACTTTGAATGTAACTAGATTGCATGATAATACAATTCCGTCATTAGGTTTATTGATAAATAATTTTCTATTTAATTTATATTAAACAATACTCATTTACAAGGCGTTCTTAGTTGCTGAAAACAAAATTATCCACTCGTTTCCGATTTTTTTCCCACTGACAAATCTAACTACTAAAAATTCTTATTTTATAAAGCCAGCAATACAATGACCATGTTGGTCCAACGTTGCCGGGTGAACACCAATACCAACGTATAGACAGCCTATTTGCCTTGCCTTACCTTGCCATCGTTCGGTGTCACTCGCCTAGCTGACTGAGGAAGGCGAGCGCTAACGTGTATAGAGCTCGTTTGACGTAGCTTGTCACAACTCGCAGTCGCTCGTGACTACTTGTCTCACTTCGGAGAAGTGTCGATTTTTCTGCACAAATCAAAGGCGCTTGGCCAATAGTAGTCAATTGACATTGTATAATCAGACATTTGCATGCTATTTAATACATGCGAAACATGTTTATACTAACACTGTCTCTTATTACATCTCCTATTATACCATGTTTTAAGCAAATAAACGTATGATAATAATATTATTATTGATAATATTACTACTTTCATTTATTTCCAAAATTAAATGGAAGTATTAAAGATTCACTTAAATCAGTCACTGATATTAATTCTATACCAATGCATAAATTCAAAAAGCTTACACTATTTGGATACTGTTTAAAAATCTATCTATGAAAATATGAATCTTGAGGTTGGAAATGTATAGGATTTATATTTCAAAGTTTTCTCTTTTTTATATACTCTCAAATTACATTTTTTCTGTGCAAATTCACTTTTCGTAATATTTGAGTGTTTGTAAACACTCAAACATTACAGACATCTTTAGTACCTTAAATTCAGTAAACAAGTCTCCATTGTTTGCCAGTTTGAATACCATAAACTAAATTGTAAACTTCTTCTAATTGATAACTTCTTATATATTATAATTTCTATAGAGAAGGTACCTTAATGGTTTGACCTACCACATCTCAAACAGAAGCTGTGAGTTTGAAACCGATTGCCCACCTCTGAGATGCTCAGAATTTATGTCAGAATCCCTGCCTGAGAGGAGACCCGTCCCCAGCAGTGGGCCGTGTAAATGAGTTGAGCGACGGGTTGATGATATTAAATTATAACTTTTCACATTTTGGTCTGGTCTCACGCACTCACTTATTTGAAGCGTGCGATGAACGTCTCCAGGTACTTGGAATGGACCTGTCGTCCGATTTGAACTTCGACAGTTACATAGAATCCATGGCCAAAAATGCAGCCATGAAGCTTGGCATCCTTTTCAGGCTGAGGCGCATCTTCACACCGGGTCAATTTCAGCAGTACCAAGCACAAGTCCGGTTGCATGTGGAGTACTGTTGCCACCTATGGTATGGCTCTGCTAAACACCAACTGGCCATCTTGGATTCAGTTGAAAATCGTGCCAAGAGTCTTGTAGGTGACTCGAAATTAGTAGAAGTGAAGCTGCAGAGCCTTGAACACCGCCGTAAAGTTGCCGGCTTGTCGATGTTCTACGAATATATCACGGAGAGTGTACGAGTGTACGACTAACATCGGGGGACCAGACATAGGCTGGGGTTGTGATGACCCCTTGATGACCCCTGTGTTGTGGATATTCTAAGGATTCGCACGAAGCATCCACATTTATATGTCGAACGGCTGCGTAGTACAACTCATTGCCTGCAGCTTGTTCCCTGAACGGTATAACTTGGGCCTTCTCAGGATGAGAGTGAATATTTTCAATAGCTTTTCATTGTAGCTTAAAAGCTTAAAAAACATTAAAAAAAAGTGTATCAGACACAGATCTTTGCGTAAACCTAGGCATTAGTAGCTTTTAAGCTACAAGCTATAATAACATGCAGTATACGTTTTTGTGGAACCCATTTCCCCGACTATTATGTTCATCATAATTGGGTAAATAAATAAATACTTTGAAAAATAAAAATATAATGAAAATATCTCATGTTGCTAATCGTGAACCAATTGATTGTGATTCTAAAAAAAATGTTACAATCAATTAGACCATGCATCTGGTTGTCATAAAAGTTGACACGTTCATGGTTGTTAGAAATGAAATAAATTGACTTTGATTGATTGTATTACGTTCCGTCTTCTGAAGTAATCATTTATTTATTCGCGAAATGAAAAACGTTGTTGAATCTTTTTAATCTTCAGAAAACGTGTAAAACTTGGGTGTAAATATCCGCCATTTTTGTCGATCGACATTCGTAACTTTCAGTTATTTATGATGTTGAACATTAGTTGTAAAGCAATCAGCCTAAAAAGATAACAAAGAATGAAGAAACTCAAAATGTAACAAAGGTACAAAAAACAAATCGTGAAAAAAGTTTGACCATAACAGCCACGTATAAAAGACATCTATCTTAGGGTCGGTACCATAATGACTTGATCAGCATAAGGACTAGATTGCAAAACGACCATCTCTGCAGAAAGACTATAACTTACAATGTTTTGGTAACAAAACAACTAGATATCGAAATACCGTATCGTTAAATGGACCACATGGTAAAACGACAAGGTAGCAAAAAAACTCACTAAGATTATTCATGAAACGCGAATTAGGTGCATTCAGAACTTAAACTTATAAACTGACATACAAAATGTAATGAACAAACCGTTCGCTGGCTTACACGTGATTTTTTATTAATTTTTCAGAATAAATACAAAACACGTTACTTAATTCAAGAGATGGTTCACTTATAAAGCGAAGAGAAAATTACTTATATAGTCTTGACTGAATAACTACATATCCTGATTTTCGAAGCCCAGTTAGCAAAGCTTTCTTGGAAATTTCTTGACATCCACTTATGTTACGCAATTTCCAAACAAACTCAGCAGTTTCAACCGATATGCATGAAATTTTAAATTAACATAGAATTACAAATAGTACAAGTCCGCAAAATTCATCCATTTTGTTTAACAGTGATATTTCTAAAGAAAAATTAATTTCTTCTGTTTCGTCTCTAAAATAAATAATGCTAATTCTCCTTTCTTAGGTTGCAAACCGATTGACTGCATGTTTGCAATTAATGTGTGAAGTCGTAATCAACTTCATGCAGCCGAGACGTTGATTGCATGAAGTTGATAATGATTTTACGCATTAACTATATGCAGTCGAAACTCAACTGCATGCAATTGAGACTTCAACTTCAATCGACGGATTCACATCGATATGTGAACGATAGTCCGAGAAATAAAAGTAGTAATTGACAATCTCACGAGGATATATTATATTTATTTATTTATTTTTTATTTTTTGCTTTTAATACATCTTTTAATTTATCAAAAGTGACAATCGACGTTCTAAAGTAGGGGAAAGGTGTACGAGATGTTCCTTGGAGGTGAGATGATCCCTTTCAATTGTAGCGATACTAGTAGCGTCATATAGATATTTTTTTCAGTAAAATGTAGGCCTCAATGTCCCCTCTCATCAGTCAATTTGTAATAGCGATGTGAGTGACGAGTTCAATTTTGTGGAAAAAAATAAGGTTTATGTGAGTTTGATCTAAAGTAAAGTTGATTAAAAGCTTAGGCAACTTCCATTCTAAGCAATCAATTGATAAGATTTTTGAGTTGGTGACTTTGTATAATGCTCTATTTACTTTTTTAATGGCGTGGTAACAGTAGACAGAATACAGGTTATTTTGCCGAACAAAAAATAAAAATAAGTAACTTGGGGCAAGATGATTAGGTATGGTTTTGGTGTAACGCGTTGTTAGTGATGATCCGTGGGGATCATCTTGTACTGTGTATATTGTTAACGGACTATATTTAATTTGTACGTTTTTCTGAGTACTGAAACCTCTTAATTAAATAGCTTGCAATACGAATAAAATAGTAGAAGACTGGAGTTCGTTTACATGATTGATCTCGATTAATAACAAATATAAATATGTTGAGTGTGTGCGTTATTATATAAAAAAAAATGCTTTTTCTTGTTTTAGACCAGGCCGCGTAATTGTAAAAGAAAAACCATTCGTGGTGGGTGGTCGGAAGACTATGATCTAAAGAACTAGAGGCGTAAAGTAGGACGCCACCAAGATCGGTAAGTAAATAGTTAGCAATAGGTGCGCGTTAGGTAATTAAAAAGACGGGCTAAAGGTGAAAATAAAGGGTCTGTCAGTTCAATGAAATATTTAGGTGAAAAAAAAACTGTTTTCATGAGATGTATTAAAGGAAATCGAACTCGTAAAGTACATTAAAGATATGGAGACGAGAATGGATATCAACTTGCTATAAAAAACAATATGGCCCACTCTTAGGTACCTGTAAGATATAAATTAATTAGGATTATTTGTTCTCGAAGTTTCGTAACTGTTGTTTCATACACCCAGATTACATAAGCGAGGACTTTGTTAAGTGTAAATAGTTTTTGTTTTCATTTGTTTCTACCAAAACCTACAAATTTTCCTTAATATATGCAAGTGATCCCCTGGATCATCTTGCCCATACCCTTAGGATCATAAGATGATCCTTTAGTAGGGCTTTAAAAATATTCAAATATAATATTGAAAGATAAAAAAATAAAACGTTTTTAGTAAGACAACATGTAAATAGATAAATTTTCTATCATTCAACGCTTTTACATCTGCTTAAATATCTATATGAATATCTTTGAAACTACCATCATTTCCCCTTAAGGGGATCATCTGGTACACCTTTCGCCTAGTTGTAAAATTAGTTTTCTTCTTGTATTGATTTCGAAGACAATTCATAAAAATCACATTCTCTACAGCAACATAACAATAGTGGATCTATGTATGCAGCCTCTCGTTGTTGGCTTCGATTTCACCGACGGCGGCGGCTTAATAATAATAACAAAGTAGCGTCCGTGCTTCCATCACGACATCAACTTTTACACTGAGCACTTGAGCTAGCCACGCGGCGATAACTACCTGCAGTCAATTTCGGCTGCATGCAGTCGATTTCGACAGCATAAAGTTACTGCGTGAAGTCAAAAAAGTCAAAGTCAAATAATCTTTATTTCATAGGTAAGCAAATTACACTTGAAATTGTAATCATTCGTAAGGTAGATTTACGCTGAATTTTTTATTACACATAAATTCATTTATCATTGCAATATTTAATTTAAACTTCTTAGATCGAGAAACGAGTCATTACCAAGGATTTTTGTCAACCAAATACGCAGACGTTGTATAACCTTTAGTATAAAGTTTTTGTTTCGAAATAGTTTTAAACCTCGTAAATGGCAAATTTTGAATATCAATCGGAATCTTATTATGGAATAAATGAAAATGAATTTGAGACTTTATGACGACGACTTTATGGCGACTGTCAGGAATGGCTAGTTTATTTTTATTCCTCATAAAAAAATATTATTTCTCTTAACATATATAACATTTTCATAAATGTACCGTGACGTTAGTGTAAGAACGTTAATCTCTTTAAACTTGTCTGTCATAGACAGTCGTTATCGACTTCATGCAGTCGGCGTCTCGATTGTATGAAGTTGATTACGACTTCACGCATTAACTGCACATGTGCAGTCAATCTGTTAGCAGCCTTACTTGCAGGTGAATGATCTCGATTTAACCCTTTCATGGACAGTACTTAAATAGTACCTCACACAAAATTATCACTAGTTTTCTTTATGCCGTAGTGCGTATATTTATTCAATATAAAATATTCAATGCAAATCATTGAATTTTGTCAGTACATTGTTGATATTTCTCTATTGAAAAACAGTAGGCGGTATAGTTACCGCTGTTAACGCTTTCTGTGTAGTCACAGAAAGCACTTGGAAATCGCGTTGCAAAGCCCGTAGACGGTTTTTTGAGATTCATATAGCGAAACAGAGTACCCCGTGCTATCTGATATTTAATTTTACGGTAAACACCGTTACTGTCCAAGTACGGGTTAAAAAATATACAAATCAATGCTACTATGTACTAGATTTAAACGAATTTTATTCGTCCTCCTGTGAAATGAATAAATTATCACATCTATATTTTTATCAAAAAAGCGTCGTTGTTAACAAATCGTTAGCTAAGCCATAAAATGCTAATTAACCAGGGGGTCGATTCAGAACCTTACGATAACTCAGTTGTCGACCGATTCGATATTATATGGTACGATTTCTTTTCATTTTTATTCACACCACCCGAATCGAACGTCAAACTGTCATGTTCGAAACCGAATCGAAATGACGTCACACCTGCACGATTACTCGAACTTCTCGACCGGCAAAGGCTACAAACTTTATCCAGAACACAGTTATCGAATGGAAATTACCGAACGTTCTATTTCTACAAAGCAAGAATGTAATATGGAAATCTCTTATTATTTTAACTAGTCTGGATTTTGTTCAATTTTTTTCAATTAATTTATTTTGGTGCAAGACTAATGCATTCCTATATTTTAGACCTTTAAATCATTTTCCAAATTTTAATTTTTCTTATAATCTATTTCACCGACTAACTTCGCGATATCGTATCCGAATCGAACCATTAACTCAAATGTTCTGAATAGCTCGGAAAGCGCCCGTCGATTCGAACGATTCGGTTAAAACTTCGAAGAGTTCTGAATCGGGGTCCTGGGGGTCTACTCTCGATCTCCGTCCGACATCGCATCAGTCCGAAACAATTACTGCCAAATAAGCAATACTTGACCAAATGTAAAGAGGCGTGATGCGAATCTTCATACTTGATACTTGTCTTTTAATTTTGTCGAATATTACTTATTTGACAGTAATTGTTTCGGACGGAGATCGAGAGTAGACCCCCTGACTCGAATGTTTATTTCGATTTTACAGGCTTAAGTGGAATATGTCTGTATGCAGTATTACTATGGACAACAAGCATAGAATGGCTGCAAGCATCTCAGTTTCTGTACGGGTTATTTATGGCCACAGAAGTAGCGTACTACACATACATTTATGCCAAGGTATTTTTTTCTTGTTTTTTAAATAAATAAAATATGCGTCCTGTAAGTGTAAGAAAGAACATTGTTTATTACATAAGCACAGACACACATAAGGTAGTGAAACCGATGATGGACAGTGCATCTATCATGAACATTTTTGAAAAAATAGGAAACGCAAATTTTTCTTTTTTCGTTTTCAAATGTTTTTATAATTTTTGATCGAAATGAAAGACGTTAGTTAATTTTGACAGCTGGCGGCCGTCTGTATCCGCCATTATCGCAATGCAAAATAAGACGGTTTTAAGAAATTAAAAAAAAGCAACAGAATTCTTATAAGGACCGCGTCTAAGGTACATTTTTTTATAATCATATTTGAAAGTGGTATTTGAGAGTGTGGTGAATTCTGAAGTTATTTTGTGTTATTTTAAGCATCTAAACAAAACACAACCGTAAATGAATAACGTAACGTCTATTCGAAAATTTTAAGTGTTTATTACTGGATCTCATTTAGCTGTTTAACCTATCATGGACATTTTTTGCATAATCGGAATTTATCATTAAAGAGCATTAGTGTGAGGCCAGACGAGCGTAATTTTGTGAGTTGCGTTTTTTTGCGCTCGACCGAAATTCGGTTGGAGCGCCAGACGAACGTATTTTATTCAGTTGCTTTTAAGCGCTTGTACGGGGTGTTTATGTCGTAATAGTGTAATGGATCCATTAAAAACAGTATGCATTTATGAAGCATTAGAAGACGATGTTCGAAAAAGAAAAAGAAGCTGGGTACATCCACTAAATATGAAACGATTAAAGTGTGGACAGTTTCATATACTATATACAAGTTTATGTGAACATCCAGATCAATTTGTTAAGTACTACCACATGCCAATAAATGTATTCAAGAATTATTAAGCCTAGTAAAACCTTTTATTGCTAAGTCAGATACAAATATAAGACTAGACAACAGTCCAGAGGAAAGACTAATAATAACAATCAATTATGTTGTTCAATTATTTATATTTTAATATATTTATATTTGTATATTTTACAAACAGGAGATTACAGAGTTTTACATTGTTCATCTCTCAACGTCTATATTCACGCGCATCCTATACCAAAATGACACCGCACCCCTACCTCCACCTGAGCCAGCCCGACGACGCACGATGCGACCGACAGTCAGGGTCGTATTCCAGAACTCTACTCAATGCTCAAGTCAGGATTTGAGTATGGTTTAAAGCACTCGAAATCATACTCAAGTCCCTGCCATTAGGGTCGTATTTCCAGTGCTCGTGTTTCAATTGCAATCCTGACTTGAGTATTGAGTAGAGTTCTAGAATACGACCCTCAGTCGTCATTACGCCCGTGAGTCGGCAGATGAAAGTCGTCCTGTGAAGTGAAACAAACCGTACTTTTATATGAAACCGAATGCAGCGCAAACTACTCACAAAATTACGCTCGTCCGGCCTCGCACTTACATGTGTTTACCGTCTTTATAAAGCCAGACGGGGTGTCCGCGATTGGAAACCGTCAATGATGGGATTTCCATAATTGGAAATTGAGCTGTCCTTATAAGGATACTTAAACAGGGTCTACTTTTTCTCGAATAACATTATTTTCATTAATAATTGATCTGGTTAAAGCACTTTTAACCATTATTTGAAGACTTTTTAATCAGTACCTTTCCTCGAGTCCCACTGGGTAACTCATCCAAAGTTAAAATAATGAAACAAAAAATAAATCCTTTAACCGTTCATGATTGGTTCCACTACCTTATAAACAAAACAACAGAGGAACATTTATAATAATAAATAAATAATAATAAATTAATCTTTTAGGCCCATGGAGAGGCGAGAGTTTAAAATAGATATAATAATAATAATCAAAAAATTAAAACAATTGTTATAATTATGCAGTGCATAATTCACCGTCATCCCTGTCGCGGCTGGTACAATCGGGACTTGCTCAGCTTTAGCCACAAACGGTTTTTTTTAACCGTTTCGTGGCACTCACTCACAACAATAAAAAATCAATAATAAATAAATAGATAAGAAAACCGACGTAATAGGAAGTATGTAGGTACATATACCTACTAATAACTATAATGTGTAAGTAACAGTATATCAATAAAATAAACTTCAATTCTAATATTTTTGTACAAATTTGATATTATGAAATGAATAATATTGTATCTGTATAAATAACGCATCAGCATATAACAAATATCCTGAACCGTCGCGTGCGTGACAGTACCAAAGTGGTTCCAACAGCCTCATGAAGTTGGTTTGGCAGTTCCCTGCTCATTATACATATCACAAGCATTGGAACTTCACACACTTGGGTTCCAGAGGTTTCGTGTATAATTTAATGTATTTTTTTTATAACAACCTCTTTACTAACATAGGCTGTAAGTTTCCTGTAAATGACACGATCTCGGTATCTGAAACATTTTTTATTTTAATTGAAATAATGAAATATGATGTGCCATTCTTCCATGTGCATGTTCAGTAAATACACGCACGGACACACACACACACATACACACACTACTCCACCATCGCTCCCATATTTACCCAAAATCGTGACACTACGGGTTCGAATCACCACTTCATCACTTTACTATGATTTTCGTTGCCCGACGATATACTATATAAACATTTGCACTCTTAGCCAAAAGGAGAATAAGAATCTATTCATTTTCATTCAGGTGGATTCAGCAAAGTACACTCGAGTATCGTCTTATACTCGGATAGCAGCATTAACGGGAAAGTTCATATCAGGAGTCACCGCACAACTGCTGACACATTTCGAAGTGATGGACCTACGGGAGCTCAATTATATCACCTTTGCAGGTAGTTATGGTACCAAGAGTTTTATATTTGTGCAAGTTGTTTACAGAATCGCTTACATTAACGAATATCAACTGCGAAAAGTAAATATTTCCAAAAAGACAACAGCAGGACTTAACCACAAGAATTACCGACGAAGTTTCCCAACGTCAGAGACAATCTCTAAAACAATTACAAATCCAAAATCACTCTGGCACTTTTAAAGATAAGCACAAGACATTCCTCTCAAATCAACATTTTAACGTTCATAACTAGAAACTCTAGTGACGTCAACATCTTGACCACAAATTACCAGACAAAGTACCAAAAATTTACGTAGGGCAACGGAAACCTCGTGCTCCACAGCTGTGAATTACGCAGTAATATTAAATAATAAACTTCAAGTCCGATAGCCGAGATATCATTAATATCTCGAGATTCGTATCAAGCGAATTTTTATTGATGAGACTACGTTAGTTATATACCGTCGGGGATAGTGCAATTACGCGTAACTAGCATTGGATTATGAGTTTCCATTTCGGTAATTGAATGGCTAAATGAAATCCGCGTAAATGTGTGATTTATGGGGATCTATTCTATAATCTAAAAATTAAGTTGGAGCCACTGAAATAACAAAATAATAACGTTACATCTCTCTCCTATAAAATTTGCAGATACACGCACGAATACTACATACGCGGATTTGCACTATCCCCAGTATATCCCCAGACAATACGTTAATTGAATTCAGAATTCACTAACAGGCGTTTATGCTTGTAAGTATAGTATAGAAATATTATTTGCACAGATTATCGCTTTATCTTTTGAGTACAATAAGACAAAAGGGCAACTGTCTCCGTCACGCTCGCGCCATCTGTATGTACACAATTAAGGGCCCGTTCCCATTACGCAGTAACGTTGTATCTATCGGACAACTATCGCGTCTAGCCTTTTGCCATATCACGACTATCTGCCATAACGGTGTCGTGAACGTTTATTTTATAGTCGAACGACTGTCGCGTCAAGCTGTTCCCACTAGATCGTGACGACAATTTATCGGTTCACGGTAGCCGCCTTGTCGTTTGCACGACAGAATCGTTTGAAGCTGCGATTATCTGTCGTCACATTTTTATCGTCACGTTTTATTTATCGTCAGATGACTATCGTTCTCCCATCGCTTTTCCCATTGTCACGACAGTCTGTCGTTGTAACTTCAAAAAAGTCGTGAACAACAGTTAATCGTGTCGTGTTACTATATGTGAACAACTTCATTTAAAAATACAAACTCCGACACTTTAAACTGGACGACCATCTGTCGTCACGACATAATGGGAACATTAAGTTAAATACTTTTAAGTCTACTACCTAATTTTATTGTAAACTTAATAATCTTTATGCGGAACTAGCTTTTCAGAATTAATAATACGTGTCGGAATTTTACGAAGTGCAATGCTTTTTCTGAATTTTTTGTAAATCCTGGGAATTTGCAAAATATTCAGAAAAAGCGTTTATGGTTCTATTGCTCTATTATCAAATAAAGGATAAACCGTCTCAAGCAAAAACCTTCGTTCGTGCAAATAATATATCTTATACACGTTATTTCCTAGCACAAGGCAAGCAAAGGTTTTTTTTAATGATACCAAGCTACGGGACGAACAAAACATGCGCCTGGTAGTAAGTGACACGCCTGTCCATCAGCAGTTGCAGTATCACTCAGAGCTTTAAATCGCAAGATCGCAGATCTTTAGGGGCATTGCCACTGCGCCCGTCACCCTGAGACGTAAATTGACAAGTCCCATGTGACTGCACTTGCACCAGCACCCTTCAAAACCGTAACGCATTAATAGTCATACTTAGGGTCGTATTCCAGATCTGCTCAAATCCTGACTTGGGCATTGGCCCAAGTCAGGATTTGAGCAGACTTGAGTATGATTTCAAGCATTGGAAATACGACTCTAATGGCAAGGACTTGAGTATGATTTTCAGTGCTCACTACAATACTCAAGTCCTGACTTGAGCATTGAGTAGAGTTCTGGAATACGACCCTTAGAATAATAACGCATAGAATGATGATTTCATATCAAACGAACTGTCACAAGGAGGCGAAAATCAAATTCATGTAGGCTAGTTTTAGTAGTAGGTTAATTTTCGGTTTTAGTGAATATTTATATAAAAATACAAGTTGAAACGCGTTACTTCCTCGTGGAATGTGATGTTAGTATCTATTTTATGTTTGTCTGACGTATTTTTACACTCATTTACCGCACATTTCGTCATTTTTAGCTAAAATTCTTGAGCTGTTCGCGGTGCAAGTTGACCTTGAGCACTGACGGCCCGCCCGATTGTGTAGGCCCTTTGGGAGCGCTTCAATTTGCCTCACTTAGCGTGTGCGGACTAGGTTTCTATGTAGTCACATTACTGCTTGGCGGCAGAAATAGGTAAGGTGGCAGTACTTCCCAGCGAACTCTTTCACAAGGAGCCTACTGCTACTATAAAGTACTAGTTCGTCCAGGGAAGTACTTCCACCTTTCTTATTTCTGCTGCCAAGCAGTAATGTGTGCATCACTGCATCGCCGTTCTAAAGAGAAAGAGTGCTGCTAAAATTATAGGTACATGGGACTTGTCAACTTATGTCTCAGGGTGACAGACGCAGTGACAATGTCACTCAGATGCCGCCCTCCTTGTCACAACTAACGCATTTTCATTTTGGTAACTTTTAATGTCAGTAATGATGATTTTGCTTAACAATAAAAGTGAAACTGTTATGTATGTAGGTATGTGTGGCTGCGCCCACCACCAGTTCATATTATAATAAATCAGTGCAAAGCTAACCAGCGATCGTTTCACTTGTCAACGCAGCTCCGTTCCGTATATTTAACAGTGGCGACGAACTACCCGCAACAAAAAAGATGTGGAATGGCCTTCGTCCTGAAGTGTTCCCCTTGCGCTATAACATGGAGTTCTTCAAAAGACGTGTAAACAAGGTTCTCCGGAGTCGGCAACGCATGGGTGATGCCTCTGGTATTGCTCGTGTCCATGGGCGACAATGACCACCTCCCATCAAGTGGCTTGTCTGTCGTTTGCCTACTAATTAACATAAAAAAAAAAAAAAAAATTGTGCAAAATGGCGAATATTAGTGCTCAGTTCGGGATTTTAAATAGTTTCGATCACAATATACACACATGGAAAACGTATAAAGGTCGTATTGGGCAATATTTCGTAGCAAATAATTTTAATGAATCGACGGATCCTGAGGGCAAGAGAAGAAAGGCGATCCTGCTAAGCGCACTCACAGAGGGTACCTACAAGCTAGCAACGGACCTGACTTTACCCAAGGAAATCGACGACGTGCCCTACGAAGATTTATTAAATCTTTTAGACACTCACTTCACACCAAAGAGTGTCGGGTTTGGTGAGCGTCACAACTTTTACGCGGCCGCTCAACAAGTGGGTGAAACCCATTCTCAGTGGGCAGCGAGATTACGAGGTCTGACTGCAAAGTGTGGCTTCCTCAATGTCGAAGAGGCGCTGCGCGACAAGTTCATAATGGGCATGCTACCGGGACGAGAAAAAGAAAAGCTGTACGCAAAGGATTTAGCCGGTCTCACGCTAGCCAAGGTCGTGGAGACCGCGGAGAACCACGGAGGGCACGGAGCGCCGCGGCCGCAAGCTCCGCCGCCGGCGGCGCCGACCTAGCGAGCGCGTCACATGATCAGTTATTCAAGATCTCAAATAACGGGAATCGTGGAAGTGTAGGCAAAGTAAAGTGTAGTGTTTGTGGGTTTACGAATCATAAGTCCTCGGAGTGTAAATTTGCAAATTACGTTTGCAAAAAGTGTCACGGGAAAGGCCATTTGCGTAAAATGTGTTCTAAAGTGAATTACGTAAAGGTGGATTGCGGTGGCCAGGGTGAGGATGACGAAACCGATGACGGTGAGCTTTATTACATTCGTTCATTTAGGTGTGCACCCATGGTAGAAACAGTTCTAATTAAAAATAGACCGTTTCAATTTGAAATAGACAGTGGGTCAACAGTAACTGTAGTGTCGGAGGTCTTGTATAAAACTCATTTTAAAGATGTGCCGTTATCCAATACTATGAAACAGCTGATGACGTACAATGGAAAGAAAATTGAATGTGTAGGTAAATTTCTCTGCCTCTGTGGCCGAACGGTTACCATGCCGGACTGCCACGCAGAGGTCCCAGGTTCGATTCCCGGGCCGGGAGAAATATTTGTATGGCCTACATTTATTTCTCTCGTGAGTTTGGGTGTAATTTGTGGTTGTCTATGTGTGTCCATGGCACCCGCGACACAGGGTTTCCCTAGTGCGGGGCTATGTTGAGTGTGTGCGTTATTATTATTATTATTATTATTATTTCGTTTGCCGATATGTTTTGCGGGACAAACTCACGTTATTGTCTTTTATGTAATACGTGACGGAGGCCCGCCTCTTCTGGGTAGGGATTTTATATCAGCGTTTAATTTGCAATTGGTACCGGTGAATTTTTGTGTGGATTCTGTACCACCTGTTGAATTGTTGCAACAACAATATTCAGAGCTGTTTTCGGACAAATTAGGCACTTTTAACAAGTACAAAATTAAGTTGTTGTTGAAAGATAATGCTAAACCGGTTTTCTGCAAGACACGTCCCGTCGCATTCGCTTTGCGCGATAAGGTCGAAATTGACAGGTTGGTCCGGTTAGGTATTATTGAGCCTGTCGAGCACTCAGAATACGCATCTCCGATAGTTCCAGTTCTTAAAAAGAATGGGTCAGTCAGATTGTGTGCCGATTACTCTAGAACTATAAACAAACAGCTGCAGGTGGAAAAATATCCACTTCCCACAACTAGTGAACTGTTTTCTAAAATACATGGGGGTCAACACTTTAGTAAATTAGATTTATCTATGGCATATAACCAGTTTGTTTTAGATAACGAGTCAAAAAATCTTACTTGCATAAATACAAACCGTGGGTTATACACTTTCTCTCGATTAGTATTTGGGTTAGCCAGCGCACCCTCCATTTTTCAACGCGCAATCGAAGGGGTGCTTGCAGGTCTAGATGGCGTATTATGTCTATTAGATGACATTTTGGTCACTGGTAAGGACTGGAAGGAGCATCTTGAAAGGCTGAATGCTGTGCTGAAGCGGCTGCAGGACGCAGGCCTTACATTACAAAAAGAAAAATGTAGATTTTTTCAGGATAAGTTCATTATCTTGCCTATATCATTACGAAAGACGGGTTGAAGAAAGCACCGGAAAAAATTAAGGCCATGGTTGAAGCACCAGTTCCGAAAAATGTTAGTGAGTCGCAGTCATTCCTAGGGCTCATAAACTATTATAGGAATTTTGTACGAAATGCATCCGCAATCCTCAGTCCTTTATATGAATTACTGAAAAAGGGTTGTAAATAGGACTGGAATGAAGTTCATGATACGGCATTTCGAGAAATTAAAAAAGTTATGACATCGGAACAGGTTCTTACACATTTCGATTCAAGTGCGACGATCATTTTAACCGTCGACGCTTCTCCTAAGTGGTTGGGAGCTATTCTTTCTCAAATAGGTAAAGACGGTGTAGAACGACCCTTATCTTTCATGTCGCGTACGTTAAATGCGGCGGAAAGGCGATATGCTCAAATACAGAAAGAGGCAACTGCAATAATTTATGGCGTGCGACGATTCCATCAATATTTGTAGGGCAGAAGCGAACCTTTCATATTACGAACGGACCACAAGCCACTTCTGTCCATTTTCGGGCCACATAAGGGCATTCCAGAGATGTCTGCAAATAGATTACAACGGTACGCTTTGTTTCTGAGTAGCTATAACTACAAAATAGAATACGTTCGCAGCGCTGATAACAGTGCGGACTACCTGTCGCGCGCGAGCCTGCCGAGAGAAGTGCACGAGTGCGCGTGCACCGAACAATGCAAGTGCTGCGATTGCGAGGTAGCATATGACCGGGCGACCTATGTCTGTTTTGTAGTAGACGGCAGCATGCCCGTCACTTTACACAGATTACGCGAAGAAACAAAATCGGACATAGTCTTACAGCTAGTCATTAACTGCATTATGAGTGGCTGGCCGCCTAAAGTTGATGATATTCGGTTAAAACCGTATCATTTGTGTAGATCACAACTGTCTTATGAGAATGGATGCGTAATGAGAGGTCATAAGGTCGTCATCCCCGCGAGTTTACGCCAGACAATGTTAAAAGAATTACATTCGTCATTTAGGTGTAGTTAAAACAAAGGGCGAGACTCGTTCTAGATTTTGGTTTCCAGGAATTGACCAAGCGGTGGAAACCATGATAGGTACGTGTGATGTGTGCATTCAGTTGCGCCCCTCGCCGCCCCGCGCCCCGCTGACTCCGTGGGAGTACCCAGCTCGATCATTTGATAGAATTCACATAGATTTCCTTGGTCCAATTAAAGGTTGCGTATACTTAGTAGCAGTAGACGCACATACTAAGTGGGTAGAGGTATACAATATGAAAACGTCCACATCATCAGCGGCAGTGATTTTAAAATTATGTGAATTTATGTCTAGATTCGGTGTTCCTAAAACGATTGTTAGTGATAACGGCACAGCTTTTTCTTCGCGGGAATTTGAGTTGTTTTGTTCAACAAACGGGATTTCGCATATGACGTCACCGGTCTACCACCCGTCGAGCAACGGCCAGGCCGAAAGTTTTGTAAAAAGTGTGAAAAGGGGAATAAAGTCGTGTCTTTTGTTGGGTCTCAACGCGGGGGATACGTGGACAAAATTACTGAAATACCTAATGGATTACCGTAACTCTGTTAACACTACAACGGGGCTGTCTCTGGCTCAACTGGTATTCGGTCACAAGTTAAGATCTAGATTAGATTTGATTGATCCAAACTCGTCGGCACGCTCGCCACCGCCGTCGCCTGATATAATAAATAACCAACAGTGTACACGAAATAAGGAAGGGAAAACCAGAGTTAAAAAATTAAAGAAAAACGACATTGTACTGTACAAAAAATTTATTAATAAAACAAAGTATACATGGTGTAAAGGAATCGTACAGAAAAAATTAGGAAATGTTCTATATTTAGTGAAAGATATCGATAGTTCGGAAATGTATAAAAGACACATAAATCAATTAATGTTGTACAAAGGGACTAGTAACAATTATTGGGACTCGGTACATAGTTCAAATGTAAACTTACCTGTTGCGTCACCGCCGCCGCTGTTGCCACCGCCACAGTCGCCTCCGCCGCCGCCGCCGCCGTCTTCGCCGCTGTTGTCTCTGACACCGCTGTCCTTGTCGGAACCATTATCGCTGTCTCCCGAATCACCGGAACCCCAGGTTGAACTCCCATCACCGAATATTGCTTCACAGTCAGCCAGTGGAAGGAGAGCCGAACTGTATGTGCCGAGCGATTCTCCATGGCCGGGAGAGGACGAATATGCGAGCGGAACTCTACAGAGGGACGATGAGATGCTAGCTGATTCCGTCTGCGCTACTGCGAGACAATCGAATTCCGACGATGAGTTCTACGAAGCGGATACTGAAGTCGACACCCGAGACAAGCCACAGGGTCCCGGAGTTGTACCAAAAAGATTGTTACGCCCACGTCCCATTGTGTCTTATAAAAAGTACTTTAAATATTTGTATTAATTTAGGTTATTATAATAGAGGGAGGAATGTTATGTATGTAGGTATGTGTGGCTGCGCCCACCACCAGTTCATATTATAATAAATCAGTGCAAAGCTAACCAGCGATCGTTTCACTTGTCAACGTAGCTCCGTTCCGTATATTTAACTTTCCGTATATTCTCGTTATGCTGAATCTAGATAATATGTTAAGAACTCAAGTTTGCTAATAATTACGTTAGTTATAATAACGATCTATGCACAGGCGTGTCGCTAAACACCAGGCGCACCTCTTGTTCGCCCCGTGACTTGGTAAGTATTATAAAAAATAAAAATAAGTCAACGAATATGTTGCTACGAGTCGATACAACCTCAAATGGCTTTGGTTGATTCCCTATAACTGTGAAAGAGTTGAATGAATCACTTTGGAAAAAATATATAGTAAAATTTAGGATATACCCTTACAGTGCAATTAAATTAAGCTCTGAATGGCACTGCAACTGCCGAACAGGCGTGTCGCTTAACACCAGACGCACGACATGTTCGTCCTTGATACATTTTTAAAAATAAGAGAAAATCCGCTCTAGGGCGGTAATGCAATACAGAAGGACAAAAAGGAAAAACTTAGGACATTATGGCCGATTTTGCCTGCATGTCATTACACTGTCTACGAGCAAGTGCGATGAAAAATTGTGATAATAATTTAGGACCAAACTTTGCAGATTCATTAATTTACATTATGTAATAAATCAAATCGAAAATCCATCACTAATGACGGATTTTTGGGGTAATACGTGTATCAAGAAAACTTAACCTAAGCGTGTTTACCCAAATTCCAGTAACAAGTAGTTCAAAAACGCATACCTTAAATTAAATTAAATAGATCAAACCTTAACTAAAAAATTTTTCTTTTTTCTGACCTTCACTCCTTACATGAAACTAAATACTGTCGTAAAAAATGTCGTGTGTCAAAAATTATGGAATTGACAAAACTCGATTTGTAATTTCAAAAATTATTGAATGGAACTAATGAATTTATATTCTCATTTAAAAGATGATAACTAAATAAAAATTATCCCATTATTCGCAATAAGATTTCAGTAGTATGTTTTTAATTTTCAAATCGTGTTTTCTAAATACCACCATTTTTTATTTTCGACAGTATTTTGTTTCATGCGTATTGTACTCATCCTGAAATCGTAATGAACAATTCCAGCGCAAATACTAGCTACTTTTTGGGCATTCTGGCTGCCGCCGGTAAAATACGGAATATACTTCCATCGTCGGAGAACCGTGATTCTAAATCAGCAACCCTTCGTCGACGACGTGACTAAAAAGAAGGCAATACGGCAGCAAGGACAGGCAACTGCCAAGGTAAGAAACTAGACAGCCTATTGTATCACATTTCAACTTAGTCTGAGTTTCATAAAACGAACGTAGACTTCGACCATAGACCAAACAAAAGTTTTTTTTATATGTATCTTGTTAAAATTAGTGCGAAAAAAAAAAATATATATATATAAGATAAGTGAGGTCGAGTCGATATATTTTTTGACAATGGAAAAATCTGAATTTTGAGTATTCCGTTTCTCATCGGCAATCAGAACATCAGAAGTTGTCGAATAATGATACGTATTTTCATTGACTCGCGTATTTGTATTAATTACGCCAGAATTAAACTCATTTGACTTTTTTATCTGATTTTTTACCGATTTGCTTCAAATAAGGAGGTGATAGCTGAAATATAGGTTTCAGTTTGACGAAAAATATTTTTTATGGTTTCAAGAAGTTGGAATATAGCTGGTCAAGGTGTACAGAGTTAAACGGAGATTACGTTGAAAAATAAACCATAATTTAAACAAGTTTTTTTTTATAAGTCACGGACTATACCAAACCCAAACTTATAGTTCCCCTCTTTTTCCATCGGGGGTTAAAAAGTACATCAAGATGGCGGACAGAAGCTAAGATAATTGGCAGAACAAAAGACACATTATTGTACTAAGTGATTTGAAGTAATTTAATTACAAATTAACGTTGTATGGTCAATGTGCACTAAAATAAATCTACATCATCCAATTGATCCATGAATTCACTACGAACTGCTGAGTTCATGATTTGCTGGTAATTCTGAATCAATTATTGATACTGTTACTCACTTCTGTCTGTTACTATCTTTAAGAGCTCCATAACCAAAAAAAAATGTAATCATTTGTTCACCCGTTACATTTGTAAGTCAATGCCCGTTACAGTGTTATTAGTAGCAAATCCATAGAAACTGCCTATCATGCAATCCATTTTTTCAGCCATCTAATCTAGCGCACATCACGGAAGCATTTTCTATGATCGCCCGCCACGCTATGTCCGCGTACAGACGACCAAAAGTAATTACATGGTCCGCGCTGTACGCCGTTGCACTCGCACTCTTCGTGCAAGTGCAGATTTACGTTCAGCTTCTATGGAAACAGATACAGGACCAGACTGGCACTGCGGTATGTATACAAGGAACCATTTCTTTATCCAGTCTCTAAAGGGTCTTTTTCCGACCATATCATCCAACTAAGGCTGCTGACAGACTGCGTTAATGCGTGAAGTCGTAATCAACTTCACGCTGTCGACTCGAATGCCTGAAGTTGATAACGGTTTCACGCATTAACTGCATGCAGTCGATATCGACTGGTGTCATGAAGTTGATTATGATTTCACGCATTAACTGCAAACATACAGTCAAACTGTTAGCAACCTTATGTGGAGGTTTTGTTGAATTTAGTATATTTTATGTTACAAAAATTAATCTACAATAAACAACTCTAAATCGATAATAATTTAAATCGAGCTAACGTTGACATGAGAACACCTTCAAGAGAACAAGTTGAGCTCTCAAGTTGTCTCGAGTATTAAATTAATAAAAAGATAATTTGAACTTTAAAATAACTAAATCTATTTCTTTTATTTTGCCCTAACCTTGTATAGGTTTTCCAAATTTTTTTTATTTAATATTTAAGTATTAAATGTCAATAACAGTTTCAGTCTCAATAACAATAAAGTGACATTCACATTGTATATACGCCCTTATAATAAAAATAATAATTACTTTTATTTAAAGAAATCCGAAGTTTACTGAGACCAATAGAGGCCGCCTATGACCTGAGATTATTGCTTTCATTTATTTCTACGAGGTGACGAGTAGTTCTACACCCAAAGAGCCGGTAATATTCAGACAAAATGTAGCAAGGCACATTTAGGTATCTTATTTGCTTTTACCTACCTTTGACAATGTTTTACAATGACTTTTCAAATAATTATCTCAGCTTAAACATCGTCAATATGATAATAATTGATAAAATGTTACATTCATTAGCCTACATGTTGGCCGTGTTAGACAACATGTTGGCAGTGAAGGCTTCTGTTGTCCGACGTGACATATTACGTAAAAACATCAGACGACAACGCAAGCACCGCTAAACCAGAGCTACATTCTGTCGTAATAGCAGAATAGCAGGTGTAATTAATAACAACATCATAGATTCATTATACTGCTGCTGGATACGGGTCTCCTGCAAAAGAAAGATTTAGGCCAAAGTCCCTCACACGACCCAATTGCAGGTTGGGAATCAGGGATACGAAACGTGGGCCTCTCAGTTAAGAGTCAACAGTTCCTATACTGGACTAACACTGCAACGTGTCGTGCTGCATCCGAATCCATGCTGCTTTCCAGCTGCATTCTAACTCGTGTATCAACAAGTAATACCTCTTTGGATTAAATATAATGATAATTCATCTAGGCCAAACGTTTACACATTAATGCTTGCATTCATTAATCAAATTTCGGACAAAACATGTAACATAAAAACTAAAAACCAAATTACAGTTAATAAGATTATTTAATTTTATTTTATTGAAAACCACAGTACATAGTTGAAAAGTTGGTTATTTTGTAAGTTTCGTTTGTTCGTTACAAAATATGTTTACTGAACAGCTGATTTTTCGTTAATTACCCACAACAAAAGTCATTAGTTCACATGATGACAATCCACATTTAAATTAATATTTCTAATAATTAATGATACTGTCACTCATTTGTGTTCATTGTTATTTTCTGTAACCACCTTTTTACTTAAAATATGTCTCGTCGCCAAATCTGTTTAAGGAAAACATTTAAATAAATATGAATTCCTTTCTGCGTAGTTTATTGTCTCTTAATGCATTTCCCTCATTATCTATCAACGTACTAAGTTGCTTGCGGTGGCGCACTGTTTCAACGCAACGTGTGGCATGTCGTTCTAATTTATATGTAATACAGCAGCGTTACAAAACGCAACATTACAACGCAACATTACGTCGTCGCAACGCCCGTGTGGCATCGCTCTTATTCGGTGGGGCCTTTGTTATTATTACATCTAATTATACCTATCTTTATTCTTATCTTATAAAATGATAATAAAATTAACTTTATTGAGGAAAAAAATTGACATTAATTCTTGAAGTCAGCATAGTACTGGGTCAAGAGCACGTCAAGCTTTACACTTAAGACTTAAATCCAACTCTTTGCCGCTTTCGATAAGAATGGTCCAAACCACAAAGTGTCAAGCTTGATGTGCTATTGACTGTACAGGAAAACATGAGTCTTCTTTCCCTTTCGATTTTATTTATATCCATATAACACTAATAAAATAAAAAAGCACTAAGCAAAACATATACAGTGTTTTTTCCAATGGCACGGTATGGGGATTTTTTTTAATAAAAAATAAGCGCTCATTTGACTTCCATCTCACCTGATGGAAAGTGATGATGAAGTCGACGATGGAGCATGCACACCTAAATAATTTCTATTCACTCTTGCCTTAAAAAGGTCCAAGTTATGACTTTCAGGGAACAAGTCTGCAGGCAGGGAATTCCGCTCCTTGACCGTTTGCCATATAAATGTGGAAGCGAATCGCTTCGTGCGAATTATAGGAATATCCACAACATAGGGGTGGAACCTCAGCCTACGCCTGGTCCCTCGATGCTGGAAAGGGGAAGACGGAATTAATTCGTGCAATTCCCTCGCACACTTCCCGTGATATATCTTTTAAACTACCGATAAGCAGGCTAGTTCACAGCGGTGTTCAAGGCTTTGCAGCTTCGCCTCTACTAATTCTGAGTCACCAATAAGCTTCTTGGCATTCTTGTCGATTGATGCCAAGGTGGCCAGTTAATATGTAGCAGAGCCATCCCACAGGTGGCAGCAGTACTCCATACTCGACCGGACTTGTGCTTGGTACAGCTGAAGCAACTGTCCCGTCACCATCAACCGACCCGAGAGACATGGTTTTCCGGCGAGACTACGGGCTCGACGGCAAGACCAGGGTACAGCGGGCGTCTGTTCAAGCCCTCCACCAATGATACGCCTTTACGGGCGTCTCTGGCGGACCCGGACTTGGGTATGGACTCCCTGGGGTTTGTGGTTAGCTGCAGAGACGGACATGTTTTTCTGCCCCGGTTTTGCAAGTTTCCGGGGCGTCTGTCTCGTCTGAGCAGCTAGCAAGTCTTAGTAGCGGTCTATTTGAGGGCCTGTAGCGAGGAGACGCGCGGGACACATGAGTTGCCCTTTAAGTTAGAAGCTATATCCGGACATTGTCGCAAGACACTGCGACTGGCATCTCCGGCACTAGCCCGAAGAGCTAGTAAAGGATAAGCTAGATATCCTCCGGTCCTTCCAGCCGCTTTTGTTATTGGGAACTGGAGAGACGTCGTTTTTCGAAGAACCGGATGAAGGCAAGTGACAGATAGATAGATAGATAGAAAATTCTTTATTGTTAGCACCACATTACAATATACAGATTACAGTATACAGGACAAAACTAAACACATTACTCGGGTAACAATTGGCGGTCTTATCGCTTACAGCGATTTCTTCCAGACAACCTTAGGATGGAGAGAGATTGTACATGAATAAAACACAGAGGTCTGTGACAACCCTGTACACTGGCTGATCTGGGGTCAGAACCTGAACTTATAAGGTTCCTGTGCACGCCCAGGTTATAGTGCCCTTCTCGCATTCATTCAGGATAGGTAGGGAGGGTCACTATAATCAAAACTAATGTAGAAAGATAGAAAGAAAATAATGAGCTTGTCCAGGTGTGAAGTAATGTCTCACCCTGGGAAGGATGCCAAGCTATTTGGCTGCCTCCTTTCAACCGCTCAGAGTATTTTAAAGACTCCTTTACTGTTAAGGCTGCACTGTTGGAACGAACTCCCGACTGAAATCCGACATTCTAAATCGCTTCCTATATCCCTCTCTGTTCAGTTCTCCTCTGCCTCAAGGGTTGTCTGGAAGAGATTGCTCTCTGCGATAAGGCCGCCTTTGCCCACATTAATTCTAAGTTGTCTAGTACTGTTTTTGTTTTCTGTGAGAGCAATAAAGTGTATTATCTATGTATCTATTTGGCTGCATTTTTGCCATGGATTCCATGTCTCTGCCGAAGTTTAAATTAGATGACAGGTCCATTCCAAGTAGCTGGAGTCAGAGTCAGGTCGAAGGGACTTTATTTTATGGAGAATAGACACGCTTGCGTTTTGGTACCGTTAAATTTGATTAGGATTGGCAACGCCCCAATCGGAGACCGCCTTAAGTGTCGAATGCTTACGACTAACCATGGACTCTCGACAAGACTGGATTTCCTCTCCACTGATCCTTGCAATGGTCAAGTCTTGTGATTGTCTGCACATGTGCTGTCATCAGCATACGCGAAGGTACCTGGAATTAACACATCATTGATGTGCAGCAGAAAGAGAATTACAGTCAGTACGGAACCCTGAGGACTCTATTTATCGCCCGATGTTCGGAAGTAGACCACTAAGACCACACGAATCGATCGTTCAAAAATTTCGAAATTGCAAAGGTCAGTGGGAAGCCCATAGGAGGGTAAGGCTTGCGTACGAAAACCCTGTTAAAGGCTTTAGAAATGTCCAAAGACACTGCAAGTGTTTCGCTTTGCCTCGCTCCATATATGACAGGCATACACAAGAAGATCCCCAGTAGAGCGCCGTCGGCGAAATTAGACCCAAAATATGCAAACAGATTCAAAAAGTAGACCCACTTTATTAAGTCACACATTTTGGCATCCGTTAACAGATAATAATGTATATTACATATTCCCAGGTATCATACAACGGAGCAGTAGAAGCAATCCTCACGCTCCTTGGAGCATTAGGCGCCTTTATAGCGTCATTACTATCTCAGTCCGGACTGCCGGCGCCCGTGGCGGCCATTCAAGGTGTTGCAGTATTCCTCGGCACATATATACCGAATGTGTTCGTTTCGTATGCTGGATATATTGTGATGGGAATGCTGTTCCATTATACCATCACTTTGGCTAGGTACGTCTTGTTTTATTTTGTTTTTTGTCTGTGCACATAGTGTTTTATTTAGAGTATCTATAGTCGTCATAATTTAAGAGGCCCAATTTGACAACTAAAGAAGACAATAGTATGTACTTTAAATGCAATCAACGAAACAGGTCAACAAATAATTATTAAATTATTGCGTTTAAAAAAATACATTAATTTTAATGAAGCATGACAGAACAAATTTCAAGTATTATTTTCGCACGAATTTCAAAATAAAATTACGTCCTCAGTCTTTTTTTTTAGGTAATAGTGTTGTAACCAATTAGTCGCCGAATTTCATGAAGTCAATTCAATTTCACTTACGAAAATATTTAGTTTAGTAATATTTACTTTTTTATTTTATTTTTGACAGAGATGTTAACATTAATAACATGATTGAAAATCGACTATTTTACATACAGTTAATACCTACTAGTTCAACTAATGATTTTGGTTCATCTTCCGATGAAAATGAATAAAAATTTTAACTATGAAGTATTTTTTGATTTTCTTCAGAAGTTTACTATTTAAGTACAGGTAGTCATTGTGATCATTTAAAATACTTGCTTATTGTAAACTCTATATTGAAATGAATGTTAATTGTTATATCTAGAACTGAAAACCAATAACCCGAAAAATAACCTAAACGATCACAGACTCATAAAATTTCTAATCGATTTCTCGTGAAAATCGTCTAAATGGTTACCAATACGTTGAGTCCACATCCCTATTTACGTCGCGATGACTAAATACCTCTTATTTTGTGACGACTTTAATTTGCTACATCATTATGATATTGCTTCTTTCGTGTCATACTCAGGCGAAGGAATGCACAAAATTTAAATTTTCTTTCAGAACGGCTTCCGTCAGTGTGCAGTCCTAAACGTTTAAAAAAACGGTCCTTTTAAACCGCTAATAGCTGCAAGTTACTGTTTCGACGCGAACGAATCATTTACATCACAAAGTGACAATGAATTTCTTATTAGAACTACATAAATGAATAACTTTTCCGTCGAAGTTGTAAGTTGCATCCATTCGTGTTAAAGAGAAGGAAATGACGTCACGCGAGATCTTAACAGACGCGATCACACGAATTCTGTATTTGCTTTATGACCAGTAAACAAATCTCCTCACTAGTCCTCACGCGAGTTTTGTCTATTTTCCCCATGCTAAGCTGGAGATCAACGTTTGAACTAAATTGAGGCTATCAGCGCAAAAGTGGTGTAACCTACATTGAATCTTTTTTCCATAATATTTCTTTGAATGATACTAAAGTACTTATTTATTTGAATGTATTAAAAAATGTAATATAATTAAATAGCCTATATTTTTTTTATGTATATATAATACAGGGTGACCGGAGTCGCTGAATGCGAATTTTCCTCTTTAAGTAAAAACTTTCGTAACTTCCATCGATGTTATGAAGCCGATAATTTTGTGCGTTAAAGTACAATTCATAAAGATTGAGTTACAAAAAAATCCCAAAAAATCTTGCACAAAATGAAAAAAAAAATATACAGCCCATCCGGTTAAAAATTTTCGAAAATTCATTAAAAATCATAACTCGAAAACTACGAAAAATCACGGAACATACAGGGTCCGTCCCAAAAGTATCGAACATTTTTTTTGGGAGTGTTGCCGAACGGCGGGAAGCGCTCCGCTTGGCAACAGAAAGTGGTGGGGGGATCTAGCCGATACAGCGCGACCGGTCCCAGTTGGCTCCGAGCACCTGGAGCGGCAGGACGTGCGTTCGCGTAGAGCTCTAAACGACACCTCGTCGAAGTTTTTAAAAGTAGCGCGATGACGGATCCGTTAGAACAGAGGTACGCAGTGAAATTTTGTGTTCTACTCGGCAAAAATACTGTGGAAACCAACGAGATGATTAAACAGGCCTTCAAGGACAAAGCCTTGTCCGAATCCTCGGTCAGGAAGTGGCACAAGATGTTCCGTGACGGAAGGGAAGAGGTGACCGACGAAGCCCGCTGGTCCCGCAGCCTCCCTACAGTCCTGACGTCGCCCCGGCAGACTTCTTCTTGTTTCCCAGCATCAAGTCGAAGCTCAAAGGCAAGCATTGGGGCACAATTAAGGACATCCAAGAAGCTACGACGAGGGCGCTGAAGGACCTACCCGTTGACGTCTTCCAGGGGGCCTTCCGGGCATGGAAAACTCGCCTAGAAAAGTGCATCGATGCTGAAGGGTGTTATTTTGAAGAGTACTAATGTATGGTACCGATAAGTTCAATAAAAGTATTTTTCCTGAAAAATGTTCGATACTTTTGGGACGGACCAGATACATGGGATTGATACGGATACCCCTCAATACGAGGCACCAAATAATTTTTTTTACCTCACTATCCCGGCCAACCTGTATAAAAAAAATTCATGTGGGTTACACCACTATTGCGCTATGGCCACAATTGTAAATGTACTTTCAAAATTTTATTAAAATGTTAAAACTGCCTGCCCATATTAAGTTTTGACGACAATGTACCCTTTCTTATTATTAGAAATTAGAGTAAAATTACAAAATAATTTGCAAATTTAATTAAGTTTTTTAATAACTGATTTTTTTTTTCAGCGCGAAACTAGCATCGCAACTGACAGACGATAGCTGTTTTGGTCTAATCTTCGGAATAAACACCCTTATTGGCACTGGGCTTCAATCTATACTGACCCTAGTACTTATACAGTCTTTACAATTAGATATATCGACACAGTATTATGCTATAAGTGTTCTGTACTTGGTTTTAGCCTGCGCCTGGCTGGTGGGGTGGATGGTACAGGTTTGTAGGCTAAAAAATAGTATAAATATTGATAGTAACATGGATCAATGAATCAAGGGGACTGCTAATCGCGGTACAAGACAGCGTAGTCGGGTGTTTAGTATCTAATGGTACCAAATATTGCGACGACTGCCTAGCTATTTTTATAACTATAGTACCGGCACGCTATGATGGCCGTTTTGACAGATTACAATAGTGAGGTGAAATCTCAATTCATTATCGAAAAAAATATAATCAAATGCGAGTCGCATCTATAAGATTTTACATTTATAACTAGTATTGCAAGGAGTAGCTGTATAAATTTTTTTAATAAAACGAAAATATAAATGTTTACTTAATATATTAAGACGTTTATCGTTTGACGATATATCGTCAATTCGAAACTGCTTTGTTTTGCTGCTGGTCAGCGATCCCAGAAGTGACGATCGTATTAGATTTCATTTTTAAAGATTTCGATTTTCGTAAATCAAATACCGAGTTGTGTCATAAAATCGACAACAATGTACAGCAATTAGCTCCTTCAACGTGGTTATGAATTAATGCGAAACTTTAAACGTCAAAATGGCCGGTACTATAATTTGTTTTACACTGACAAGCTGCAATTTATCAAAGCTACTCTGATTTCTAGTGATAACACACAAATCAACTAGATGGCGCTTATTGCACAGATTTTTTAATAAATAGTGCCAGCTATTCTTTTATTTCGTTTAGGATTAGCGCCATCTATCCATATTGACAAGTGTTAATTTATAAATTAGTTTGTAACCACAATGCCATCTATTGACACGCATATTTATCGAAGTTGAGAAAATAATTTTAGCTCATGGCATTGACTTACAATTATATGGACGTCGGGTCCGCGCTAAAAAGTGTCCGCACTTGTAAGGCGCTAAAATCGTATACAGAGCGCCAAACTCCGCTTTAGTCTTCATTTGTTCGACTGACAGCGCGATACTGCGATGACATTACAATTTAAATTTCGAATAGGTTGACTTGGGACATTTTTTTCGTGGTTTTTGTATTAGACCCGTCGTCCATTTATTTGTAAGTCAATGCTCATGGTCAATATTTGAATAACATTGGCCATATGGAAAAAACTGACTTCTTATATTTCATATTAAAGAGGAGTTAATTGATATCCACGGCCATGTACATAACATAAACTACTTCCAGGCTATTGACCAGCGCCATCTAACACGGAATTTTGACCTTTTTCAGAGCTATGATCTGTAGTATGGAGATTAGCAGTCCTCTTCAATTATTAGTCCATCTTAATAGCCTATAATATTTTTATGTATATGAACTCTTGTTGAGATAATAATGTAATATTATTTTATATAGGAAACTTTTAACGTAATCCCTTTAATTCACAAATTAACAAATCGTCGGTTAAAAGGTAAAACTCATTAAGTGACATTTTGTTCAAAAACTAGATTTTTTCAATTTTGCTTTATTGGGAAGAACATCTATGACAAGAAAAATTCAGTAAGTCTGTGGTGTCCTTCATGTTTTAATACATACCAGTCCTTTAGTGATTTTTCATAATGAAAAAATACAAAATCTTAATTATCTCCCTTTGGCCAATTAGGCTATTAGTGAGTTTTACCTTTTAACCGACGAAATTTCCAAACGACTAATCCGTAAAGATATTTTTTTATAACCCGTTCTTTAAAAAAAAAACATTACGATTGACTTGTTATGTAATATGCGCTCCGTGGTACATCTCGTATTCATACGAGGCTCTGACTGAATAAAACCTTGTGATGTGAACAGTGGCGTAGTGTCGATTGTTGCCGCCCGGGGCCAACCTTAAACTTGCTGCCCCCGTCTATTTTCACAGTTACAAAAGTAGGTCGTTCGGGATTCGCTCTGGGCCTTTTGGAGGGAAAAGTGTCGTTTTTATTTTGATTTTCAATTATTTTGTGAAATCTAGTTTAAAGTGGAATAGGATAGTGCTATTGTGCCTTAATCGAAGATTAAAACGCGAAATTATACGAATCTCGAACTAAAATGCTCGTATCGGCCCGTTCTAAGGAATCCCGAGTCAATCCAAGCATGCCACCTCAAATTGCCTAACGCCACTGGATGTGAACAAATAAAAACATAATTAAAAACATAAAAACTAAAAACACCCGAACTGATGAATCGTAAACAAATTGTAAAAGTTGAAAGATAGCTAAAGATTGTTGTAGATCAATATGGAAAAATATAATGATTTTTTTAACGTATTTTATTTATACTTTGATTCCGTACGGGCTATTTGGCTTAATCCAATATTTAACCGTCGTTGATTTCGTCCTAAGAAGACAGGCAAATGTTAAAGACCGGACGGCCTTATCTTGTCTTCTTTTCGCCTTTAGTGTGGATTTGATATTAATAATGTGTATATTATCTTTATTTGTATTTAAATAAGAGAATGTGTACTATTTTAGTAAATTAAAAATGTTAGACTGTGTTACTTATACGGTATGTGATGTGATAGTCTCCACTCGTAGGGGTTCTCAAACTTGTGACGCGTTGATACTTAAAATTCATATAAAAGTCTAGATGGCGCCACTTTTAAAAATTCGTTTAAAATCCCGCTAATCGGGCGTATTTGGTCGTCATTACTGCAATCGGTGCGACTGTTCTATAACTTCTAAGTGTTAGTATTGCGAGCATTCTTGAGTTTAATTATGTACTTGGTGTAGAAATAATATATTAAGAGCATTGACTTACAATTATATGGACGTCGGGTACGCGCTAAAAAGTGTCCGCGCTTGTAAGGCGCTAAAATCGTATACAGAGCGCCAAACTCCGCTTTAGTCTTCATTTGTTCGACTGACAGCGCGATACTGCGATGACATTACAATTTAAATTTCGAATAGGTTGACTTGGGACATTTTTTTCGTGGTTTTTGTATTAGACCCGTCGTCCATTTATTTACAAGACAATGATTGAGAGACAAAATGGCTCGAGATTTTGCCTCATTAATAAATTTCCTCCATAATAAAATGACGAAATAAAAACTAATGAATCATTCTTCGTATCAAATACAATTTTGTCATACTGGCATCAGGCAAACGGCCATTTGGCTGGTGCCACGTATTGTACGTTATTTTTGTTTAATCCATTTTGTTATAGCAAATAAAACTATATTTTCCGGATTTAAAAACGTTACTTTTTCCTTGAAGACCTGTTAAAAAACCCGACACGTTATTTTAAAAAAATATGCTGTTTTATGTTCGAAAAACATTATATCAATTAGTTTCATTTCGAATGTGTAACAACCGTAAGACCTCGATCTAATAAGCCAGTTTAAAAAAACAACTAATGCTGCCAACTATACCAACATTTGTGACATATCTTCATTTTGGACATAACATCGCCCTCGCAACCTTAAAGAATGGAAAAAAAATTGTCTAAGCTCGCAACAGTAGTACAAACTCTCGACTGAAGCATATCATAGTAACCCTTAGCGGCCATATAGTTTACGAGCCCTATACCCCACCTACTGTGGGGTCGGGCTCGGCCTGCGGCGCGTGGACGGTTTCAGATTACTGGGTGTGCTTATGCTCTTCGTTCGCACAGTGATTAAGTACTATGGGCGCTTGATGAGGAGGTTCCAGATTCGATCCCTGATTTGAACCAAAAAAATATTTTTAAATTGGTTCTGGTCAGGGTATTCTGGGTATTGCCCTCAGAATTATCGTTACTCTGATACTCATAGTACAGGAAATTCCCTACTTTGAAATCAGAAATTTGGAGTGATTATCTGGCATTTTTTCCTTAAACTTCTCTTCTTGGCATAGCTTCCAAGAAAAAAGAATCTAACAGAGAGACGGTCGATATACAACAACGCTATAAGTTACTTATTTCCACTACATCGGGAAGTATGCCTTACATTTTGAACAATTGTGAAATCTTGTACCGTAATAGAGTCTATATATACTACCTACCTATGTATACTACCTACGTGAGTTGGCGTGCGGACGCTTCGGGAGTCGCCCTCCGCTACAACTCGGCCTACGGCCGTAAAAAGTGAAAAGTAAATTTTTACTGCAAATTATTATTAAAAAGCACCCATAGAGATCCCCAAATTCCGATTTTCAGCTGAATTAGAGCAAATTTCCATCTGCCGCCAAAAAGTTTGTATGACAGCCATATTAAAAAATGGCGAAAAATAGATTTTGACCGCAAATTATTATTAAACACCCATAGACTCCCCCACATGCCGATTTTCAATCGAATTAGAGCAAATTTTCATCTGCCGTCAAAAAACACTTCTATGGCAGTCATATTGAACAATGGCGAAAAACTAATTATGATCACAAATTATTATCAAGCACTCCTAGAGACTTTCAAAGAGATTTGAGCAATTTTTTTTCTGCCAACGAACGCTTCTATGACGGCCATATCTGAAAATGGCGAAAAACAAATTTTGAGCACAAATTATTATGGCATTTCTAGTGGCCTTCACATGCCAATTTTCAGTCGAATTAGAGCAAATATTAGAGCTTATCCAAATAAGCCATATAAATATGGCTGCCATCAGCCATATTAAAAAATGGCGAAAAGAAATTTTTGACCCCAAATTATGATTAAGGACTCCTAAAGACCCTCACAGGCCAATTTTCAGCCGGATCGAAGCGAGTTTTCTTCGGCCGCCATTTTGAAATGGCGATCTTGATTTTTTTTAACCTAGGCAGTTGACCAGTGTTACCCTCTATGACATTCCTTCGAGCACCTCCTACTTATCTCTAATAGATTATGTGAAGTGCACAAAATTCCCCAACCCCGCATGTTTTATAGTTTTTGATGAAGATATCCATAACATTAACCTTAGAGCTAAGTCCAAACTCCTGGTACCACGATTTCGTTAAACCAAGGTAAACAACTCTTTTATGGGGAACTGTATACGTTTTTACAATAAGATTCCGGAGCATATATTAAGTTTATCATTTCCTAAGCTTAAAAACTACATTAAAAATATTTTGATCGACACGGCTCCGGAATCCACACAAATTTGATTCAAAGTGTATTCCATAGCATTTAAGTTTATTTGAAAAGAGCAATCCCTAGAGTTTCTTGCTCGTTCTTCTCAGGGAGGTCAGCGTAGTGAACGAGCAGTAGCTTAAATGTGACGTTTTCAAGTGTAAATTTATTTTACCTATGGAATAAAAAATCTTTGACTTTGACTTTGCAGGCCGTTGATCACTCGTTTACATTTTCCACATTCAGGTCTTCTCATATTTGATTCTTTGCCTTGGAGCCAATCCGCGTACAACGGTATAAATATCTTTTTTCTACCATATCGGGAAGTATGCGTTCTATTTTTCTAAGTGAGTCAGGATTTGTAGCTTTATATAGGTATATAACTATTTATATTTATATATATTATATATAACTATAGATGGCGCGCGGTGCGCCAGGCCCGCGAGGGCTTTCTTTATGTCTTGTGGCAAATTGGGAGTTGAACTTTATATTTCAGTAGAGAATCCTCTTTGGTTGAGTTTGAGTGCCAAATTTCAGCACGATCGGTAATTTTTTTGACCGCCATATTGAATTGACCATTTTGAAAAAATAAATTTGACAGCCGATTGGCTCCTATCATCCTCTCGGAGATTAGTCTGAACATTATTTACCCCTAGTAATTACGGAGATATAGTCGCACGAAATTTATGTGGCGGCCATTTTGTTTTGCGAATTTTAATTTTTTTTTTATTCCTGGTAGAAACTGCCCAGGGTGTGGAACAACATTTGTTTGGAGACCTTGGGGTTAAAACGTATACTTTGCCCGTGCAGCTGGGGTGCTACCTGATGCAGAGCACTTTTCGAAGGATTTTTGGTACTTTCTTATACTTACCAAATCCGCTCAACCATTATTCACATACGTATCACCCTTATACACCCGCTCTTCTTCTGGGAGAAAAATGCATCAATAAACCGACCACGACTCCCGTACATCATTTTTACCCACCACGACTCCTGGGAGAACAATTATGAAAATGACAATATCAGTCAGTGGTAATCGAGCTATATATAATACGAACCGGCCGTTGATCACTCGTTTACTTTTTCCACATTCAGGTCTTCTCATATTTGATTCTTTGCCTTGGATAGGCATCCGCGTACAACAGTATAAATATCTTTTTTCCACCATATCGGGAAGTATGCGTTCTATTTTTCTAAGTGTAGTGTGTATAACACATAAATTGTATGTGTAGCACTGTAGAAATGCATATTGTGGATATAGAATCAAATGTGATATTATTATGTTGTACTTAATAATTTAGTGGTGTAGCAAGACACCTTAGGGCTTATACATTAATGAAATTTGCATTTGTTATTTGTTTTCACTGTTAATTGAATTAGACTTAAGGGATGGAAGTTCTAAGATTTTGTGTGGCCTGAAATAAAAGGATCCCTAGTTTGTTAAAATAGCCATGCCATTATTAGATCATATTTTATTATTTACATAATCGTCCATGTATAATATATTAATATCACCATGAGAATATTTAAAATGTATTTAACGAAAATCGGGTTTTTTTTGTGAACAATAAATCACTTTATTTTTTTTGGTTTGTTTAATTTTAACTAGCGGTAGTGGTCGTTTCTAGGTGCTTTTTGTTCTTGCGTAAATATATTTCCATTATTGAAAAGGTAAAGGGGTAAGTGACATTTCACGTGAGGCTCAGATATATTCAAATTTAATGAACTAATCACTTATAATGTCGCGCAAAACGACGGAGCCATAGATACAAAAGTTGAAGTTGATCACTTATAATAATAATAACGCGTACACACTCATAGACAAACTGTGTCACGGGTGCCATGGTCACATACATAGACAATCACAAATTACACCCAATCTCACAAGAGAAATAAATATAGGCCATATAAATATTTCTCCCAGGCCGGGAATCGAACCCGGGACATCTGCATGGCAGTCCTGCTTGGTAACTGTTCGGCCACATAGGCAATTCAATCACTTGATACGAACGCGGGCGCAGACGGCGGTAAACAGCAACCCAACCCTTGTTTGCTTACATACTACACTAGCCACGTTGATTAAAATTTACTTAAAAATTGTCAGTTTAGTTACAGGTCTACCGCCTAAGTCGGTTTATGAGGCAGCTGCGCAGTACCGGAGACGTGACAGTTTACGTAACAGTTAGTTGCACTGCACACGGCATAATTTGAACAAGACATTCAATAAAAAAAAAAGAAGCGAGTTCACGGTCTTCAAGGCCGCCGGTAGGTGTCCAGAGTCATTTCCAGCTATTTCGCTAAATGGCATGAGTGTACAACAGGTGTCTCATTTTAAATACCTTGGACATATTCTTGCCGACGACCTTAAAGATCGCAGGGCTTTGGCGGTCCGCGGGAATATGCTGGCCCGCAGGTTTGCCTGCTGCACGGACCAAGTAAAAATCACGCTTTTTAAAGCGTATTGTCAGGGTCTGTACACGGGCGGCTTGTGGTTTAGCTGTTCGCAAAGGTCGCTAAATTCCCTTCGCGTCCAGTACAACAACGTGTTCAGGATGATGTTGAGACTACCCCGGCACTGCAGTGCCTCTGCAATGTTTGCTCTATCCCATACAAGCTGCTTTAATGCGGTCTTGCGGAGAAAGGTAGCATCTTTGGTTAGTAGGCTCCGGGGTAGTGACAACAGCATTCTGAGAGTTATTGCAAACGACCACAGAGCGCCTGTACTGAGGCATCTCGTACGGACAATGATTCCGCACAAGATGCCTCGTAAGTACATGACATTTTAGTTTCTAAGTAATTTATAATTATAATTTCATACTAACAATAGTCTATAAGTTTGTTTCTTTATTTTTACTAACACCAATGGATCCTGTTATCTGAGAAATAAATAATTTGAGTTTGAATAACAAATTGACTGAAAAAAGTGCCAAATGGCTTGTCTATTCATTTCAATTATCAAATAAATAGCTTTTTTATTATTGTTTCACATAACAACAATTTACTGGTAGGCACTTTTTTCAATCAACTACAGTAAGTATATGTCAATAACTAAATTAAATGCAGCGAATAAAACATAACAAGTTACACATATAAAACGGTTTTGTAATAACAACATGCAATATTGTAAATATATATTTTTATAATTTTATGTTCTATTTATTTACATAAATTTTGTAATAAATATTCTGGAATGTAAACAATATGGTATAGAACATCATCTCCTGAATATTGTATGAAATACTTCTTAACTATTCGATTATGAATTTGTTTTTACTTTTTACATTCACTTTCTTCATTGAAGCTCACAACCTTGCATTATTAAATACACTTCTTAAAATCCAATGAAACAAGTAATGTACAAATATAATTTACTATATACACTGTTTTACGTTATTTAACTTTTACGCGTACTGCATTGATGTGGGTCGGGTCTTGAAGTATACGTAAGTGCAGATTAGAAGAAATATTATGGCGAAAGTTGGCAAGACGATTGTGTGGATTTGTTGCCTCATTTTGGCGAATTCCTGCTTCCTTTCGCGTTTCTGACGGGCCGTTTCCTTCACAACACCCTTCAACTTTCTCATTGCTGCAAATAACAAACGTAGAACATTGTAGAACTTCGATAATAAATGTGCCACGTCTAACTAACAAATAAATAAACACAATACATGATTATGAATCAAAAGTACACTTTAAATAACAAATTACGTGCCTTTGGTAATAAATGTCCTTTTTAAAACAATTAACACGGCTTAGAAATTTCCAAGTGTAGTTAAAATAAATTTTGAAATTTATCAACACGTCATAACAAAATTCGCCAACGTTGAACGTCCATGTCACAAACTACTAAGTACATGTGTTCACAAACCACTAATGTTAAAGCCGCTGTCAATGTCATTGTCAACTGGCATTGAGTATTCAACTAGTAAACGGAAAAAAACACATTTTTTTTATTAGAATTTAGGCTTGGATACAAGTTTTTTGAGCCAGGTGCATAGTTCTCGAGTATTATTAAATTTTGCTATCTGTGTTTTTAATGTAATTTTATGTAGTATTGAGTATGACAAAAGGATTTTGGGTTTTTTAAATAATCTTTTAAACGGCAGGAGCTATTAATTATTATCCATGTTTTCCATACAATTTGTCTTCTAAATCTTGATCCTTCTTCCAGAAACTTGAAGTCTTAATTGAACGTTTTAAATCTTTAAACGCGTCTTTTCCACAGGATAGAAAATAATCTAAGTACAGAGTACTAAAAAAACCGACCTCAAAAGTCATTCATCCACTAGTTTGCTACCACCCTTGGCGTTGGAATATTTTCATGAAATTTAAGTAGGACTGAGGAACATACCCTCTTTTCGATAAAAAATAGAATCACCAGAATCAGTTCACAAATATTATCGCGTAATATACATTAAAGAAACAGTCGAATTAAGAACCTCCTCCTTCTTATAAAGTCGGTTAAAAAAGAAAGAGTCTCTCACTTCAAATAGACTATGTTTAATATTTTTTCCATCCTCTAAGCTTCAAATTCCCGCCATTTTTTTGACGGAAAACAAGTATAATTTTTTTTTATTAATAATTTTGGCTTGGATACAAGTTCTTTGAGGCATGTCTTCGTTTAATTATGTTTCTGTTAATATGGCCGTTACAAAGAAGATAGGCAATTTGAGGCGGCGTGTTTGGATTGACTCGGGCTTCATTAGAACGGGCCGATACTGGTATTTCAGTTCGAGATTCATAAAATTTCGCGTTTTAATCTTTGATTAAGGCACAATAGCACTATCCTATTCCACTTTAAACTAGATTTCACAAAATAATTGAAAGTCAAAATAAAAACGACACTTTTCCCTCCAAAAGGTCCAGAGCGAATTCAACAAGTATAAAATGCATGTTTTTTTTTTAAATTTATTAAGGCCTTGGCAAAGCCATCAGCCTAAACATGAAGTTTAAATATGTTTCCGTAAATATGGCCGCCACAAAGAGGATAGGCAATTTGAGGCGGCGTGTTTGGATTGACTCGGGATTCCTTAAAACGGGCCGATACGGGTATTTTAGTTCGAGATTCGTATAATTTGGCGTTTTAATCTTCGATTAAGGCACAATAGCACTATCCTATTCCACTTTAAACTAGATTTCACAAAATAATTGAAAGTCAAAATAAAAACGACACTTTTCCCTCCAAAAGGTCCAGAGCGAATCCAAATGCATGTAATGAATAATAGTGACGTCATTTAATCAATATTTTCCGGTTTTCATTTTGCATATAAAAATAAATAGTATTAGCCGGTTTTAATAAGTGAAGAACTATTAACAAATAAGGTGCTGAAGTGCACTGGCATATTTACTGTAGACTGCACATACATATTGTTGATTTACTGTTTTTTTTGTTTGTGGAACCAACAGATAGGCGTGTAAAATAAATAAAAATAGGTATTTTAAGTTCCGTATTTAGCATGTGCCAGACTCGCTTTTGAACACTTAAATTAATAGTAAGGTGTAGTCAATAAAACACAAGTTCACAATAAACATTTAATATTTTTTGTTTAAGTAAAAAAAAACTGGAAACGTCAAAATGAACATACAGTACATAATATACTTGACCGCACACTTTTCTGACACCCGTGTTAAATATTTTTTTTATTAACTCTACTCAATCATGTATTATAACAACAACAAAAATAACAAATTGGCTCAACTGTACATTACCATCGCACGAGTTGAGAGTTGAAATTAATATGGTGAATAGATTACATAGTTAGCAGTCTAATCCTAAAATATTAGCTTTAGGAAACTCGTAGTTTTGATAATAAAAATTATTGAAATATTCGAAAATAAATGATAGGAAACAGGTTTTGTAGGTTAGGAAAGCACAGCGTTTGGTTGTTGCAGCATTTTTTTTGAAATAACGCAATAAAATAAACATTTTCGCAAAAAAAAAATGAACGAAACGCCGCGCGCGCGACGAAAATGTTTATTTTTTTGCGTTATTTCAAAATTTTTTCGCAGTATTGAATTAAACAGCACAAATTAATACGTAATTGTAAATTTAACATAGAAATTTACTATAATTAGTATGTAAGCTTTTATTTTTGAACAATTTTTTGTTGCAAAAAAATAACGAAACGCGAAAAGAACGCCATGTTGTTTGTTGTTGTTTACTGTTTGATGTATGCATCAATTAGGATTTTGTGGTTTTGCCTGGTTTTAGGTTAAATTTAGTTTCTCATATAACACAGGAAGTGGGGATAGGGGGGTGGGTATTTCCCGCTAGGGGTTCGGGGGGAGGGGTTTACCCCGCTCTTTGGTGCGAAAACATGATTTTTGGGGTTGTTTTTTACAAATTTTCAAAAATTAATATCTCGAAAACTATTAACTTCCTAACTTTGAAACTTTGCACGAAGGCCCCCCAACCCTTCCCCCCCCCCCCTCAAATCGTGCGATGGTAATGTGCAGTCCTTCCAACAAATTCAACGGAAGTCTCAACATTTTGCTTAAACTATAAAATTCGAAGTAACCAACACCAATTAAATTAGCGAGATTAAAATTTATATAAATTTCATATAAGTCAGTTACTCTATTTCGTGCTGTGTGATTATTTGCATGTAACTTGTATCTTGCAGATTAGAAGTTGGGTTTATAGTGGCCCATGAAAGATGTTTCAAGTGACTATGGATTTTACAATTTATGGGAAATACAACAAGGTTTTTAACTCTCTTAAGTACTAAAGACTAGCTAGTTATCTTGCAGCAATGCTGTTAACTTTGTTGAGAAACGCTTCAACATACTACAAAATTCTGACAGATTATATGTCGCTGGGGATAGGAATGGACCACTTTATTTTATTTTACAGCTACACTAGGACATTATTCTAACTAAAACCTATTATTAATTATATCAAGGTACATAAATTTTATAATATCACTTTTCTAATTATCAAAATGGCTTTTCTTTTATATGTATCTATAATTCTCACAGATAACAGACTAGTTACATCAACAAAAGCAAAATGGTTCTTAAGTACACAGTATCCTAAAATTTTCTTAAGTCGTTTTTAATTTTGTACATTTCACAATAATATTAATTGAGATAAAATATTTTCATCAATTTATTTGCCCCTGTCGTTTTACTAGCGCCACGTAATATCTTGTGATGGTTCATCATAATTAAGTACATTTTAAAGCCAAAATATAAATAACCGGCACACTTGTGGCAAATTCAAATGTGTATTCATGTAAAATGCCAGTAGCTGCCACATTTAAGGTAATTATAGTGTGTATACATATAAAAGGCATGGCAGCTAAAGGTATTTACGTTTTGGCCTTTATGTTTAAAACATTCAACACACAGAATTCTCATGAGTGAAATTAATCAATGTTAAGGGCATTTAGTAATGATTGGTGTAATAAGGTCATATTTTATGCTTAAATAGGAGGGTTATAAAATTGTACATATCACACTGTTAATACAATAGTGTATTAACCAAAAAAGTGTATTTGTTCAGAATCTATGAAAACAAATGCTCACTTCCCGCAAAAGATCATTAAAATTTATGTATAGGTTAACGTTTGTTACAGACATCTAAACAATTTCCTACTAGTCAAATATATTTAAAAATGAATGAGAAGAAATAAATTCATATTTATGTATGTTTTGGCCAGAACTAGCTTGCATAAAATTTGTCTCATTTTGAGTTAAGTCGAACCTTTTGATTGTTTCTCACAATATTCTAACGACGGTTTTATTGACGTGTAGAGAATCAAATTATGTTATTATTCTTATTAGAGTGGCTTCATTCAGGGTCTATGCATCCCCTCATCACTGCGACCACTGACTGATCTATTGTGATTACCACTAATTACAGTGCAAAGCCAAGGCCGGCAGCATTGAAGAACTGAAGGACTTTCCTGTCTCCAATAGATTCAATATCCTCTGGTTGTGGCATGTGCCTTCAAACCAAATTTTAGTTTCAGCAATGATACAATCTTGAATTGCATATATTTTGAGATACAACACCAACACTATTGTAATGGCAGTGCGTCATACATTATTTGTGTCATTTAGTTTTATAGTATTGTTATGACTTTCACGGGGTATAGTACTTTGATATATGATCACATGTGGCTATATTAATAGCTAAACAAGAATAAAATTCCTCACTTTATTCTGTATCCATAGTACTAGGCGTAATGCTGGGGTCAGCGTAACTACAATCCATGGCATACATGCATTCCATTGCGTAATTGGTTAAATTTTTTGTTTTGTTGTTGGGTTTTCTTTGTGGCGCATCTTTTTGATGCACGTTGCGGACGTGTACGCCGACGTTCCCGCGATGTGCGAATGCCGCGCCGCAGATGTCGCATTTAAACGGCTTCTCGCCAGTATGCGTCTACAAATAGAATACGAATGTTGTAGCACTTGAATGGTTAAATCAAAGTTATGCACTCATATGGCTAATAGCCCTGTTAAAAGGATAAGGACCGCACTTATTAGTTATTAGTCAAGCTACAAAGAGATCGTATATGCAGCGCTCAAGTATCCTCACATCCAGTTCACACAATTTTGTACCTTAATAACGGGAAAATAGAGATGAATATGCTATAGACGAAAAACATGACGCGTCGCGACACTTCGACTCTGCGCCAGTGTGAGTTGAGCCTTATATTGACTTTGTGATCATGGTATCACACATTTTTGCTTTAACCAAATGAAACGGGTAACATGACGGATTGTCTAATGAGTCAACTAGAGAGTAAAACCAACAATTTTTTTCTCTCGAACCAAAGCAAACAACACAAATAACAGTAAAACATACCCGTATATGCAACATAAGCTCCGATTTCACTTTGAACCCCTTTCGGCAATAGTCACATATCAACATCTGCTTTTCAACATGGACACGTTGATTATGGCGGTAGAGCTGCGTATGATTGTGAAATTTGCGTTTGCAGTCTGGACATTCTACTTGTTTCTCTCCGTGTGTCAACTCATGGTCTCGGAGACGCCGTTCTGTCTGTAAGTTTAGAGATAATTGTCATGTGAAGTCTCTCTAGGCACAAAAATACGCATGTATCATGAAGAGAAGCGAGGCAGATTTGTACACTTTTTTAACTTTAATTTTGGGCTACAAAATTAAATTATAATGAATATTTTTCCTACCTAATTGATGATAAACTATTGCTAATTTAATCTTTTTTTTCATAAATAGCATTGAATAATTGAAAAAATTTGATTTTAACAAATAAATGGGAATTGCCCAATACTGCCCCACCTGTGAGGTACTTTGATACATCGCTTGAGGCACTTAGATGTGTGAATCAACGTAGTGTGCCATTCCTGGTTGCCACGTATTATCAGCACTAGGTGATCAACTGTTCATAAAGTATGACGCTACATATGCCTCAGTACTTGCTAGATTAAGACCTCTTTCTAGGGCACCATTTGAAAAGTGTTCTTTGTAATTTAGTCTTGGAAGTAGAAATACAGGAGGAAGAGCTAACTATAGCGCAAAACGTCACTAGCTCACCTCTTTACATATATAATATAAAAATATAATATTTCTCGTACAAAATAACTAATAGGAGCTCTTTGATACGTACCAAACTGCCCCACTCACTAGTGTATAAAAGTACCCCACCATCAAGTTTAGAAAAAAAATTATTTAAAAAAAATCTTAATACATCTTTCAGTCGCATGCAATTCTATTTATTGAAAACATTAGTTTACCCTGTATTAGGACATAAAACCCTGTAAAGTGAACAAAACTGAAGTGGCACTCATATTTGTGTCGCTTATTTTTTTAGTCAACGGCTGTGAAAACACTTTGTGACCTGTCGAACGACAACGGCTAACTGGTGAGCTGCATCATCGCATGTCTGTTACTCACACGTACAAAGGCACGTTTTAGTATTATCATAACTTATACTATTTTTGAAGGTATGGTGTATGAATGTGCCCCCTGTATCAAACTGCCCTGCTTCCCCCAACATGTTTCTGGGTGTGTGCCACTCTGGCAGAGTACGTGCGTGTGTAAATAAAAGCTAAGGATGCCGCAGACATCTGCATCCGCAACCGCAGAACATATTTTTAAATATCTTTTTTTACACCCGACATCAATCGATGCAGAGTTTTTGCGGAGATGGATGTCTTGCAGGTCATGACAAGATCGTTCCTGCTCAAAGTGCGTGCCTAGTACTAATACTAATCAGGGAGGGAATCGAGAATACGGCAGCGTGTAATGCAGGCAACGACCCGTTTGTTCTCTAAACAAAAATTATTGAGTTCACATTGACCATTTCATTCAAGGTAGCCCAGCTCTATTCGCGTAAAGGGTGGCTAACGGCATCTTTAAAAACTTTAAGCATTAATAAGTGTTATAATATTTCTATGCCTTCTATCTTACGTCTCTTTTGTAATAAAATTACGTAAAATGATTATCTTTTACTTAAAGTAATGATAATTTAATATCACCAAATCTAGTGATCCACATTTATTCTGAAAACAAAGAAAAATTTCACACATCTGCAACTGCAGATGTCATCATAATCCATATCTGCGGCATCCCTAATAAAAAGTATGTCTCTCTAGAGAGAGATATACTTAATAAAAGTATCTAGAGAGACATACTATACATATTTTAGTATTACATATTTTTTGTAGTAGAATTGTCTACAATTGCTTATTTTCGCTTAATAATTAGAACACTGGTACCTACCCTTTTGCTAATTCCACAGAACTGACAGACGAATTTAGGTTTCACATGGTAAGGGTATACCACATTTGGGTGACAAAACAAATAATGTTTGTAGTGTATCTTCTTTTGCTCAACCATGTAGTTGCACTGAAATTTTTATAAAATTAAATCAAAATATTGTAACATCATTGTGATTGAAGCTGTGTCATTGATCAATTTGAACATCTTACTATGTTATGAATGCATAATATGAAGTAATCACATCACTATCACTATTTTCTCAATAACATCTAAACGCTGATCTATGTTTACAAAGTTTGGATATTCTGACAGTTAAAACTCTCAATGTGTCCATATACAATTGGGTATGGTATGTATGGCATTTCTAGTTTTTGGTAGGAATAGAACATCTTGTGAAAGAGTTTGTCTAAGGAAGTACTGCCACCTTATCTATTTCCACCGCCAAACAGTAATGTGACCATTACTGCATTCCAGTTTGGAAGAGTAAGGGTGCTGATGAAATTACAGGCACATGGGACTTGTCAAGTTACGTCGCAGGACAAAGGCTTAGTGGCAGTGCCCTTAAAATCTTTGCGATTTAAAGCTCTGAGTGGCACCAGAACTTTTATGGATAAGAGTGTCACTTACCACCAGGCGCATAACTTGTTTGTTGGTATTATAAAAAAAAAATGGAAAAATATGTATATTATGACCGATACTCACATGATCACATTTTCTAGGATATTCTCTGCCATCAATTTCAAAGTGTACTCTAGGTCTCCCTCTGGGTGTACCCTTGTTCCTCCTTTTTCTCTTCTTAACAGGAAGACGGGTCTCATCTTGTTTAGTTTTCTCTTTTCTTATTGTTCTCTTGTCTTTCTGTACTGACACATCTGGCACCGCAATTTCTGTAGCATAAGTAATTTGGTCTGCAAACTCATCAACATCCTCAGATTGGGGTTCATCAATTTCTTCTTGTTTAACTTTAACTTCAACCATAAAAGAGCTTTCGTCATACAGTATTTCATCAGAATCAACTTCCACAGTAATTTTCTTTAATTCTTCCTTTGAATCTATTTCTTCACCCAAGGTTCCTTTCAATATGTTATCTTCTTCGTCTATATGAAAATCTACACCAACTTGGTGATAGCCTAATGTTGATATTAGACCTAAGCTGCATCTGTCTATACTTCTGAGAGCTACTATGTTGACCTGGAATTTATTAATGGTTACTTTATATATATACATACATACACACACACACACACATACATTTACAATTATATCGATACTAAACGTAAAAAAAATATAATATTAGAAACTTTACTCATTATTTTTATTATTAACTATAATTGTAATAAGTTATCATAAAAGGTTTGAATCATATATTTTAACCAATGATCATAACTGAGAGAGTTAAGTTAGCTAAACTAAAGAATTATGTGGACATTCCCTTCTACAAATCCCGGAACTTGTTGGAACTGATTATGTTTAGATTTATGCGTATTATTTATTAAAATTTGAGTACATTGGCGACAAATTATTATTTCCTATTAGGTATTCACTGCAAATTATTGTCTCAAAAAATAGTATTTGAGTGAATCTTGATAAATATACCATGTATCTTTAAACCCGGACATTGGCAGAATTGTCCTCAGTGGGACAGAAGACAAATACCAAAAAAAAAGTAATTAAATTAAAAAAAAGTTTTGTAATTTTTTTTCCATTTTTTCTCCCTGAGAAGAATGAGCAAGATACTGTAGGGACTGCTCTTTCCAAATAACTTAAATGCTATGAAATGTAGTTGTATTTCTTATATATTTCAATCTTTAGCCATTTAAAAAATTGACACGAAACAACCTACATTTTGGAATGTTTGGAAAATAAATAGTGATAACAAAATGGGTACGTCTATACTAAGAAATCGTTCATACCTTAGGTAATTAAACTCCCTCAATTCCGATCACTGTTTATAATAAGTCGCAACACACCCACACACACACACAGTCACAGTAAGGAAACATCATTAACAAAGTGTAGAAGGCATATTAACTTTCTTGACTCTTTCCTGAAAGGAAATCTGTATCTAACAGCGGAAGGTGTATAGTTGATAACAAAATTAATTTAAAAAGTTTTACAATCAAACATTATCCTAATTACTCTCCGAAATATGAATCCTACCTCATTTAAATACAAAATCATGCAACAGGTTGGTCAAAATCATGCAACTTACACTATCATGTTCTTGCAGAATGTCATACATAGCTTTCTGTGCTCTTAAAGTTTTCTGTATGAAGTTGTAGGTTTTCTGCAATAGTGCCTTACATTCGTAACATGCATAATGGCGCTCATCCAAATCCTGAAACAGTATAAATGGTGTGAACCAATAAGTAATAAACCTACTACAGTCAATCAAAGACATGAAACTCAAAATGCCTTTACAATGTTACATCCTTCAAGTGTAAAGTTTCACAACTAAAGCACAGGTCACAATTATATTTTTTATTTATTATTACTAAGCATAGTCAGTTTATTATTCCCTTTATTTGATTTTTATTTGATTAATTCGAGACATCAGAAATTACCATAAATAATAGTTACTTGTGCAGTAAATTTTTAATTTTTATTTTTTTCTTTCTAAGTATATCGATCTTACAGTTAAATTGCAGTCAGGATTTTAATTTAAACCACATTCAGCCAATTTTTCAAGGAACAAAATATTTCAATATTAGTATAAAAAAACTATTGTGTACATACAAACACTTACCTGAGTATACCCATTGCTTTTAAAAATATTTTCCAAAAAATTCTTAACTTGTGTACCACCGATACTAGACATTTTAACGCCCGTCGCCAGACATATCCTGCAAGTTTGTAGCTTCATCGTGAAAGGAAAGGATATTTGTGGTCCAGCAATTTCTTTTTATTGATTTATTACACGTAAAACCATCATAAGTACATTCAGCACAAAAACACCATCTTTTGCACAGATCTTTTGTTAGTCGTATCGTTCGTAATGTCAAACAAATGTAAAGTAGTGATGGAGTCGTTTTTTTTTAATAGCAAAAATAACCGTATTTTCTTGCTATAAAAAAAGTACTATGCGAGAGTGACCAAAGATATGTCTCCAGTAAGGATGCACATTATGATTAGATTTTTATGGAAATCGATTCAAGTGTATACGATCCAGCGATTTTTTGTATCAATTCATTTCAATGCGATTTTTTTAAATTAATCGATTCAATATTAAGGCGAATCGAAACTACTAGATTGTATTCATAATTTAAACCAAACACTCTCTTTCTGAACCCCTACTGAATCATAAGGCTAATACTATTTTATATTGGCCACCAAGATAAGGTGTTTGGCAACATGTACGAACAATAAGTCTACAATATTTGGCAATTCAAATTCAAATTTAAAATAAACTTTATTTCTGTAAGCATTATCACACTTGAAATCGTCACATTGGTTAAACTCTACCGCTCATTTGTAAGGCAGATTCCCCTGACAAGAATGAACAAAAAACTCTAAGGATTGCTCTTAGTAAATAACATTTGTACACATTCAATATTTACAATATTTTTTTTTTTATTTGATACATCAGAAATCGAGACTATCTCCATGAGTTAAACGGGTTACTACCACGGATTTTTATCATCCAAGTACGCAGAAGTTGTATAGTTTTAGCTTAAAGCTTAGCTTTAGTGTAAAGTTTTTGTTTCACTATAGTTTTAAGCGTCGTGAAAGGCAAATTTTGTATATCAACCGGAATATTGTTATAGAAGCGTATACATTGCGCCTTAAATGATTTTTTGACTTTGTGAAGGCGACTATCAAGAACAGCTAGTTTATTTTTATTCCTCGTATTAATGTTATGTCTGTCACTATTTTTTATAAAGAAATTACCATTCATCTTAACATAAATGACTTTTTCATAAATGTACTGTGAGGCTAGTGCAAGAATGTTAATTTCCTTAAACTTATCTCTCAAAGATACTCTGGGGCCCAGATTGTAAATTGTCCTAACTGCACGTTTCTGCAGCATAAAGATTCTATTGATATTGGCGGCATTGCCCCAAAGCAAAATGCCGTATGTCATTAGACTGTGAAAGTAGCTGAAGTAAACCAATCTAGCGGTTTCAACGTCTGAAAGTTTCCGTATTTTTTTAATCGCATACACTGCAGAGCCGAGCCGATTTGATATCTTACTTATATGGGGACCCTATTGCAATTTAGCATCTAACGTTATACCTAGAAATACAACTGTATCCACAAGATTCAATTTTTCGTTTGTAACTACAATGTTTGTAACCGTCTCTCTAACATTGGGTAATGTAAATTTCACACAATTTGTTTTTTTCTCATTAAGGAGTAGGTTATTAACAGCAAACCAATCAACTACTTTAGATATATAGCATTGTTCACTTCGTCGTAGGAACATTGGTACCTTTTAACTTTAAATAATAAGGACGTATCATCAGCAAACAATACTATCTCGTGTTTTATACCCTCCATGAGGATAGGTAAGTCATTAATATATACTAAAAACAAAAATGGGCCTACAACTGAACCTTGAGGGACACCCATACTAATTGCAGACCCTGATGATCTCGTACCGTTAACATCGACCCTCTGTACCCTCCCACGCAAATACGATTTAAGAAGGTCGAGGTCACGTTCCGTCACACCATAATGGTGAAGTTTCCTGACCATTGTATCATGGTGCATACAATCAAAAGCCTTGGAAAGGTCACAGAATACACCAATAGCATCATGTGAGTCTTCCCGTGCGTGAAATATATGTTTTATCAACTCACCACCAACATCGGTTGTAGAGCGACTCCGAGCGAAACCAAATTGTTGAGGAGACATTAAGTTATTACTATAAAAATGTGCACACATCTGATTTGGAATTATTTTTTCAAATATTTTACTGTGTTGGTATTATTGTATTGTATTGACATAGGACTGAAATTGGTGGGGTCTGAAATACTACCAGATTTGAAAAGTGGAATAACTTTACTTTGCTTCATGAGGTCAGGAAAGACACCATCATCAACACATTTTCAAAAAAAAATATTTCAAATATTTTAGCAACTTCTGCGTCTGTGTTTACAATTTTATCATTAAATCTTAGTTGAAAATCTAAGTTACGAGGTTAGATCCTTCCAGTTTCGCTGTTTATAATATTCCAAGTCAAGTAGTAAAAACACTATATTCGCGCTGCTTTTAATTTTATTATTTATAAACATTGCTTTGGCTGCAACACAAACACGTTTAAACATTTTCGAATACTTCCTAACAAAATCATTAAAACTGTTACTAGTGTTATAGGTCCTTTCATCGTAAAGATCATAAAGCCTTCGCCTACTTTTGTGAACTGTCGCCCAATCACTAAATTTTAATGAATTATTAGTGGTTATGATTTTGGACTTAAAAACATTATCACGTTCCCTTTTCACTATGCTGAAAATGAATTATAAATAATTATATTTCTAACTCTTTGCCTTTCATGCCTTGAATATTTTGGTGCACCAGGTTTAATATACAATTTATTTTATTTCTGTATGTTTTAGGTTGATTTATTACTGTTACTGTGTTGCAAGAGTGTCTCTCCGTTGTCTTATTAGCTAATTTAAATAATTGGAAATTGAATTATTTTCAACAGATTGATTATTGTCTGTAAATTGACCTATGTCAATGGACTGCTCAATAGAAGCAGCCGGTCTGGTAGCCAACGATTTGGCTGAATTATTAATATAATATGATAGCAACTCTGCTATCATGGCTATCTGTCTCCTAAAATAACCAGTAAGATAATACCTATCTTTAGTCAAATAAAAATATTCACTAATAAAATTATTAGGATCCATAAAATAAAATTTACTATAATGGAATGTTAAGCTGTGTAATGTTCTATTTAAGTTATGCTATTTTCACTTGTTGTGAGGCTATCGCTGAAAAGATAAGTTAACAAAATATTTTTTTTTTTACATTAATTAAATTATTTAATTTGTGAAAAATATTTTATTAAATCTTTTTTATTACATTTTCCTCTTCTGCCAATTAAAATTATTAATGTAGTGTCTTGGTCCAATTTAGTTGACAAAATATTTTACATAATATTTATTACTAATATTTTACAGTATACAGTATGTTGCACCTGGCATGCAAATATTTGTTAATTTTATTCCTAGGTGGTTAAGTTGCAAAACCTATATTTTTACCCATTTTATCACTATACATAACAATATTATTTTGAATTTCATTTGACCTTTTTTGTTATTGACAAGGTATTTTTAGATTGTAAACAAGATTCCTGCAACAACAATAAGGAGGGATCAGTGATACACACAGGCAGGAAGGATTGTATTTTTATTTCTTTGCAAAGAAACTTGATTATTCGTTAAATACTCAAATCTGTCATTATTATATTTACATAAATCGAATAAATTATACATAGCCTGCGTGTGCTCCTTAATCTCGTGTTGAGCAGTTTCATATTTCTGTGTTATTAATTTTAATGAATTTGTTACATTATGTAATTCTGCCTGGAGGCCCTGTGTGTCACGTTCATAGCTTAGCCTATTTTTCTCAAGATTTTGAGTACAATCACTCAATTCATTCAACAAACTCTGACGTCTTTTCTTAATGATATATTTTTACAAAATGCTGCATTTTTCTTTATTAATTTGTTTGTGCTAGATATGTATTTATTAATTTTAACATATTTTTCATTTTTTTTACTACAATTTAAAGTTAAAGCTGTTGAATTAAATGAGTGCCTTTCACAAGTCAGATCAATGGTGATTGGTTCTGAACAGGAGGGTGGCACAGCACAGACCATTGTGGGAGTACTGCTGACTAGCTCATCAAATAGGGCCTGTGACTGTATTGACTGTTGTTCCATTATACTTATTTGACTGTACGCGTCTCGTAGATCACATTCTAATGAAGAAATACGCGCAAGGGCTTCTTCGAATGCGCTGCTGCTTTGGTCGAATCCATCTACCACTATCTGTAGCTGGTCTCTTTGGTCTGTACCTTCGTAATTTGTACAAGCAATTCTACCATATCACTTATTAAATGCCTATTCCTTTCTAAAATGTCCAATATTTCCTTTTCTCTATCGTTTCTTTCTGTTAGCAATTACTCATTCAGTGCCTTTGCTGTTTCGAGTTCTAATAAAGCGTGTTGGAGTTTATCCTCCAATTGACGTTCCGCAGCAGCTTTGCGAGTAAACATTGTTTATGCTTATGAAAAAGAAAAATGAAAACAATTTGAAAAGAACGTTAGCAAGAAAGACAGCTGATCGAGCGATTACTAAATAGTGAGGTTATGTTACTTACAATTTATCCTTACAAAGACTAAATATTAGATAAAATAACCATGAAAGTCATGAACCATTTGAAGCTAAAAAGGCTGTCAATTTTTTTTATCGAAATCCATTTGGAAACGAGTTTTATGAGATCGATTCAAAAGCATACGATCCGATCTGTAGATCGATTCAGAGGCATATGATCCATTACGATTCAAAACAAAAAATCGTGCTTCCCTAGTCTTAAGTTATGAACGAGAGTAGTGATGGATAAATTCTACTCGATTAAATTAAAAAATAATTATACTGAATATTGGCTGGTTTACACCTGTTTCAATAAATCTTTGTAGTCTTTGAAGAAATAAAAAATGACAACTGTACGACAATTGTAAATGACGATTTTGTTGGAGACCTTTCTAACTGTATTACTCATTCTTGGCGCTAAATACCAAAAATTTTGTTAAATTAATTTCATGTAACTTTTATAATGGAATTTTTTGGACTAACATTATATGGTCCACAAAACTACTTTAAAGATGTAATGCGGGAGGATTATAAAGAACCCATGGTTAAAACAGAAGTCGCACCTATCATAGAAAAAGTAATAGCGAAGTCAACATGTCCAAAGGAGGTTAGTATTATTTTATTTCATCACAAATAAAATAAAATAGAACTGATTTTTGTAAAGAATAACCTGGATATCTACGTTATAATGAAAGTAAATATCTATTGTACTGCTATTGTAAATCGAAAAAAAATTACGCACCTATTAACTTCCAACATTTAATTTTCATTTTGTATGACTCTAAACTTTTTAACGACGATTTACAGTGCGATAGACCCGATCACAACATTATAAGAATTATAGACTGTTATATGGGCAGAGTTAATGGATTCGCTTATGGTTCGATACAAAGGTTCATTAAAATGAAACGGAAAGGTGTTATAAAACCCGTAGGTCCAGTGGATCAGTACAGACTTCCACCTGCTACGTCTAATGAGGTTTGGAGAACGAAAAATTCTTTTACTTATAAATTGTAAGGTGTAGGGTATGTATACAGGGTGTTAAAAAAATCACTGACCATTTTAAAAAATCATACTGTAGAAGTAAAAAATACATGTTTGGTTTTTTCTCAATTACTTGACAAATAAATAAGTTATGACGTCTTAAAGTTTTATCAATGATATTGATACACGACGATTAACAGACGCCGTTGCCATCGTAATAGTCCCGATGAGAATACATTGCTATGAAATTAAATAACGTCACTGCACTAGGAACAACGACGGACGACTACTAGCCATGCGCCCGCGTCTACGCGACACGCTGGCGCCAGACACGCCAGGGGCTCGAGTTTTATTTACCTTTTTCGAGAAACCACACGTTAGAAATTATTGGGAACTTTTAACATTTTAAAACAGTTAAAAATTGGTCATTTTTTAAATTTTATTTAACTATTGTGTTAATTACTGAATCGCATGCTCAGTAAAAATGGACAGTGATTTTTTTTATAACAGTACAATCAAAAAAATCGATTCCACACCATATTGTGATCATTGATTATAACTACTTGATTACAAGCTTGACGTGCTCTTGCTGCATATATAGTAATATGACTTCAAACTAGTTTGACATAAAGTATTTTTATAGCAGCTAAAAGAATACAGGGATTCATCATGGACATTTTGAGGGAGTAGGGAATGTAAAAAAAAACGTGAATTGAGATATATTTTTTTCCTTCTAAATCGCAATTCATAAGTTCAAAACCAATTGCGCATCACTTAAGATTTTAATTCAAATCTGCCGCTTGTGGTAACAACGCCAACGTTTCAAAGTCCAAAGTGATTGACGTGTTCTTGATTCTTGAGGATGGAAAAATATATGTCTTGATTGTGCGATCACGGTCAATTTTTTTGAATTTACGTTCAAGGTCTAAGGCATTTTGCCAACCATAAACGATGTTAATTAGAAATAATAAAATGTGGTCTAATATGTGACCATAATATATTATCGATTGAAGCGTATTTTGTGTGTTTATTTTGAATCGAAAGACAATTATTTTACCATATTTGTTGAATAAATAGGTATTGAATTTTTATTGTAGTACGGCTGGTTTCTTTGTGACACTGCTTTAGAAGGAAAAGATTGGTACGTCACGAGCCCTAGGCACCCACAACCCTCATCACCTAACACGTTGATTTTGGATAAAGTTAAGAAAAATAATAAATATGCGACCTTATTTTAATTAAAGTTTTATTTTCATTACCCACGTTTAATTTATTTAGATATTTAAGATATTTCAAAAAACTATTGATGTGTTCTTATATTTGATGCCTTTGATGTATTTTTTGCAATAGACTTAAACTTTCATATACTCGACGGTCAGTTGATCCCTCCTCGATGTTTTATTTTTCAAGAATAACTAAAAAGTTCGAAAGTCGGTAAGTTGTTTAGTATGTTGTCTACGGTGACGCATATGCGTTGTTAAAATATAAAAATGCTAATTATATTTTTATATTTTACAATTATTATCGCGTTCTTGTCCAAAATCTATTTTAAAATATTTTCGAGTTTTTCGAGCATGAAAATCGATTGGACCATCCAATATCGATAATTGTTTTATAATATTTGTTCTGCACATCACTAACAGTCTTTCACTTTCGTGTCGTTGACGTGAAGGGGGTGTATCTCCGGGAAAATGTCGTAAGTAATCTTAAAATATCTAAATAATCTTGCTTTATTCGTTGAAATTGTAGTCTTTGTTATCTATAAATGTAGCCGCTGTACTCATGTTACTTAAAATTTTCGTTAAATTTCGTAACTTAACCTCGTAGTACGTTTTCTAACCTCAAAACGCGAATTTTATTTGTTTCCTTTTCTTTTTAGGTCAAAAGTATCGCGTGATACACTCTACGAGTGTGTAAACGCCGTTCTCCAGGCGTCAAAGGATAAAAAACGTAACTTTTTGGAAACTGTTGAAATCCAAATCGGTCTGAAGAACTATGACCCTCAGAAGGACAAGCGTTTCTCTGGCACCGTCAAGTATGTTACCTGAGACGAGCATTTTTGTGGAACATTTCATTAATTATGTTGAAGTTACTTTCGCACTTAACATCTGGAGGTTATAAATAATAACCTCGCTTTGTATTTGAGACCTCAAAAGTTCCACCAAAATGAATCTGCACAGGGAGTCGGCGAAAGCTGACGGGACTCCACCCAGAGTCTTAAAATAATGGGTAGGTGGCCTTTGGCTTCACCGATTTAGGATAAAGTCTTGAGGATGGGGGTAAGATATGCCTATTAATTATGTAGATGCAGAATTATTGTGAAGCTTGTGTGTGACAAGTTGGTGTCAGACTGAAGTAAAGGGGGTACTATGGAAAAAAATAGAAAATTTTTTTAATCTTTTTTTAAATGTTCTTTGAATTTGACTTGTTTCTAGTAGAATAAACTTTTTATTCTTTTTATAATTTCTCAGGAAAATTTTATCAGGGAAAAATTTTATTTAGTGCAATGCAATGTTAGAAGATATAGGATATAGGTGTTTTTGAAGATTAAGGCCATTGCCTTATGTCCCCTTAATTGCACAGCACTTAGAAACATTTTGATAATACAGTGTGAATACTTGTTTCGTGCAGATTAGACCTTAATAAACAGTTTTTATTTTAATAATTCTAGGCCAGTAAGTATTGAGAAATTTGGCAGATTTTTATTGTTGACTATGAGGTCAGCACTTAATAAAATTCTACTCAAAACAAGCATTAATAACAAATGATAATAAATTTCCATAAACTGTTGTTTCCATAGTACCCTTTTGTCCACATAAATATATTTTTTTTTTTGTTACCGGCTGAAAACTACCAATACAATAAGTACTAAAACATGTCACTAAATAAATTCAAAATGATGTTATAAATTATATTGCATGTATTATCTGTTAATCATTGATGACAATATTTGACTGATCGTCCCACAATCCACAATAGAGATAAATAGTTTGATTACAATCGCACTCTTGTTATCAAACAAAATTCTTTACAGGCTCAAGTATATCCCGCGTCCCAAGATGCAGGTGTGCGTGCTTGGTGACCAGCAGCATTGTGACGAGGCTAAGTCCTTAAATGTACCTTGCATGGATGCGGAGGCTCTCAAGAAGTTAAATAAAAACAAGAAACTTGTTAAAAAGCTGGCAAAGAAGTGAGTTTCCTTTTGTTGACACTATATCTTACAGAATATCGATCGAATTAACATGTATAATAAGTAACAAACACGTAGATAATACACATGTATTAGGTGGTGCTATCAATATGTGAATTCTTTTCAATAACCTAATTAGGGGTTTTTGTTGGTAATTAGTATCATTTCTTTGACTAAGTTTTACAAAATACTCTACATTCTCTCAATATAATGCAAGTACTGTTATGGAATTTATAATTTTGTGTACTAATACACTGATGTTTCCAGATATGATGCTTTCCTTGCATCGGAATCCTTGATCAAACAGATCCCCCGTCTCCTAGGTCCTGGTTTGAACAAAGCGGGCAAGTTCCCTGGTCTGCTCTCCCACCAGGAGTCCATGACCCAGAAGATTGATGAGGTCAAGGCTACCATCAAGTTCCAGATGAAGAAGGTATGATTTAAATAAATAAATAATGCACACACTCTACATAGCCCCACACTAGGGAATACCCTGTGTCACAGATGTCATGGACACACACATAGACAACCACATATTACATCCAAACTCAGGAGAGAAATAAATGTAGGCCATGCAAATATTTCTCTCGGCCCGGGAATCGAACCCGGGTCCTCTGCGTGGCAGTCCAGCATGGTAATCGTTCGGCTACAGAGGCAGTTTTCATATAGTATTTTAAAAAATGTTAAAGTTTTCTTTTAAAACTAACGTGCTACTTTTATATCAAATTATACAAGTCAACATAAGTTTTGTACCTGTAGTTTGAGATATTTATTATATGTATCATCAGATTAGTGATGAAACTTCTGTACAAAATAGTGAAATAAGGGAAATATGTGCTAGGAGAATGGCATAAATTCACAAATTTTGTGGAACTTTCATCAGAGCCTAAGAATTTTTAAGATAGTAAAACTGCTTAATACCCATACCTTTTTTATTTCTTTTTCTCAGGTACTGTGCCTTTCTGTTGCTGTTGGCCATGTGGACATGACCCCTGATGAACTTGCACAAAATGTGCATCTGTCAATCAACTTCCTGGTTTCCCTACTGAAGAAACATTGGCAGAATGTCAGGTCACTACATATGAAGTCCACCATGGGTCCACCCCAGAGATTGTACTAAGAATTTTTAATAAACCTGACCACTACTGAAACTTTCTTTTATTTTAGAAGTCATCCTCGCAGTATAAAAATGCCATTTAGCTATCGCGAGCTCACGCCGAGGTTGTACGTAAATAAATATGCTGAAATAGCAATGGCGTAAATGACTGGATATCATAGTTTGGCGAATTTAAAAAAATCGACTGCAGGACACTATACCCTGGCCACACAAGCGGTAGCGGAAACGTTCCAGGCTCGGGAATTTTCGTAATAGGAACCCTGCCAGTGAGTCCGGGTGGCGGGTGGGTGTGGTCGGCGAGGCTCGAGTGCTATGACTTGTTTGAAAATTGTACTCCATCGAGTTCTGTGCAACCGTCCACACAGTGGTGGCGCGATCTGGGAGCGGCGCTTTACTGGTATTGTCCGTTCTATTATTTTACAACACTTGTGTTTTTATTAAGTTTCAATATGAATTTGATCAAAATTTATTTTGCGTTGCAAAACGGAAGCATCCGCAACGCTAATTTTTGAGGTTTGAACAATATGTTGCATAATGATATTCTGAGCCGGAAGGAATAAAAACAAAATTTTTTTCTTGATCATTCGACATCGATGTGGTGGTTACTTTAAAATCTGTGGAAAATGAAAATGTGGCTGCTTTAGGTGTCGCACCGATCGCCTCCGTACCGCAATCCCGTTATGAACTGTAAACTCCGCGTGAGACTGCCGTGTACATCGCGTATGGCTGTGTAGCTCACCTCGATACGCATTCGCTTACCGCAAGTCCGGCCCTGGACCGCTGTACCGCGTCTGTGTGGCATGACTGCAGAGAACTCTTACATTTTTTTAAACTCTATGTGAACTAAAAAAAATAGTGCAATATCGGCGATTGATATTCGAGATCTTAGACTAATAATGCTTGCGTAAGTTCGACATATTGTGTGCGTTTTCTTCAAATATCATTACTCGTCTCGCACAGTTTCTTCAATTTAAGGTTCCCAGACATTTTTCTCATACACCACTTTCAAAATTTTGCTGATTCAGGTGGACCCCCTGCATCTACATTTCTACCATAATCCATATATTATTTTTTTTTGTCGTGCCAACGTAGACCCCCGTCGAGTCTCCCGTGGACCCCTGAGGTCCACCTGAACCACTTTGGGAACTAAGTAACTAGACTATCACCTTCGAAGATGTGCTAAGAGAGAATTGTAATTATGCCATCTTAGATTTTAATGTAAAGACAAATTAAATAAAACCATGTTATAAAAAAAGTATATTCCGACAAAAGCAAATATTTTCAAAAGCACATTTGTTAAGAACACTACTTACAAAACGTTTTTTATATTGTTGGAGTTGGCATTCAACACTTCATCATCAGTCTCATCGCTATCTTCATCTTCAGGTAGTTGTTCATCACAGTCTTCCAAAGACTCTTCACTGTTCACACTTTGCTGGGTAGTTATAATTTCTCCGTGAATGTTTTTGTTCTTAAGATTACCCATCCAAAATGCTTCTGAGCAGTTATTGGCTGCCAATGCGGCTTTTACTTTGTATAATAAGGTTTCAAGTAGTTGCCGCATGTACGGTACTTTGCTCATCAATGCAGTATCCTTTTTCAATCTAGAGTGGCAGCAAAGAGACTGCAAAAACCTCGTCGATTGCTGTAATATCTTTAATATCTCTAGCACTTCCTGCGTAGCGTCTTTGAATTCTAACTCCAAAATAGGGATTCCTTGAGACAAAAACAACTTTAACACTGGAATAGATTTCTTGAAAAACGCCGTCAAGTTGTTCCTCGTTTCCAAAGTTTTCGCTATTTCCGACATGTATTTCATAATAGTTGCGACGTCCTTCCAAAGTCCTAAATGTTCGGAGTTAGTCAGTCCTTTATCCAGACGAGTTTTGGCTGCTTCATGAAGAGCTGTTCCAAGATTTCTATACAAAATTGGAAAGTTTGCTTTATTAATACATTTCAATGACAGTAGTGTATCATTCCTAGTTTTGAGCACATTTATATCGTTCATTAGTTGTAACGTTAAATTTTTCAAAGCAAGTATTTCATTGTTAACGAAATAAAGTCCGGCCAGTCTGTCTACACTTTGATTGAATGCTAGTCCTTTTTCCTGAATTCCATCAGGAGTTTTCCATTGTTGCGACAAAAAGTTCTGAGCCATATCTCTCACAATTTTTAGTATTGTTGTATTCTCTGAAAATTCTTGGATGGCCTTCAAAAATTCTATTAGAGATATGGCAGTTGATAGCTGTAAGCAATATTTTTCATGCTTTTGTAGATACTTCGCAACATTCAACAGCAAGTCCTTCATTGACATTGCATTTCCTTCACTTGCGATTGCTATTGTTCTTAAAGAACTTTTTAGTAAAGCAGTGTGATTATTCTTGAACCCTATCCATTTGAAATATATTGTGAAAATGTTATAAATACTTTCCAAACATAACAAATGATCTATCATTTCAGAGCTGAATATAAAACCATTTACATTTTGAGAATGTTCAATATTATGGCTTTCAATATAGGAAGTTACACACTGCAAGTGATTCATTATTTTTGGTAGTATTTCACTTACAGACTTGGCACATTCTTCTGCTTTCTTTGGGTCATAAGTTTCGACATTTTCTTGCTTTGTTAGAAATGTTTTCCTTTTAATTTTCGAAATTAATACCTTCTCTAAATTGGTGTTAACACATCTCAGAAGAAACTTCATAGTTTTAATAGATAAATTTGAATCTTCATCATTTTCAGATGTCAGATCAGAGTTAAGCAGGTGAATTAAATTTAGATTTAAAGGCCTGAGAGGTATGTTGTGGATTGAATCAAGTTTCTTATTAAAATTAACATTATTTTGTGTTGCTTGAGATTTAACAGTCACAGGGAGCACTGTATCATCTTGCGCGGCTTTCTTTTGTGGTTTCAATTTCGAATTTTGTGCTTTAGGAGTTTTTTTTTCCCCTTGTTCACCTGTGTATTTATTGATATTGAATGTGCAGACAGGAGGTTTATATGCAATTTTGCTTGATAATAAAATTTGTCCAATTAATATTTCTATGTCTTCAACCTGCAGGACTCTATTAAGTATTTTACTTTTAAGAGCATAATCTGTTTGACTTGCAAAGGCATTGAGTAGTTCTCTTAACCAATTTACACAGTGAATCAAACAGTCTAATATGTTGCCCACAGTAGAATGATCCATATCTTCAATTAAATCAATATCAAAAGTGGGCATGACAATAGGACATCCAAGTAAAGCATCAATGCTAGATAGATTTCCGTCTTCCCGCTTTGAGTGTAAAGTTTGTACAAGTTGAAAAAGAGGCGACAGAATTTCAACCACTACCTCTTGATCTTTTTTCAGAGTCAATCCTGCAATATTTATTGCAATTACATCATCCACTTCACTGTCTGCATTAAGGCAATATTGCATTGTTAGCTTTAAACTGCCAATCTTTTCTGCTTCTATAGCATCTACAATGAAATTTTGTTGCAAATCATTTGTAACTGCATCTGTTAACCAGGATATAAAATGTTTATTTATATAAGTTGCTGACTGGACAACTATTGACAACTCATCGTAAAAGAATGAAATCATATCTGGGAACTGTTTGGTGCTGCGACTTATCAATTCAATAATCTGTGCAGCTTCACGAAGATCTCCCTCCGATAAGTGTGTAACAGAGCTATAACTAACATTATCTGGTATTTCTACTGTCTCATCTTCTCCAGAACTTGAAGCCATGAGATATTTGACAGCATGTATACCTGCAAGAATTCCCTGGATTTTAATAATTGGACTGGAGCTGCTCAGTTCCTTTCTGATAATCATATGTATATCATCCCTTATTACTGAATTTTCATAACTGTATGCAAGGCCACATACTAGGTTCATTACTGCTCTGATTTCAGCTAGAGACATGTCATCCATTCTATCCAATAAAGTGAGCATTTGAAGACTTTGGGGCTTTAGTAAAGACATGTTTTTTGATGCAACATTATTCAGTATGATTAGAATGCTCATTACACATTGTTTACAGTCCAGGCCAAGCTGTAGCAATTCCGCTACAATAGTTTGACTGCAATCATCTAGTTGTGATAACATTAAAGTATAAATGTGTGTAGCAAAAGATTCAACCATAGGGTCATTTTTTGTTTTTAGTAATGAATTGGTCAGATCGATCAAGTTTTTCAAGTAATCTTTCAAAATTGGTTTAAATTTTTCAAAGGACTCATCCAATAAGTCATCCTTCAGAACATTTAATTTTATTTGTTTTCTAATCAAGTTTTCTACTTGTCTCTGTTTTTCTTCAGATGTTGTATATAATATAAGAAGTATGATGAAATCAATTGGTTTATGATCTGTGGTCACTTTACAGGAGGCAATAGTCTTCAACCAAGCGTTTGATGTTACTTTTGAAGACACCATTGAATTTCTAATGGCTGTAGCAGTCAGAACTTGGCTTGTGGCTATGTCCTGTGGTTTTGCAACACATGTAGGCCAGCCTAAAGCATTTCTTAACCCTTGTACAGTTTCTAAATAGGCATTATCACTCATTCGACCTGGCATCAGCAGGAATTTGATAAAATTTGCAAAGTAACTGCACCTCGACAAGGCTCCAAGAATACTTAAGGTTTTCTTTTGCAGTTGTTCATATTGCTCATCTGATAAGCACAGGTATGTCAGACAATCCAAAATTGCAGGTATAAGATCTTGTTCTTCACTCAGAATCCTGCTCATTTCTATGGCAATGTTGTTATGTTCCTGGTCTCCAACTATATCAGGAATAGCTGTTATTATCTCCAATTTCACCATCTTCTCTGAGGCAATATCCAATAAATTTATGAGATTTGATGACATCTTATCAGAATCTATTATACTGTCCAAGGAAGACAGGTTTTTAAGTATCATCTGTATCCATGGAGCACATTTTGATTCTGCAGCTAAATCTATGGCCTTTTCAAATATGAAATCGATTAATTTATTTTGCAGTGTTGGAACGCTCAGTAGAATTTTCACCACAGTGTCACTTATTGGGTGCTCTTCAGGGCTGTCTTCGGCGATCCGAGCGATATTTGGGAACAGATAATGCTTAAAAACATCAGCATTGTTGCATTCTTTTTCGAAGTCTGAATATAGTTCGGACACATTAAGAGGAAACTCGACATGTTTTGCCAGATTTTTCTTAATGTTGCGTACAATATGAGTAATTTCCTGAGAAGCAATACACTTGTCTGGAGGATGTTTCAAAGTCAATCCACTTTCTTTCAAGGTTCTTCGCAAATTTGAAACATCAGTTTTTAATTTTTTCCTTTGACTAACAGTGTCCATACTTGCACGTCGACTTGATAATCTTTTAGGACTCATCTTGAATTATCAAGAAACCTCTTTACTTCTGGTAAAAACAGTTTTGTATTTTAACAAATTCCTCAGGGCGACGCCTTTTTCAAATTAAGATGAATGACGTTTCTTTTTTTCGAGCATTTTATTTCGTATTTACTCCAATAGCTACTAAAGATTAAAAAGAGAAGATAGTGCTATAAACTTTATTTTTTGTCTCTGCTATTTCTCTTATTTAAACGTTTAGCGTTCAAAAGAAACGCATCAAACGAGCTTTTTTTTTTAAATCTCAGATCTTTGAAATCATACAGCCAATAATTATATGGATCTAATATGTATACATCTCTATAATATGTTCAAAAACCGCAAATTACGGCCAGCATAACGATAAACTGTTTTGTTACAAGAATTTCTTATCTGTGAAAATGTTATTATTGCTTCATAATAACATCGAAATCCTTAATCGCACTTCCCTGATCCTTTCTTCTAAATTATTTTCCCTTTCCATTGTTTTCCGTGAACAAGTTTCCTCGTTTTGCAGTGGCACAAACGCAAACCGCGAAGTGCCAGAAACAAAAAAATCGAACTCAATTTTATTAATACATTCAAATTTCGAACATCTCTTGGGGTCGTATTCCACAGGATTTGAGTATGATTTAAAGCACTAGAAATCATACTCAAGTCCTTGCCATTAAGGTCGTATTTCCAGTGCTTGAAATCATACTCAAGTCTGGAGTTGAGCATTGCGTACAGTTTTCGAATGCGACCCTGAAAAACAAAACAAGTTCTATTCGAAACTTGATATCTTTTTTTTCTTGGCTTTTCGAAGCATTTGGTAAGGCGTTTTAGCCACTTGCAGAGTGTTTTGACTAATTTGTTTTTAAAACGGGGAAACTTTATAAAAATTTAACTGCAGTAATAATAATATAATATTTATTCTATATTTATACCATTTGTTTATTTACATCTCATAATTTATCGCCTGATCCTTTTTTCAGTTATTCTCGCAACTTTCAAATCCCGTTTGCAAATTATATTCCATGACATTACTTGATATCGAATGATATAAAATATGACAGTTGGGGCCGTTGTAACATGCCGTTCCTGAATACATCATAAAGAGCTTATAATAAGTGTTATGAAGCAGTGTATGTAACTGTACATAAATCCACACTCGTATTTTAATGCCTTCCATTATGTTACAGTCATATAAACTATTATTATGTAATGAGTATTGGAGAAACATGGTTAAAAAAGTAACAATTGATTTAGATACTCAAAACCTAAACTAAAAATTAAGTCGTATATAGACATAATTCATTCACTTCTCATCACATTAATCCGTCACTTTTCTAAAACGAGTCACAATTTTCTTTCATCTTTATCATACAGTCAAAGGTTAAAGTCAAAACACGGCCGAATGAAACTCTAACCGCTAAAAGCCCATGGACTTGTTTAAAAATTCGTGGAAAAGCCAAGACTCCAAGAACGTAATTATTCTTAGTCCTGGCTGTATGGCGCATTAGTGACTTTGCCTTTTCCAATGGAAAAAAACTGTACCAAAAAAAAGAAACAACCAGTTGCGTTTTCCAAACACTGAAAAGAGGCAATTCATCCAGTTAGAAGGATACAGTAAATATAGCAGTAAAATGGGCGCCTCGTGCTATTATGCTATACTCCTTCATAATGTACAGAATACAGCTGTAAAATATGTGAAATTTTTTGGTTATGTTTAACGAGGCATATTATTGTTGTATTGTATTATTGGTTTGTGAGGCATAACACGTATTTGTTTCTTTGAGAGACTGTTTATACAAATTACTAAATATAATGAATTTAAACATTTCCACTCTAGGAAAATTCGTCTGGAAGTCTCAAGTGCTTGCTGGGTTTGGTGTAAGATAATATTTTCAAGTCTATTGTATATCCTGACAAAATTAAACTAAATCATAATCTAAAGTTTTCACAATACTTGGTTTTCACTAATGTAGTTTCACATTTTTAGTATCAACAAGTAAGAAACAAATGGGCCAACTGGATGATGATAAGAGACGTTAAAAGACGTCGTTTAAGTGCTGAACACTTCCTGGACAGAACTAGAGTCAATGCTTTAAGGAAGAACGACATCTTGCCCGTGGAAATTAGAGAAGTGGCCGACAAAGAAATCAATAAGTTTGAACTGAACGCTAACCCTATGAGAATTAATAATAGATGTGTTATTACTTCTAGGTAAGTCGACTAGTTTACAACTAGATGTAGTTAAAAATATTTGACATTATATAATATATCGAGTTCTTAGGTTTTCGCGATTGTTACACATAGGAAATGAAACTATTTTTCACGGTCAACCGTGACCATGGGACCTGTAAAGGGCCCGAAACGTCGGTTTGTTTGAAAAAACAAATGTACGCGGTTTAAATCCGGAAAAATAGTTTCATTTCCTATTATATAGTATATTTACTCTTTGATGATAAAGTACAACATACAGCCTTTATAATAATAAATATAATATAATAATGCACACACTCAACATAGCCCCGCACTAGGGAAACCCTGTGTCGCGGGTGCCATGGACACACATAGACAACCACAAATTACACCCAAACTCACAAGAGAAATAAATGTAGGCCATACAAATATTTCTGCTGACCTGAGAATCGAACCTGGGACCTCTACACAGAGGCAATTAGCTTTGGTATGGTTATCAAAAATATATCAATACAATACATCCAAATGTGCACCATGATGATGTCAAGTTGCACCATTACCATACATTGCTTGTATTTGCATCCAGTGCTTACTTTTAATGCTTACAGAACATTTCAACTTTATTATATATTTATTGCAGACCGCGAGGTATAGTGAAAGAATGGCGCATGAGCCGCATAGTGTGGCGACATCTGGCAGACTACAACAAGCTGTCTGGAGTGCAACGAGCCATGTGGGGTTGAATAGTTCCTGTTATTTTTAATTTATATGGACAATGGCACATCAGACTACACATTTTTGTTCGAAAATAGCCTCCAGTGCAACGGAACAAGATACGTCATTGTGTAGCTTGATGTGCTGGAGTGTGTACATAGGTTTAGATCTTAATAAATTCTTATTATACTAATGTTTGTTTATTGGTGCAACATATTTAGCTACAGTAAGTATTCTAGCCTTTGTGGAAATTCAGCTATGCTATGACATAGAAGTAACTGGTGTATATATTTTTTTATCTTTTTGATTCAAAATAGAAATATACAATTATATTCTTACTTAGTACACCTGTACGTAGGTTTCCTTGCCAAAGTTTTAGACAGTAGTGTTTTCTAGAAAGTACTAATGATAAGCCTGAATAGAAGAAAGGCTGGTGCTAAAGGCCTTTATCAGCCTGGACTCTTCATTGGAATCACATATAGCCTGGTTTTTCTATGGAAGCGGGAGCTTTTTCTATGGAAGCAGATCACCCATGCCTCACGAGATATCGCTTGGGTTGCAGACAGCCCTTCAATACATGATAGCACTGATTATCACCTACAGTGCAGGATTGGCATCAGGCTGTTGGCCAGAGTTCTAAGGCTCAATTTAAACAAACTAGACATAAGATGATATTGTGGGAATTCCGGAGAAAGCATGAGAATTCTCTGGAAGCCAGTTTTTTGGCTCGTATTTGTTACACAGGGTGTCTATTAAGTCGACGTCAAGCCGGGACGGGGATGTCAAGGAGGTGATGGCCTACAAAAAGCCCGTGGTACTATGGTAATATTTCCAAGTTATTTTTAATTAAAGATTTTATAAATATTACGATTTTTACGTTTCTACACCTTTGGCCGCGACTGTACTCAAACATAATTATCTTTTTTCTATTTTTCTTTTTATTATCCCAAAGTGGTCCTTACTACCAGTGGGCGGTGAAGAGTCCCATAGGGTAGGGGCCTCGAAAGCAATTGGGGGCGTTGATGTTGTCCAGAGGGTGCTACCGCATTTGAAAAAAACCTGAATACACAATTATTTAATAATATATATGTATAGGTAAATTAAAAGTGTACGCTTCTTATGTACATAAGTTAAAAAAATATAATCGATTGAAAATTTTACGAAGTGCCTCATTAATTTAAAAAAGCAAAACTTTTTAGTGCTGTATTGCCATAATACAAAGGGCAGGCGTTGGCACTTCATACAATTTTCAATCGTTTATATATTTTTAACCAATGTAGATAGGAAACGTATACCTTTAATTCGTGAAAGTGGCAAATAGGTAGCAATTATTGGTAATACATACTTCTGGAAAATCTACTCCCTTCATGCTGAACAAAGAGGCAACCAGCCATCCTGCCGTCAGAATGGCTGGTCAATTTTTTTTTTAATATCTTAATATGTATCAAACGTAGCAATTATTTAGAAAATATAGCAATTCTTGAATATACACTCAGTGCCAGATGCGACAGGCGACCAGCCATCCTGACTGTGATAAGTATTTTACGTTCTGTAGTAATTTTTGTGAATGTAGATTAACACATTTGTAATGTAAGGGGGGCTACACACATGCTACACTGGACTTAATATATATTGCATGAAAACAGAACAGTGGCATACCACCATTAATAAAAAAGAATTATTTTTAAATAAAAAGATTTTATCAATTTCTATAACTTTATTATAAAGTTATGTTCCCTTATAATTAAAAAAGCTTCATAAAGCTCACATGTGGAATTTAGCTTTACAAAAAGCTTTTTAGTCGAAGAGACCTGAAACAAGACGAATACGTGAATTAGTAAATTGTATTAATAAAATGATTTCATTTATTACCATTATGTAAATTTCAGTAAATATTTATTCAATCATTCGTGTTCTGAAGCTAATACATTTGATCAACATCATTAAAAAAATGTGAAAATGTGCATGAATGAACCAGGTTTAAATTTTATAAATTCAGAAGTTGTGATACTTTTACTTTTACCTTTATATTTAGCAACATTTAATAGACATTTTTTGTTATAAAAAAGTAATAATTAATTGCTGGCCTCAAGTTGACCTTGAAATTGAACTCACAACTTATTCTTCAACAAAAATAAAGAAAGAATGCTTCATTTAAAGATTAAGTTAATTTATTTCACTCGGCTCATTAATCTACTGCCTGAAACTGAATGGTTTTCAAAGGTAAACATACCGAAGCCCATGTCGTCATCAGACTCTTCAGGTTCTTCCTCCTTCTTCTCTTCCTTCTTCTCCTCAGCGGCTGGCGCTGCGCCGCCACCAGCAGCGGCTGGAACAGCGCCGCCGGCCGGGGCAGCACCCACGCCCGAACCGATATTGGTGATCAGGTCTCGCACATTCACGCCCTCTAAGGCTTTAGCGAAAAGACCAGGCCAGTAAGGCTCGACGTCGACATTGGCCGCTTTCAGGATGGTAGAGATTTTCTCACCCTACAATAATATGTTTGAGGTTATGTATGCTCCACTTTTGTTTATGAACGAAATTCAGGAAATATCTGCTTGTATCTAAAAATTAGCGTCTAAAAAGGGGAATTGAAACCGTTTCAGGAATATATTGTGATGGATTTATGAGATGATAGTGGATCAACTATTCTAACCTAAAAATTTAGCAATATTTACACGTAAATACTCACAGTTACGGCGACATCGTCATCTACCAGGATGAGAGCAGAGTAAACGCAAGCTAATTCAGCTTTTGATGCCATTTTTTATTAAATTCGTGCAAGTCGCCAACAGGCCTTAGCTCCAAGAGAACAAGCACTTTGTTTGATCTCAAAAATGAAGAGAAAGAAAGGTAGCGCCGTCAAGTGTCAAGTCTATTTTTTTTTTACGGCATCGGAATCAAGCCAATTCTTCAACTTTTTTTTTTCATATCTTTTTAAATATTGTGTTTAGAGACTTTCTTCTTTGAACTTTATTTTTACCTTAGAGGATGGAAAAAAAGATTTTCACAAGTCAAACGCGTACATAAAGCTCAGAGGATGGAAAAAATATTCGTATTACTTTTTCTTTTTTTAAGAGCACTTCACGGTTTGCACTTAAGCAACTTCAAAACGAATTCACGGAATGAAAAAACGAGGTGTTCTGTGGCTAGGAGACATAGGGTAGTATTCCAGAACTCTACTCAATGCTCAAGTCAGGATTTCCAGTGCTTGAAATCATACTTAAGTCTGCTCAAATCCTGACTTGAGCATTGAGTAGAGTTCTGGAATACGACCCTTGGGGTCGTAAATTTGCCGAAGTCGACCGAAGCGACTGGGTGCGTCGCCTTCGGCCAAGTGAAGTAATCTGCAGAAGATGGCAGATGACTCGATGTAAATGCCACGTCGACTGCGTCGTATTCGACAGGCTGAAGTAATCTGCTGAAAGCTGATAGACAATAAATACGCCAAACGTATAATGTGGCTCATTTACACTGACAGTCATTAGGCGATACTCGTTTGCCCGCCGAAGGCTGTAAGCTGTCCGGTGCAAACAGCGAGTCGTTTATAGCCGAAGTCGACCTAAGAGACTGGGTGCGTCGCGTCCGAAGTAATCTAGCAGACTAGCCACAGACTACGGAGAAGATACTACGTATAGACTAGCTGACGTCTCAATGTAAGGTGGTGAGTAGACTGCGTCGATCGTTTGCTTAAAACCGGTATGTAATGGTGATATCTTATAATTTACGGTTTTGTCGGTTGTATAAATAATTCTTCTTGGTTCCTAAATTATATGTACTATTTAAAGCCATCTTGTTCTGAAGTTTAATATCAACATATTGCATAGATTAATTTCTTTTGGTGAAACACACTACAAAATTTTTATAAAAAATAATTTTAGGATGTTATACCTGTATTTTGAGTTAGGTGGCCAATGTTTAACTTTTTTAGGGGATGTAAAATATTAATAACACTTAGGCAAGATAATTTTTATAATGACAATATAATACAAACAGACATAAATAGTTTTTAAAATTCAAAAGCCGTGCTTTTAACATAAATTTGATTTTTTAAAATATTTACAAATAGCTTTTATTGCACTAAAATATTTGATAAAAGTATAAAAGAAAATGCTTTCACAAGTCCCATGAAAACAAATGGTGTTTGACCAACATGTCTCTAACACCTTCTTTTAAAGGTTGATTTTGGGTATCCTTCTTCAGAGGAAGTTCCCAATCTGGGTTTAAATTAAATCCAAACTGTGAGAGTATTCTTAACTCACATTTAATTTGAACCCAACCAGGGGAGTTTATGAAAGACCATGGATGATACCATTTTTGAACAACATCCACACAAGAACAAAGGACTTCTAACCATAAATGTAAAGCTTCCTCATTTAGGCCCATGCAGATTAAAGTACGGAGCTTAACATCCATTTGAGCGTGAGCATTATCATGGGATAAATTAATTGCCTGCACACATCTGTACATCAATTCCTCAGGTGTCAATACTTTTCCATCTTCATCTAAACGATATGTTTTACATAGCACCAGCCGACTGTACACTGAATTGAAATCTTTTTCAACTTCTCTTGAAGAAGCCTCTTCAATAAAAAGCCAAGGATGGCATGGTCCATCCATAAAGCTAGGCCGCTTAATTCCATGCAGTAGTACCCTTTTAAAAGCTGGTGCTAAAACTCCTCTAACCAAATGAGCTATTTTTTCTGTTACTGAATCATCTCCTGCTCTACTATACTTAACACCTTTTTCATCCAACAGCTTTACAAATCTAGCAGGAAACCATCCTCTTAGGCCATTTAGTTCTCCAATCCAGCAATGTTCATCTCTGGAGCTGATAACTTCTATTACATCATTTTTCCTGAATCCTAATTCATCACCATCCCTTCTTTCGAAATCCAATAATGCCTTAGCTCGTCGCCTTTTACTTCGAGATACATTAACATATCTATCTCTATCTGCTGCGTGGCTTTGCATAGTATAATCAGCAGTTAATTGTACTTCTGATGCAAGTTGTGCTTCTAGAGCCAAGAAATGACGAGCAACTTGAAGGATAGCTTCCCTAAGGTCAACAAGAATTTCAGTTTGTTTAACATTCTTAGAAATAGAATCATCACTACTACTGTCCTCACCAAAGAGTATTGTTTGTATTACAGATTTGCTTCTTTTAATTTGACGCCTTTGAAGCTGCTGCTTCGGGAGGTTTGGTACTGCACTAGGGTTACCAACAAGAGCTCCTTGGTCTGCCATAAGATATGCCAAATGTCTTCTTCTGTGAGTTTCAATCAGTGTCGGACTTAAAGTGTCACCACAAACTTCATCAATTGTTTTGATCAAAAGATCAACATCATCTATTTCACCAGGAATGTCAGACAAAGCATTAAATATTTGTGCAGAATTTGAAATTTCAGTAAATCTATTTTCTTTTATTTTCAGCATAGCCAATGTAGCTTTGAAAAGAACAATAGAACCATCTAAGAAGAATAAGTCCCAAATTCTAAGTAATATTTTCATGTGAACCACATTTGCATACAAGGTTAAAAACCAGTGCATTGTAATGAGAGAAAGCTCAATATCATGAGCATTTAGTACTTGGTCAATACCAGGTAGATATGTTGAAATAAGGCTCCTTAGAACTTTTTGGTCAGCTTGAATTCCAATTAAAGTTGATGAGTAATAAGATGCAGGTAGAAGATCTTCCACAGTAGTACACATAATCCAAAATGCATCTTCTTCCTCCATCAAAAGCAAGAGTGATGCAGCAATCATTCCAGTTCCTTGGCAATATCCAATGTCAGGATACAACCAAGCCAGTGCTCTTAAAATACGCCGTAATCTTGGAACCCCTGTACTTGTTGGATGTGAAAAGCACACATTATTTGGCAGGATCTGAACCAAATCTTTTTCAATTTGTTTACTAGTTACTAGTCCATCATCACTTGAGGCACGAACAATTTCATGGTAAGTAATCTCTGTTGATTTTCTTTTTTTATTTGCACCACAAAGGTGCATCCAAACTTGAGGGCGAAGAGAATGTGGCACGCCATCTTTAACCATTTTCTGTAGTTTTTCTGTCTTTTCCAATTTTCCATCACCTTCTGTAAAATTTATTTCTTTACTGTAAAATTCCCACTCCAAGCGGTGTTGGTCATCTTCAACAAACACATTTGCAAGAAGTTTGTTTGAGCTTTGTTCAGGCCCGTCTTCTTCATCAACACAAAAACCGAATTCATCAAAACTATAGTCAGGGAGACCTCCACCGTGGCCTTCTGATTCCGGTTGTGCTAATTTGGCCATTATGTCTTGTGGAACCATACTCGGAGTCAGTGCTGAGAAGGGTCCGCCTGGCGCAGGAAGGAGCTCCTCAGCTAAATTTAAGCTTCTTATAGCATCGATCACATCTTCAGGGTCATCGTCTGCTAAAGCTGCACTTATTTTACGTTCGTGATCTTCACGTCCCACGTAGCCGACGTGGTCACGCGAACTAAACAGCGATTTAGCTAGATCCATCTTATTATGTACACATTTCTGTGGCTCGCTGTAATTATCAAAACGCTTTCTCTTTGCTATTCAATTGCTCACCACTTGCTCACGATTTCACGAGACGTCAAAATAAATAGTCAATACAAAATGTCAATCGAGCGAGTGACTGATATTAGTGGTGGGTGGATGTCGTTGTAATTTTGTTATCAGTTTTGCGTCATCAAGAAAAGTTATCGATTTTTGTTGGCTGGTGGACGTATGGGATAAATAGTGCTGTTATTTCTCTTACAGCTTTTGATTGAAATTGTGTATATATGTTCACTAATGCTACGTATGTATACATACTTAAAATTATGCTCGTAATTCGTAATCGATAGGAATTTTTTAAGAATTTTAATTAAGAAGTTTTTTAGCAATACATGTGTTGTCGATCGATACGAAAAAAAAAACGAAACAAAGATGGCGTGTGCTCGCAAATATTTTTACGCGCAACATAGTGTAACGTGTTTTTGGTGCAATATATCAATGGATGGAGTATTGATTTCATTGCTTAATTTTTTGAATTAATTATAATAGTTTTATTGCTAATTATACCAGTGCCAGGTATCGTGTGGCGAAATAACGTGAAACCTGAATATCTACATTGATTAGGTTTGTGTTTATCTATACTATTATACCCTGCAATAATCAATATTTTTGAAGTATATTTGCAAATTACCAGGCCCGTTGTTGAGAGTGCAATGAAATGCTTAACAAATACATTGTCTCAATTTTGGGTGACTACTTGATTGATTTTCCAACAGCTAAGATTAGCTGATAATTGATTTTAACGGCGTTATAAATGTTTCATGGTGTTCATTAACAACAATAACATTGCACATTCACGCTTTACATAATCACAATTCATGGGTACATGCATCTATAAGCCGCCATTTCTTAAAGTTGCATGATTTAAGTAAAACCCAAAACGTTTTCGGCGTTACCTTGCCTGTACTTCCGCTTTAATGATATTAAGAAAGCAAATATGTAATTCCCGCAATTTAATGTTTGTTAGTGAATAGATTATAAATTAGATATAAGACTAAACACTGAACCATTGTCAACATTATTGTCATATTTTCATATCCGTCATTATATTTCCAAATTCTAATACAGCAAACTTTAAAACCAAATTTCTACAATTAAATCCAGTTGTTTCTAGTTTCACACTTTTTGTTTAATTCATTAATACATTTACATGTCATACTTTCACAATGTAACAACATTATTAACAAATGTTCTAACACTAGGATGGCCGTAAAATACTGTTGCGTACAAAACTGTCACTCGTGTTCCACCCGAAACGAGGACATCGGTGTGACATATCACAAATTCCCAAAAGACACAACTATTCGTGATATATGGAGTAAAGTAACACGTCACACAAATACAGATTTGTCACTACCAACATATGTATGCTCGAGACATTTCTGTAAGACAGATTTTCAGATTTATAAGGACAGTAAATATGTCCTGAAACCAGGTACATAAATGATAGTTGATTAGGTGGATGTTTTAATTTGTTTGCATTTTGTAGGCTTGCATTTTTTAATACGCTGAATCAGAACAAATCTGAAGAGAAAATCAACATGGACTTGGTTGTACTTGTTCCAAAGATTTTTGCAGCCAATTTTATACAGGACACTATACAATAATAATACCTATATGCCAACTGAAACATGGAAAAAGCCATACCCAACATCCCAAGGCACAGTCTCCATACCAAATAGACAACTCGTTATGGAAAGAGCTTGTAATTTAGCTTAAATGCCTTTTTTTTCCACTACGATGGAATGTAGGTAAAATGGAAGTAATAAAATTGTGCATAACATAGTGTAATGTATATAACTCAGTAATAATAAAAGTTAAAGTCATTGTCAATGGCTATAAAAGTATAATTAAGGAGTGTCAGAACAAAGACTGCTCAGTTGCATTATCCGTTTTTTTTTTTTAATTGATTTAATTTAATAGGGAGGGATTTTAAGAAGAGTATAGCACTATTGTCGACACCCTGCAGATAAAGCAGCCCTGAACAAAGCTACCACAGAGTTGAAGCTATTCCTAGCCAAGATAGAAAATGAAACTCTACCATCTAAAAATGAACATTCCTTATGGCAGACTGTGAAGTCTCATGATGAACCAAACTTAGCACTACACCCACACAAAATATTATCCACATGCCTCAACAATTATCTTCATCAAGACTTGGTCCCAGAACACCAATTCGAATTCCGAAAAAAACATTCAACTTTTGAACAGGTTCACAGAATATGTGAATATATAAGAAATTCACTAGAACAAAAAGAATACTGCTCAGGTGTATTCCTAGACATACAACAAGCATTTGATAAGTTTTGGCACAGTGCGTTGTTGTTCAAGCTAAAAAAACTTTTACCTCACAATATGCACCTACTATTAAAATCATATTTAAAAGATTGGATGTTCAATGTTAAGATTAATGATACAACCTCCAAGATCTTTGATATATCCCCCAGGGTTCAGTGTTAGGGCCATTGCTCTGCATGCAGTATATGGCTGTATATACTTGGGATTCTACCTTGATCGCAGACAAAACTGGAAAATACATGTACAAAAGAAGCATGATGAGGTCAATAATAAAATTGAGATCATTAGCATGGCTTCTGGGCAAAAAATCCCGATTGTCTCTTGAGAACAAGTTAACCATATATGAAACAGTCCTCAAACCGATTTGGAGTTATGGATTACAACTGTGGGGATCAGCAAGTATATCAAACTTGGAGATATTACAGAGGTTCCAAAATGGTGCGCTCAAAACTCTGGTAAATGCTCCATGGTTGACAAAAATGGATGATATTCATGATTATCTACTCAAATCAAAAGCAAAAAGCAAATCCCTACTGTCAAACAGGAGATAAGTAGCATGACAAAAGCCTAAAAGGGCAAAATTTCATGACGTGTAAACAGACTTGCACAAGCTCTGGACAAACCGCTAAGTAACAGACGATTGAAGAGGTGCCACATGTGGAACTAAAGGAAGGAGAAATTGGAAAGATGAAGGCAGTCTAACACAGGGCGGGCGAGCCTAACACGCCAAATAGATCATAACAAAACAACTTCCCATGGTCCATGGTCTGCTTGCATGTTGCAAAAGGCATCATAAAAAAAATGCCAAATGGTAGTTTTTGTTCATATCTATGAATAATGTATCCAACCCAAACATAAACCATTAATTCCTTTTTAAAAATATGTTTCAAACACACTGAAACATATTTCTGATATTCGTATTTTTTTACTGATCTGAATAAATGTGAAAAATCAAAATTTATCCAATTTAACAGTTTCTGTTCTGAAACTCCTCAAATGTCGATGGTGAAATTAAGTTTCATTTTAATGTATACTGTGATATAAACATGAAATATTCATAACAATTCATAAGCCAGTATTAAAAACTAATATGCAAAATAGAATTATTTATTTATTTACTTATTAAACTTTATTGACCACAATACAGAATGGTACAAAAAGCGGACTTAGTCTTAGCATTCTAATTCATTACTATGTTTAGGTAAAGGATCGGTAGACGGCGATAAGACCTACTTATTATTGGTGTTATGAGTATTAAGTGCAGTGTTTTTGTACAAAGTTTGGTTTGGTGGAAAAACTCATTGATTCATGCCTTTTAGTAAGCGGCTGACATCCATTAGAAGCCTGCATAATAATCACTATGAGCAAGTACTTGCAAGTATATCACAATTTGGCAAAAAGTTTTACTAACTACTGAAATTGATCTACTCTTCAGAATTGGACTTTTTTCCTTTATACATATAGCATCCATCATTATTCTTGCATTGCCTAATTCTAATTTTGCATTGTTTGTTACTTATGTATTAATTTACACAAGTAGCATAAGTTGTGACTGCATATAAGTTATCACTTACACACATAACATATTTTGTAGATAATTATTTATATATTTATTTATTATTAAAATTTTTTTATAACTTTAAGTTTTATTATGTAGTAAGTGCATGATTTTTGAAGACATAAAAACTAAGAAAATAAGTATAAACTTATTGCTAATATTATAGACGCAGTACCATCAATATTTCCATGGGACATGGCTGACGAAAATTCAATAGGGACAGAAAAAATGGAGACGGGTGATGGAAAAAACGAAAAACTAAATGGTGAAGGAGATGTCACAGTAAATTTAAATAGTAGTAAAGAATCTGAACCGGAGAATTTGGATGCTATTAAGAAGTTTATTGAAGATCAAGAGAAAAAGCTTATTGAAGAAAAAGAGGTACCAAAAAGTGTTGAAGATGGTACTGAAAGTATGGACAATGATGCAAACAATGAAAATAATGCTGTAAAAGCTGAAGTTACGTGTAGTGATATTATAACTAATGACGAACAAGGCTCATTACTTACTAAGGAAAATGAATTAGAAAATAACAATATAGAGAAGGATCTGGAAGATGAAACAATGGCAGTAGCTAGTAGTGTTATGGACATGATTCTGACTGATTCCGAAGCTAAGATTGCTCAGAAAAAAGTTAAACCACTTACTAAAGACAGCATTAGTGCTGGAGAGAAAGGTTGGCATATTTTTTGGTTGTTTCATTGTTTAACATAGCTTTTAATTTTACACCCTATTGGTGGAGTCAAACAGACAGCCCAAAGATTTTGCCTGTAGTAGGATGTATAGGACAGGATGCATGACTGTCATATAATATAGAAGATGAAAATACATATATGTATGTTTGAGAGTCATGTGTTTAGCAGTAACAAATATTTTGAAATAGACAAAAAAAAAATCATTCCATTGATGATGCTAATATGTAAATTGAATTATGCTAAAAATGTACACAATATGTTCTTAATGGAGGTTACTACATTTTTTTTTCAGGTAATAATAGCATGTCCCTTTCAGTGGGATCTAAAGTGGAGGCAAAGGACTTTGCCGAGTCCTGGCATCCCGCTCAAATAATGGAAGTAGACTATGACGAAATGGAAGTCTTGGTACATTATGAAAATAAAATGAATAAGTGAGTACACATTTTATTATACACATTTTATTAATACCTTTTTAATTTAATATAGTAACATACTGTTTATATAAATATAAAAAGAGTTTTAAAGAAATGTTCATAAATTTAGCAAAAATTACAAACAAAAGTGCAACAGATTTCGTAAAAAATTATTAACCTAAAAAGTTCTGTTCATCGGCGAGGCGAAACGAGACGAAGATTGAAATTTGAATGGCATAATTTCTATTCTCTCCTAGCGCATTTTCGGTGGAAATGGTCTGGATTGACGTGGAGGGGCGAGTCGAGAATTGAAATATTTGTTGATGTGATATTGAACCATATTGCTGCCTTTATAGAGTAGTATACGTTATACGTTAAAAGTGATAAAAAAAAATTGGGATTAAAAAAAAAGGCTTCTATGGATGGATCAGACACTTCTTCCGTTAACATATTTAATCATAATAATTTATGGGACATGTTACTTCAGCCGCAGGGAAGGCACAGGTCACTCAACCAGAGGACATAAAAGGAAAGTTCTTCAGTTCTTTAAAACTGTCAGGCTTGGCTCTAAACTGTATTTAGTGGTGGTCACAATAGATTAGTTGGTGGTCGCAGTGATGAAGGACTGCATAGGCCCCAAATGAAGCCACCGTAATAATACATCAGCCACATGTTTATCACTAGACGAACTACATCGAATGCCCTAAATCGTCACCATCCACAATCACGGCGCGAGCTATTGCTGGCAATTTTTGGTGGAAAACGGCCGGCGAGATTTCTACTCTTGTCTCGCCTCGTCTCATCTCGCCTTGCCGGTGGAAAACTACCTTTAGACAGGCCTTTTGATAAATCGAATTAATATATTTTATTCAAACTTGTAATTATGACGTTTGCAGACGCTAAAGAATTCTTTTAACTATAATTTCGCCATTTATACTGGTAGCATTGCCTAGTTGGATAGCAATAGATATCTAGTTGTTTACTAGAGCGATATGATTGTAATTTCGGTGGTGAATTTATGGAATTTTTTTAATGTCCGTTATTGTACAATTATGTTTTAGCTGTTTAAATAAATACTTTCAAATCCAGATTTTATATTAAATTTATTCATCAAGATATGACAGCATACCTAACCAATCATATATATTATGTCGTATTATATTTATTTAAATATATGATATGTTATGATGTGTGCTTTGATATGAGGTATTCTAGACTTGTAAATTCGGCAGCGGAATGCGTATACTAGTGCATGAACTTCACATGTGCATAATATGAGCTTAGAAATAGTGTATATAGCATGGTAGAAAGCTATTTAGTATAATTTTACGTATAAGTAGCAGTGTCGAAGGGTTCACCGGTTTACTTACGAAATTATTCTTCAAATTGAGGTATTTAATGGAACATTTCATGTCTCTTCATAACATTGATTAACCATAACCCTCGCTACTGTTAAGTAGTTTTTAGAAGATTTTTTTAATTCGTTAAATTAAAGTTTTAAGTTTAAGTTAAATTTAAGTTTTTAATGTCACAGCTACACCACCACCTGTAGGTAAACAAATTATTTGAAAAATTGATTTGGACATCTGTAGTGTCAATTTCAATACTCTTAAATGTGGCCGTGCGTACCTCTTTCTAACAGTTAGATATTATAGGCACGACGAATGGATAAACGTTAGCAGTCCTCGGCTAAGACCAATAGGTTCAAAACCAACTACTCCAGCTCCGATTACACCTAGCACAGAGCTGATACCGCCACTCAATACCGAAGTGCCAATAGCGCAGGTTAAAGAGGAACCTAAAAATGAGGAAAAACCAAAAGTGACGTTTTTTGTTGGTGAACGATGCTTGGCCCGGTGGAGGGATAATAGACGTTTCATTGCAACAGTTCATGAAGATTTGGGTGAAGGTAGGTGATTTTATTTTGCTGGTTGGGCCTTCAAACCGAATTTGGTGTAATACGAGTAGAACACTTACATAATAAAGTAACTTTTATTAAAAAAAGGAACCAACTTCAAATTTTGCTTATACACACATCAAAAAAAGTTTGCGATCACTTCGAAAAACTGAAATCTTTTTTGTTACTGTAGATTATATTATGATTTTTTCTTCTTTTTAGATTCTTTATTCAAAAATAAATTAGAACATAAAACAATGACCCCGTTCAATTGTTTTTTTATATAAAAAGGCTTTCAGTCCTAGCTTACGCTCATTCAGAAATCTGATTTAGTTAATTATAAGCGATTCAAGATATTTTTCGCGGAAAGTTGTGATTGAAAAAATGCCAAGAGGATTATCAGAGGTTTTACGAGCTAGAATAGTAACTTTGAGGGAAGAAGGATACACCACGAGAGTAATAGCACGCAGACTTGCTATATCCCAATCCTGTGTCGTGGCTACGTTGCAGAGGTATCACGGAATGGGGAATTTAGCTGACCGACCCCGCAGCGGTCGCCCAACTGTTTTGACAGCTGCCCAAAAGCGCTATATTAGATTGCTGGCAGCCCGTGATCCAACAATCAACGCCACTAAAATAAAAGCAGAAGTCAGGGCCGCCTCTGGGCTTGAAGTTAGCACGCAGACCGTTCGCAATTGCTTGCACCAGACTGGATTACGAGCACGGAGGTCTTGGCGAGCTCCGCTCAATTCCCGGCAACGTCAACAACGAAGATTGCAGTGGGCTAGACTTCGGCAAAATGAAGAAGGTGAGGACGAAAACATTTGGCAAAACTGTCTCTTCGTTGACGAATCCCGAATCAGCACTCATCCAGATAACCGACGTGTCCGTGTCTGGAGAAGACCAGGCGACCGTGAAAGACAAAGAACTGCCACTGGAACAGTTCAGCAAGGCGGAAAATCGGTGTCCTTTTGGGGTGGCATTATGATTGGAGCTAGAACGCCTTTGATCCCGTATCGGGGCTTCATGGCAGCAGACCTGTACAAAGCAGTTGCTATTGATGATATCGTCAGACCATTCCGAGTAAACCATGGGCACCAATTTGTACTGGTCGATGATAATGCGCCCGCACATCGAGCTCAACGAGTCAATGCTGCTCTTCAAGAATACGATATCACACGATTAGACTGGCCTGCCGGCTCGCCCGACTTAAACCCAATAGAGCACGCGTGGGATGCTCTTAAACGAGCAGTATGGAACCGTGAGCCACGTCCCCAGACAGTTCCAGAGCTCAGGGAAGCCGCTATTGAAGAATGGGATAGGTTACCCCAGGAAATGCTGGATAACTTGATCCTCAGCATGCCCAGGAGGATCTTCGCATGTATTCGAGCCAGGGGAGGAGTTATTTTATATTGAATTCACACCTTTTAATAATAAATTGTTGTTTAAGTTTAATTAAACAGTCTTTTTCTTTCTATGAAATTTCTATCACTATTACATTATGATTAATGGCTCAATTTTTTAAAATAAATAATAAAAAATAGTTTTATATTTTAATTTCAAACAGGGTATTCCTATTTAAAGAAAGCATACAACATAGATTTTTTCTTGATAAAGTGAAATTTAAAGAATTATAGGAGCTTATGCTATTGATCGCAAACTTTTTTTGATGTGTGTATGTACATACAAGTAGCAGTAGAGCTCCTTGTGAAGGAGTACATCCAAGGTAGTCCTACCACCTTACCTGTTTCTGCCGCCAAGCAGCATGTCAATGTCAATAATGTCAGCATTACTGTGTTCGGTTTTAAAGGGTAAGGGGTCTGGTGAAATTACAGGCACATGGGGCATGTCAATGTCTCAGGGTGACGGGCGCGTGGCAGTGCCCCTCAGATCTTTGCGATTTAAAGCTCTGCGTGGCACTGCAACTGTTAAGGACAGGCTTGTAGCTTACCATCAGGCGCACGACTTGTCCGTCCCATCACTTAATATTATTAAAAAAAAAACCTTTTTTGGTGATTTATTGTCACAGACAAATTCTAACACTTTTTGACATTGAATTTGAAAATCAATTCAAAAATGTTCAAAAAAAAAAAGGCTAAATCTGCCTTATACCTTACAGCAACCTTTAGAGGTGGTCAATGTCCAACATTTCAATAACTTATTGTACATTACAATATCTTCAATGTTGTCCATATTGTTTATGTTAAATCTTCATACAATTTTGTATTTCGAAATTCTAAAGCGTGACCTACGTGATATTTAACACAGTCTAATTGAACACGATCTTGAATATTACACAAAGCAATTTGTTCTTACTAAAAGATGAAATTTTCCAGGAAAATACGAAATAATGTTCGATGATGGAGTGCGTTGGACATGTACGACGACTAGACTCTCAAAACTAAAAGAGCCTATGAAAAGAGAATCTCTAACCATTGATACTAATCTTCCATCAACATCATCTACTCCGTCACCTGTTGATGGTCTTGGTCCTGGAACCACAGCTCCTTCAACTGCCTCTGTACCTGCATTCCACACCCATCTCTTCGACCCTACTAGAGACTATCTAAGTTCCAAAAGTGAGCGTCGTGAAATGAAGAGAAAACTCAATGTGAAGGAGCTATTTAATATTGGACAAAAGAAGAAAAAAGTTGAGACTCCAAATACGTCGAAAAAAACTCCAAGTTCGTCGAACAGGACTTCAAGTACATCGAACAAGACTCCAAATACGACGAACAAAACTCCAAGTACGTCGAACAAGATTCCAAGTACGTCGAGCAAGACTCCAAGTACGTCGAACAAGACTCCAATCACGTCGAACAAGACTCCAAGTACGATAAATAAGACTCCTAAAGTGGCGAAATCCAGTGAAAAGAAATCAAAAGTTATAAAGAAGAAAATTAAAATGGAATCTGTAGATGCGGAGGTGAAAAAGGAAATTCCTGGTAAGTTAAATTTTATATGAGAATATTTTTCCATGTAAATCCACGAGGTCACAGTAGAGAGCAGTGACATGGCGTGAAAATACCGCATCTTGGTAAAGTGGGGAAATAGGGCTGTGTGGAAAAAGAAAATTAAGTATGGAGAGTTTAAACTTCAGCTGCTTAGAATGTGTAATCTTTAAGACAACATTAGTTAGGAACCCCCATGTTCTTTTCTATATAAGTTCCCTTAGAGTATACGAGATGGGTACTCTGTACAAGTGCAGGGACCTTCTAAGTTCAGGTCCTGACACCGGATCAGCCAGTGTAAAGGGTTGTCACTGACTCCATCCGTTTCTCAAGAGGCTAGTGCCTTGGGTGAGCCGTCCCGGATGCACGTACAGTACCCTCCCTATTTTCCAGATAGGTACAGGAGCTGTAGTGCTTCCCGTTGTGCATTGCTCAACTAACGGTTGCCACATATTAGTTAGCAGTTATATATACAACTCATAAGACTGATGTATTTTATGTATATTGCCCTTTTTTTAGATGCTGTAGCATCAATAATTGGCACAGTAGATACAACCAAAGAAGAGCCGGGATCATCTCTGGAGGTGAAAGAAGAAATTAAGATTGAAACTCTGAACGACTCCAACAAGGACTTGAATGTGTCAGTTGATATGGCGAATAGTGAGACATTAAGTGCTCCCGAGACTCAAGATATTAAACACGAGAATGATGTAAGTTTGAATATACATTATAATATAGATTTGAATTAATATTGAGGTAAAAACAAGGAAAACTGAATTTGAACATTCACATGAAAATATAAACTATTCAAAAACATTTGCTCAAGGCCACATTGCACAAGTCTATTAAAAACGAACTTAATAGAGTTGTGCCTGCTCGGTCTTTAGAGGTAGCAATCCTAATTACTTATTTTGAACAAATGAATTAATTCGGTCTTTTAGTTCCTTAGTTCAGTGGCAATTGGGAAGGAATAGGGACCGTTTCGTTCTTTGAAGGACACAGAATAACACAATCCATTTAAACAATTTATTAATTTAAATAGGACTGTTTTTTAGTATTTTTCCCCTCTTTGCTATACTTTTTGTGTTTTTGGAATATAAATTTTTTATAAATATTTACATTACATTATTAAACTATTTTTTTTTTTAATTTTACGTTATAATTTTATTTCAAAAGGCATATTTGTTGTATTTAAGTTTTTTATTTTGTTTCTTAACCTACACATGGTGTGTAAGTGTGTTAAATTTGATAAAGAAAATGAAAGTAAATATGGAAAAATTTATTGTATACTTTTAGTTTATATTTAAGCCTTAAACGGGCTGGCAAGGTTCAATCGCTCATCTCACTAAAACTTGTACTAGAAACAATGATAGTCGATTAATTGACTCGAAAGACAGATTAACTATTAAGATAGCATCGCGTCTGTGGTTCCGCAAAGACAAACTGTTCCTACTGAACTAAAAGAGAGGTGAACTAATAAGATTGTGCACAAGGAACTAATTCATTTCGGTCAGTGTCAGGAATTCATTCCTAACAATTCCTAGTTCATGAATTAACTCAAGCCTAGAAGTTAACTAAAACACTATAAGTCATAAGTATCCACAACATATAAACTATGTTAAGCTTTATTTTTAATTAATTAAACTTGTAAAGTTAAACATTGATATAGCATTTTATATCTAGGTGACTGAGGAAGAAAAACTAGAGAAATTCGAAAAGTCCGACAATGCAGCTCACGAAGAGGTCATCGACCGAATTAAGGAGGTTATTAACAAACTCGAGGGTGGTCTAAACGCAGTCAATACCGAGTCACCTACACCTACCACTAGTGTTACTACTACAACAATTGCTGCTGTAAAAGCTGAAGTTAAACTTGAAATTCCAGAACCAGATCTGAAAGAACCCAAAATAAAACAAGAAAGAAAGAAAAACTTTCCAAAGGTAAAGAAAGGTAAAAAGCTTAGGTTGTTACAGGAGAAAAAGGTAAAGAAACAAGTGGAGAAAGTGAAATGTGAGTTGGAGGAGATGAAGAGGCAAGTCGAGGAGATGAGGAAGGAGATGCTTCAGAAAACGGAGGAGCTGGCGAAGAGTAAGAGTACGGAGATGCCGGATAGCTTCTTGCTGCCGGGTGAGTGGTGCTGCAAGTGGGTGAACGGACAGCCAGTAGGAACCGTCAGCGAGATTGAATACGAAGGGAAGATTGACAGTGCCAAGAACGCGCTGCCCAGGCGAAGTGTCCAGGTAATATAGGGGTTAATTTATCAGCAGCATTAAAATTTAAATATACTGACAATCAATGTGCCTAAAGAATGAAAAATAAACATCAAGTAACTGGTTAGTTTTGGGGTTTCTTGAATGGTCATCAGGTAGCCAGATGTTGCTGTGTGAGTTTTCTGAAAGTAATATTACTAATTCGTTATCGCCTTCTTTTGGGGGTTTGGCCAAAGAGTTTTCGAGCACCACCCAGATCGCAGACCACCCACAAGGTAGACAGATGACCTGGTACAGGTAGTGGGATGCAAGCAGCGCAAGACCGAACGCTGTAGCGATCTTTGGGGGAGCCCTGTGTCCAACAGTGCACATAACATATTTCGGCTGTTTTGTAATATCTTATTTTATTTATTCGTTTTCTTGTATATTGCGTGTATTGCTTTCGTTGATATGATGATGAATATTATTGTTTGAAAATATACGGTAATATAATCGCATATAAGTTCCACTAGAGGGCATGGATCTCAGACAGGGTTTAGGCGCTATTGGCTGATACAAAATTTATATAAGTATTCTTTTCCTATTAATAGTACGCGGGTCAAATCATTTATAGATACTTGACCTCCATATTTTAAATGTTGATGAGAAAGTTATCTTAGGTGGAGGATAAGCGATTGCCGCCGGGATGGACCAAGCACATGGTGCGCAGGAGTTTCGGCCACTCTGCCGGGAAATGGGACGTTGTTCTCCTCAGGTGCGTTGTGATACAAATAAATTTCATTGTTTTGTCCTTATTGATTTTTGTTTCTGAGTTATCAATATCATTTTATTTCCCTGCAAAATCTTTTATGGTCAGAACAACGAAAAGATGAAAGAACAATAGCGAAATTATAGTTAAAAGAATTCTTTAGTGTCTGCAAACGTCATAACTACAAGTTTGAATTAAATAAATTCATTCGATTTTTCAAAAGGCCTGTCTAAAGGTAGTTTTCCACCAGCGAGGCGAGACGAGGAGAGAAGAGAATTGAAATCTCGCCGGCCCATTTCCACCAGGAAATTGCCATTAATTCGCGCGAGTGTGATTATAGATAGATAGCTGTTTAGTTAATCTAGTGATAAATACGCGGCTGAAGTAACATGTGCCGTAAATTATTATTATTAAATTGTTAACGGAAGAAGAATCCGATGAAACCACAGACATATATCTAGATAGACGCCGTAAGTGTACGTACTTCGCGTGCCCAAAGTAAGTGAAATTCACTTACTTGCCGCTGCTACACTTCAGAACGCCCTCGACCGTTATCGTAGATAAACACCAGTCGAATACGCGAAAAATGCATAATTGTGCCATTATAAACTGCAAAAGCACCATAACTGTGGGTAAACGAGTGAACAGGGACGTTTCCTTCCACGGACAAATGATTTTGTAATCAGAAGATGCATAATTTATTTTATAAACAATTATTTTGGTTTTATATGGGTTTCGAGAAAACAAATATGCAACCGAGTGTATGCCTCATGATTTGTAACACATTGTGGCTTTTACTTGGTGCTATATATTTGTGATCCTTTGTTAATATGCCATGAATATCGAACAAACGCACTTTTTTATAATGCATTCAGTTTCGCGGTACGGCCGCTGGTACATTTCTTTGACCAAATTTAACATTCAGTGATGGTTACGTTAGGCAACACTGTTCTCGATTCTGATCGATTTTGAAAACAAAGGGACGGAAATTATTATGACCTTAGCAATATTATAAAAACATTCTACCTGTAGAACTGTTTTGTTATACGTTTAGTAACGTTTCGTTTTTTTTTTTCAGTTTTGTAGTATCTATCATCAGTAGTATCTGTAATTTCGATAATTTTTGCAGCACATTGCCTCGAATGTCAAATAATTACATACATCGCCGGATATATAGCACGATTAATACAAAAAAATATATAATACAAAGAATTAACAGTGCGCAGTCTTGTACAAAGATGTGAAGTTTTTCAAACGTATGAGTTCGTTGCTTTCGAGGACGAAGGTGGTCTAGTTTATCCCACCTAAGATGCTATCCAAATATGCAGAGTAGCAGAGTTAGAAATCCGAGAAATAATAAACAAATCACAAAAATTTCACACGAGGCCATCATTAAGTAAACCTCTTCTGATTAATAAGATTTTACCATATTTTGTCAGCGGTAACATTTTCATTTCTCTTGCCATTCATCAATTTGATCAATTACCAACAGAAAACCATTTGGTAAAATTAATTAAGGCGGTCGCAAGTTCATATATTGAGGTGCGTTTTCATTATTTAAGTTAATCGATAAAATCTTCTATGACAAAAAGATGTTATATAATAAGCTCTTTTTATTGGAAGGACAATAATTTTAATATTTAAAGTCGATTAAAAATTAAAGTCTTAATTTTTTTTAAGTAATCAACGTTTCTTAAAAACGAGTAAAATAAAGGACTTAACTATCTTATTCTAGTATTTTTCGACTGTATAAATATTACGACTACTTGTAATCAACAAATACTTGAACAAAAATTATTCTATTTAGAACCGATTAATTGAATGGAATACGCGTGTTTACGCGTATTCCGTTCAATCAATCGATTTAGAGCGAGCGGAAGGAGGTTTCATCACTAAATAGTTCTTGTGACGTCATAGTGATATTAATTGCAATCGCGAGCTCGCGCGAGACCGTGCGGGCACTCGCGAGATCGTGATATGTGTTTCCGTTGCAGAGTATAATACTCTATGTAGGCAGCAATACGGTTCAATATTACACCAATAAATATTTTATATCCTTTTAAATCCTCGTCAATCCAGACCATTTCCACAGAAGATGGGCCAGGAGAGAATTAAAATGTTATATAAATTTCAATCCTCGTCTCGTCTCGCCTCGCCGGTGTTAAAATTATATTTAAATGAAACTCAAATGAGTAATTAGACTGATATTTACAACTGTCGGTTTCTTAACGTTGAGCGACATTTAACCGCCAAAAGGAGATTTTCAATTCCTACGTATAGATTGGTGATACCTATGTAGAGATTTGCAATAAGATATTAACTACATCATTACAAAAAAAAGTAGATAATTCCTCCTCCAAAGAAGCCACGCGAGAAGTGGTAATATTGCCAAAAAGTTCCCGATATCAGGGATAGATGGCATGCTTTACAAAAAAATAATTTGTGCCTGAGTTATGAGGGCATAGTATGTATTAACTCGTTTTCTTTTGTTATGGCTTACCTTCATGCCTTTTGACCCACCTTATTAAAATTTATTCCTCTGAACTTTCTTCACGTCCCACTGCACTATTCAGCTTCTATTAACTCTTGTTTAAGGCTTTTGTAGTTTATTTTGATAAAATTATACACTGAATATATTTTATTCAACTTTGTGACATATAACCTCCTAGACTTCAAACTGGAATATCTTTAATTCAAAATTGTTTAGAATAGTCAATCCAAAACCAAATTTATTCAGGAATTTAAACTCGATTTCAACATAGTTTTCATAAAAAGAAGCATACTTATGTCACCAAAAATTTATATGCGAGTGTATCATGCGTCAATTCATCCTGTACATGTCCGAACCTCCTAAACATCTCTTTCTTTATCTTTGTCACTACGTCTATATAAAACTAGAAAAACAAAATCTTGTGTAAAAACCACCTATTTATTATCCATTTCACAGCCCTGAAGACCGCCGATTCCACACTAAAACCGACATGCGAGTATACCTAGAAAGCAAACCAGATCTTACTTTAAAACCGTTTGAACATGCTCTCATGGACTTCGGGGTACATTTGAAACTGTCCCGGCGCATGGGATGGTACACAGTGACACCTAGTGGCGAACAAGAAGGACCTATGATGTTGCCGTCTGGTACTTTGTGTACGACATCGCCTATTGTAAAGAGGAAAAAATTGAGCCTAAAGAAATTGGGTAAGGACAAGAAGAAAAGATTGAGTGTCAGATTGAAGGTGCCTAGGCAGTATTATCAACGGGTGAGTGAGGTTACCATAGTAAAATAAAAGTATTGTAAGTCCGCACAATGTAACAGCACGGTTTGTATGTGTGCGCGAACGCCGCGCGATGTGTACAGATGCATACATAATATATTTATTAGAGCTATATTATAGCTCTAAACTTACAATATAATAAAAATGTTTCGGGACTCAACTACCTTGCTTCGTCACTGACGTAATACATTTAAATCGATTTTAATATGAAACGTAAGCAATGTTTTCTAATACAATCATATATTTTTTTAAATAATGTTACGTTCTTTGTACACCTAGAGGGAGTGAGCCTGGTGATCTATAACACAGGTCCCCAACCTAGTACAGACTCCAGCTCTTACTAAGGAACTTGTTATTATATGTGAAATCTAGTGTCGGCAAACTAAAGCACATAAGTCAAAATCCAACATCATTCATTTAAATTAATACAGCTACCGACTAAAGCACATAAGTCAAATTAATTTGTTACTTTATAAATTTCGAAATTTCTTTAAATTCTAGAGGGTATTTAACTTCCAACACTAAAAACAATACAAAAAAAATATAATTATATATTAACAAATGAAGCACTTTTTTGACTTATGTGCTTCAGTCCGCCGACCCTAGAAATGTAACTATTTATACACCTTTCTGAGAGAAATAAAGCATTTTGTATTTTATTGCATAAATGTCTAAATATTGCACATAAATTTACTTACGTTACGGAATAATTATCATTTAGCGTAAAGAGCAAACTTTGAACTGTTGCACTTCACAACTGACAGTAGTTAGCTCTCAGTATTTTTACGCGTGATGTGATACTTTATTACGACTACGCTAATGTATATTTTTTTTAAAAGACCCACATTTTGAAAATTAAGTTTTGAGCGTTACCTTGCACGGATTCTGTATATGTGGGTGAGCACACATACAAGTCACCATGCTACATTTGTATGAAGTTACCATAATTGTTTTATTTATACTATGCTGTTACCGGTCATGAAAGGGTTAAATAGAAAAGTGCGAGTAGATCATTTTCGCATTTTAGCCATCGCTTGTGGATCCCGCCGCTGCAGGCATCAGTGACAGTGTCACTGTTGTGGATCCAACTGCGCCTCTCGATCAGCCAAACGAAAGCCTGCCATTGGAAGATGGATGTGGTATGTATTTCACAAACTCAAAACTCAAAATAATTTTTATTTCATAGGTAAGCAAATTACACTTAAAATCATCAATTGATTAAAACCTACTACTCACTCGTAAGGCAGATTATGGACGGTATTAGTCTTAACCTCCTAAGGCTCAATTTATAATATGGCGGAACGGAATGGAAGCGAATTTTTGTAACGATATTGTACATAGGATAATGAATTTTATAGTCAATTGTGTAACGTGCAAACTTCTGCAAAAAGTTGAAAGATTAAATCATACCGTTTAACTAACACAAAGTAAGAGTTTTAGACATTGCAACCGGAGCAAGTAAATAATTGAAGAACAAAATATTTTACTCGGTGGAAATGAAACATTTTTTCGGATCTAAATCACGTATATGTTTTTAAAAGAAGCTAAATTTTGGGGCCCTTTTTTCGGGATTGTTTGAAAAGACATTAAATAAAAAATAATAGTTTCATTTCCAATGTATAACAATCACGAAACCTAAGAACTCGAGTTTCTACTCAACGTTCAAAATTAGACTTGCTAACATATACGACCTTGGCACATGTCTTTCATTTCGTTAACACGCATCAATAGGTTCATTACACTTTCAGGGTGTTATAATTGTCCTATGTCTCTTTCAGTATACGTCGGATCTCTAAAAGTCCAAATAATAGAGAATCTTTTGCGATGCCCGGCTGAGGGCTGTTACAAGAACTTCAGGAATGATACGCTCCTGAAGATGCACATAAAGCATTACCACAGGGAGTTGAGAAAAATGTTAGGAGCAACACCTAAAGTGCTAGACCTGGCATACGCAAGACAAAGACCTACTGAAATGGAATTAAACCGAATGAGACACGAAGCTGTACATAAAACAATCCGAGTGAAACTGCCACGGCTCCCCAGAAGATACACAGACCCAAAACCGGAACCAAAAGAAGCAGAAATCAAACAAGAATTACCAATAAAAGCAGAATTGCCAGAGAAAATACCCAGATCTCAAGACTCGCCGAAATTGAGGTTGGCTTTGAATAGACCAGTAAAGCGACCGAAGGTGTTGCTACCAGTTAGAAAACAGGAACCTGAAACACCAGAAATGAAGGATGAAACAGACGAAAAGAAGACTATACCATTGCAACCAAAGATAGAAATACCTGTTGTTGAACCATTAGATTTTGAAACTGCCATCTCGACTCACACAGTGACGCGACCAGCAAGCGAGAAAAGGAAGAGTGACAAGAAAAGAAAAACATTCGCAACAATATCGAAGAAGGCAATGAGTGAGGATGAAGAATGGTTCACGATGAACAACTCCGACGTAGAAACCAGATCGAGCTATCCCAGGTCGGGAACGCCTGATTCGAAGACCACTGAACAGAAGCTCGTGTCTTCGGAATATAATGAGGAACAAAAGGGTGCTAATAACTATTTGTATACCGAATGTAAGTGCTTTTTTAGTAATGTTTTTCTGAAGTTCGTAGTGAAGTTATTGTTAAAAGGTATTTGACTTATAAGACTGAAGCACATATCGTCCTTCTCACTAACTGCCGTATTTGATAACATTTTCCACTAATATAATATGTCTTGACTTTTTACATGATCGTCGGCTAAATTCGTAAATTTCGTAACTCCATTAATGTGAACTTTTGAGAAGGCATAAAAAACGGAATTACTAGATATAATTACATGATAATTTTATGATTGCACGTTTAATATATGTCTAAAAGTGATCTAAAAATTATATATTAAACTTTATTTGCCCGATATTGTGCTTGTAGTTACGGCATTTTAAAATTTAGCAGATGATATGAATAAAGCTCTTTGATTCCAATGAGTTTGACGCTAGTTTAAGATGTATTTGCGGAATGGTGGTTATAACAGTTGATTCGGACAGACGATATAAAGAACAGACCCTGTACTTTCGTCCTCCTTCCGATATCCGTCCGAAAGAATTTCTGTCAAGTAATACTCGAATGAAGCGTCATACTTGACATCAAGTATAATATCATTGCTTGACATTGTTTTTTAATTTGGTCGACATACTCATTTGACAGTAATTGTTTCGGACGGAGAACGTTAGACCCCATCTAAATCCTGATGCGTAAAATTCCAACTAGCTTATAATAAAATTAACCTGCGTAGCTGCATGACTTGAAAACTTTCTATGAAATTTACTGTTGGGAGAAACATGGATAAAAGAAACATAAATCGTCCAATAAAAAAGTGATTACTTTGATACTCCACGACTCTTGAAGGTTAAATTGTGCAAAACATTTGCTTTTGCTTGTGTTGATTTTTTTTTTCAATAAAAAAAATAATATTGTAGTGTCAGGTGACAGACACTGATTTATTCCTTGTGTTTGTTGGATTGATACAACAATATGTAATAACAAACAAGTGAAGAACTTTTACAAAAAATGAATGAATCTCATGGTAGTAAAAACATAATCATGATATTTAATAAAAATATTGAGATTTGTTATTATAATCATAATTGAAATTCAACATAACATTTCCAGCTGGCGAACGCATAAAGATAGTGCATATGAAACGGGAAGAGATAATAAACTGTCATTGCGGATTCCGCGAAGAGGACGGCCTTATGGTGCAATGCGAACTCTGCCTTTGTTGGCAGCATGCACTTTGCCACAATATACAGAAGGAATCTGAGGTATGTATAGGGTTGATGCGAAAAATACTAATGTGTAGAGAAAATTCTTTTTTTAAATTTTTGATCATTAAACGTAATTATTTAGTTGTTTTTAACTTTTTTATTATGACACATTTCGTAACTATCATAAACGTGTTTTTAAAACAATAACAATTTACATCTGTCCCGCTTTGACTGCACTCCATCTATTGGTACAACTTTACATTACGTAGTTAAAGGCTGTCCGGCCGACAGGTGACCGATATTCATTTCAAGCAAGTTTTACGATCCATTTTATTAAATCAAGCAAGTGTAAGATCGATATTAAGATCTTATTTCCTTGATAAAGTTTTGGTCCGTTGAGATGTCATCAAAGATGCCAATGATTATAGCGTTTTTGGAGAATTTGAGATGCATCTCGAGATCTAAGTCACATCTCGATCGATCGCTTCAAGTGATCGGGAGAGGAGTGAAATGGATTTGTCGCGGTTGCAGGTTCCCGAGAAGTACACCTGCAGCATCTGCCTAAACCCGCGGCGCGGGCGGCGTTCGCAGCGTTTCCTGCACGACCAGGACCGCATGTACGAGGGGCTGCTGCCCGGCGCCCGGCCCTGCGACACGCTGCGGCGCTCGCACGAGCTCTCGGGCAATCTGCTGAGGATCGAAGACGCCTTGCACGCTCTCCGGGTCAAGTACTACGTGGCCACGTAAGTCACGTCACCATCGAGTATATGTCCAGAAATAGAGACGAAACGTCATTTAGTTTGCTTGAAAACTATTCTGCCATAACATTACGATGACAACTGAATCGATTGACCAGCCCGAATTCGAAGCAATTGACGGGTGTCATCAAATTGTTTCACTTCAAATTGACCAGTTTAACTTGAGCTTTGCTATAATGGACGAAAATTATATATTTAATTAACAATGAAATCTGATTCCGTTTGTTTTGTAATTACATGTTTTGCTGTTTGTCCCACACCACCGAATTGTACGGCACGCCATTGTTAGAGATGTTATTTATTACAATAAATACATAATACTTTTAATTAAAAAATTTATAGAACATTTCGATGCGCCATCTATTGGCACCATTTTGAACTTAGGAGTTGAAAGCTGTCCAGTCTATTATGGCTGGGGGCTCATGTTCATTGTAATAAGGTTTTCAGGCTCTTAATATCAAGTGCATGATTGATGTTAAGATCTTATTTTAGTTTCGTCTTTTGCAATAAATTATTAATAAAATAAATTTTTACTCCTCTAATTCACCTTAATTCGAGAAATGTTTTTTATAATAAAATCAACCTTATTGTACAGGAAAAAAGATCATCCCAAACTCTACCTCTGGGCCAAAGACTGGGAGACAGTAGAACTAGCGATGACTCAAGAGAAACTCAATTCGGACTACTCCGATCTCAACATTATGATCAGTAATATTGGCAAAGAGAACCTGCCAATGAAAGAAGACGCACCTTTGGATATTAGAACTCCACCTTCGGAGGAACACGAGGAGAGGTTTTCGCAGAAGGATAACCATTTGGGATCTCAAGCGTTGCTTAGTGGTCTCCTTTCAAGTCCTGGAGGAGCGTCTTTGGATTTGCCTATAAGTACTTCGGAGTTGGAGAGACTGGCGAAGACTGTTCAAGGTAAAGAAAGACTTTTTAATTAACGTAGACTTCTGGGATGTAAAGTCTGTTCCAATCCCTTTTAGACGAAAAGTAAACAAAACGGTTTAGTGATAATTCTAAAACAATCACTCAATAAATCGAACAAGTAACACTTTTACGTATATTTCGAAGATTTTGACATGATATTTCATCACCTTTTCCAACAATATTGATTTTAGTAACATCGCAAAATCGTACTTGAAATATGGTAGTCAACAAGTGAAGTTATGTTTTAATTATAGATGCATGAATAGTCTATGGTTGTATAGTGCTGTACGGAAGAAAAATATTCAATTCATTCAAGTACAGTTTTTGTAATCGATTAGTAAATCAAAAATTTCAATCGTAATCGAACAATTATCTAAGTGTAAGGATTTGAAGAAGGATTTAAAATTAAGATTTTCTGAAAATTTTAAATTTTAATATTCCATAGGTTATATAAAGCAAATCGCTAGCATGACTCAATTGACCAAATCGATTCATTCAATTAATTAATCGATTTATAGTTGGCATTACAATAGGCCGTCACTAAACCGTCTATGGTCGGGTCAGTGATTTGTTTGTTTTCTTTTTGTTTCAAATGGATTGAAACGAAGCATAGTGCGAATATTTTAAGGCCGTTAACTATGGTCAATTTTATTGATAAAAACACCTCCACTTGAGGGTTGCCTCCTCACCGCTCAAAATACAGCTACTTTAAATTTTATTTCGAGAAAATTACCCTTGCCTACTTAAACACTGTGGGATGAGTTCCCAGATTCACACAGGCTAAATTTTGGTATATTTTAAATGCTAAGCCTAAGAACCTAAAATAACATCAGCAAACTACATTTTGTGCAAATAAGAATAAATAAAAAAATATTTTGCAAGGTTTTCCAAGATACTGAAAACAACGAGATTAATATACTTTATTTGTTTTTTATTGTTAATTTTTGAGTTGTTCTACAAATAAATGTTACGAATGTCACTGTACTCCTATTACTATAGAAGTAATTTTTGAAGTAAAAACCTCTTCAGGCTGACATTGGAGCATCGCATTTCTCTTGCGTCTCAGAGCATTGAAATTTATACCTTAGTACAATTATGGTAGCGTAAACTATACATTGATAAATTTAATGTCCTTTGCCTTGTTGTTCGTCGGTTTGAGCTGGCTCTAAAGATTGAGATCCAAAATGGTTTCCACTCAACACTTGTCGGGCTGATTTTCGCGCGAGTTCTAAACTGGACCGTGGAGACGGGCCAGGAAAAATGTATATCGTATAGAATCAGTGTTCTATTTAGTTCAGTTGATAGTTAAAAAATCATTGGTTTATGTAAAGTACCTATTGATACAGCGGTTTCCTTGTAAAATTTCGAGGCAAGTTTATGTTTTTTAATGTCGTGAAAATGTTTAGGAATCGTGATTTCACACCATGTAGTAATCAGAGTATCTCCTCAATTTTACTATGTATGTTTTCCAAAGTGAATGATTCAACACCTTGACTCTTATGCGGAATCATTGAGTTTATAACCAGAAATAGAGACGAAATGTTATTTAATTTGTTTGAAAACTATTTTGCCATATCATTACGGTGATACCACATTATACCATATCAATGCGCTCTGATTAGCCGGACCGAATTCGAAACAATTGACGGGTGTCGTCAATTGTTTCACTTCAAATCGACCAGTTTAACTTGAGCTTTGCTGTAATGGACGAAAATTGAATATTACCTATTTAATATTTAATTGCCGATGAAATTTGTTTTGTAATTAGATGTTTTGCTGTTTTTCCCACACCACCGAATGGACAGCCCCACAGTTAGAGATATTATTTTTATTACAATTAATAAATACACAATATTTTTGGAATATACGGACTACGGGTACGTTCACACAGGTCAGTTGTAGGCGCTGTACTGTTTCAGCTTTCTAATTTGTGATTTCAGTGCAAACGCGAGTTGATATTTAAAAGTGATAAGGCCCATAAGGCCCATTTACCTGACGAGTTGGCAGGGATGGATGGCCGGCCCTTATTTCGTCTCTATTTCTGGTTATATACTCGATGTCCGGAATCAACCAAAGCAATTTGAGGTTGTATAGACTCGTAAGTGGTCAGGTTTAATGGGCAGCACGCTTTGCAGCGGAGGCGGAGGCTGCGCAGCGCGCGATGGTGCCGCTGCCCGAGGCGGCCATCGAGAACAGCGCGTGCCGCGAACGGCTGCTGCGGCACGTGCAGCGCTGCCAGGCGCTCATCGACGCCCGCCTCGATTCCATAGAGGCGCAGGTCGCAGGTGAGCCTCCTACACCGTCTCACCAACACCTTCCCCTCCACAGGACAAGGCGGACAGTGGATATATCCACCAGAGACACCGGCTGACCTTTTGCACTTAAATGACTATCACTGATTTTTTTTTATAACGCGGGTGCGTTATAAAACACACACGCTCAACACACTCAACATAGCCCCCGTACTAGTGAAACTCTGTGTCGCGGGTGCCATGGACACACACATAGACACAACCACAAATTACACCCAAACTCACGAGACTAAATGTAGGCCATACAAATATTTCTCCCGGACCGGGAATCGAACCTTGGCCCTCTGCGTGGCAGTCCGGCATGGTAACCGGGTTAAATACAGGGTTGTTTATGATATAATTGGAATTAGGGAATGCAAGTTCGTACCATATTTGAAATCCGGATTTCGAAGACTGATTTCGTAGGTAATCCGGATTTTTTCGGAAAACTAAATATTGCTTGTGAGTTGGATGTAATTTGGAGCTATTTCTTGTTGGTGTAGAGTTGTGAAGAAAGAATGGTGTGATATACTATTCGATAGTATATCGCTCCATTTTATCTTATCATTATATCATTTTTTCGATGACAAAGCGTTAAACGCATGCAGATGGCCGGTGGTAGAGAGGCCGAGGCGGAATACTGCTTGTTCTTCGAAATTACGCAAAGAATTTGTCTATCGTGAGATATTCCCACTCTGGAAATCAGTCTTCTTAAATAATATGGGTAAAAAATATTGAACATAAGCCATTAAATATTTCAAAATTCAGTAACGTAGAAAAAATACAAGAACAAAAAAGTTTAACAAATACACCATGAACTGTCAATTAAATGTAAAAAAAATATCAAACGTATGTATATTTAGAAATAACCTAACAATTTTTTTTATATGAAATAAAAAATCATTTAACCCATTGAGGATTCTGTTGTATACAAAATTCCAAAAAACTGTTTGCGGAAGCGTGAATAAAAATATCTTAAAAATCCGCATCCGATTTTAAAATCCGGATTTCAAAATCTAGTAAAAATCCCAGAAAATGCGGATTACATTCCTTAATTGTAATTAGGTGCTGGTGAAACTACAGGCGCATGGAACTTGTCAACTTATGTCTCAGGGTGACGGGCACAGTGGCAGTGCCCCTCTCAAATCTTTGTGATTGAAAACTCTGAGTGGCACTGCAACTGTTATGGACAGGTGTCTCGCTTACCACCAGGCGCACGACATGTTCGTCCCGTCACTTGATAATATATTAAAAAAAAGATGACAGCTTCAACAGCAGACATATATCCATCTATCCTCTTTCGAAGTCGACGACTACGTTCATTTCCATTACTTGTAGCGGTATTTTTTTTTATTCGGTTCACAAAACTGGATACAATTCAGATACAAACTTGTAAGGGTCAAAATTATATTTGAAAATAAATCCACTCCTCCCGTGTAGAGGCTACCTACGTGACATAGGCGGAATTTACAAAGAGACAGAACAAGCCACTAATAAATAAAGAAGAAGAAGATACAAACTACAAGTATTTCATTTATATAGTGACACGATAAGAACGTATCCTACTTGATGTGAACACAACATGCAAAAGAGGCCAAAATAACTATATAAGTATCAAAATATGAAATACGTGACAGTAACTCTAAATTTCAAGTATTTTAAGAAAACTCAACAAAGTCTGTCATGTAGTTAACGTAATAGACACTTTGTGATTGAGTTCCTAGACCACAGAACCAGAGAAAATACCGAAATCAAAACGGATACCATTCTAAGAAGAACACATGCGATACAGTGGACGTAATTAGCGATAACCGTTTAATTTATAACCACGAAGGTCTTAAATTTTGTGACCTTCAGCCGACGACTCAATTTGTATACGTTACTTTCAGAGCTGGAATCTCAAGATCCGTCGTTCGAGGACGACGAGACAGCGGACTACTTCCCGCGCACCAAGCAGACCATACAGATGCTCATGCGGGATCTGGAGACGATGGAGGAGCTTGGTGTTATCACATAAACTTACTCATCTACCATTTGCATAATGTAGTGTTATATTTAAGGTCTAAAGGTTTCTGAGTTTAGTTCCCACAACATAGTTTTTGCAAGAATATGTTCAAAGGCAATTTGTACTTAGTATGTTTACAATGTGTCATGAATTCATGATTTACCCAACGAGTATTTAGTTATTAGCAATATACATATATAAACGAAAATATTGTACGGTTTATAACGTTATATAGGTACTTCTGATTTAAATTTTTTTTCTATAAAAATAAACTCCATTTTCCTTACATACTAAAGTTAATAAGGCACGATACAAATAACAGAAAATGCAACAGCTATAGTCATCGAGTATGTGACCAGAAATAGAGACGAAATGAATGTCATTTAATTGTGACAAATGCGCTCCGGTTGGCCAGCCCGAATTTGAAACAATTGACGGGTGTCGTCAATTGTTTCTCTTCAAATTGACCAGCTTAACTTGAGCTTTGCTAGTTGCTTTGATGATGAAATGTGATTTCGTTTGTTTTGTAATTAGATGTTTTGCTGTTTTTTCCCACACCACCGAATGGAATAGCCCCCATAGTTGGAAATATCTTTATTACAATAAATACAGAATATTTTTGGAATATTCTGAGACGTACACACATTCGCTGTATTATTTCAGCGCAAACGAGAGTTGATATTTAAAAGTGATATCAGTACAATTCACTGATGGGTTTTGCCAGGGATGCATTATTTCGTCTCTATTTCTGGTTATATATTCGATGGCTATGGTATAAAGGTTTAGGTACTTAACTAAATGTAAACAAACTTCAGCAAAAAAAATGGTATTTTGACTTACAACACATTACAAATGTATCGATCGTAGTCGTAATGAATGACGTCGGGGTTAACCGGTTAAATACGATGTTAGGTTCGTACGTTGCATTACTGCTGTACTCTTTGATTTGGTCACGTGTTATTAGCTGTCTTATCTTTGTAAAGGATTCGAAGATGAAAAAAAATTTATGAATCATCACAGGACATTGGCGAAATTGTTATTTTTTTTGTATAATTTTTATAATAATACTAAACTACCGTACATAGTTATTTTTACTTGACATTGGCAAAATCATTGATTATTTCGATGGGGCCATAACATTTAAAAGAAGAAGAAGAAAGGCTTCGAACTCTTGGATTTTTAGGTTGTTTATCGTAAGGAAAGTTGTGATATGTAATATAAAACATTTTTATTTAAATATTTAATCAGTGCCGTTTAGATTTCTGCCGTCCACTAACTAACACGCGGTTAAGCGACAAATGGTTAAAAATTTGTTTTAAAGAGCAATAGATAGATAGATTACAAAACTCTCTTAAAAACAGTTAAAATTACGTGTACACGTGACATATCGGAAGTTACCCTAACGATGCATAGTCGCGTTTTAGTTAGCAGATTTATAGAATAAGTAGTTCAAAAATTTCTCTAATAGCTGGAAATATTATCATATATTTTAACGCACACACTCAACGTACCCCGCACTAGGGAAACCCTGTGTCGCGGGTGCCATGGACTTGGATACTCAGGGTCGTATTCTAGAACTCTACTCAATGCTCAAGTCAGGATTTGAATATGGTTTAAAGCACTCGAAATCATACTCAAGTTCCTGCCATTAGGGTCGTATTTCCAGTGCTTGTGTTGCCAGTGCAATCCTGACTTGAGCATTGGATAGAGTTCTAGAATACGACCAATAGACAATCACAAATTACACCCAAACTCACGAGATAAATAAATATAGGCCATACAAATATTTCTCCTGAGACTTCTGCGTGGCAGTGCGACATGGTAACCGTTCGGTCACAGAGGCAGTTAATGTTAAGTGTATGTTAAAAATGGTATAAATATACCATTTTCAAAAAATCATCATGCAATAAGTAACCAGGTAATGCGTCATAGAATACCTCATTTCCGTTTGTTTATATTTAGTTTATTACCCTAAACCTTAGTATAGAGGACTAGTCTACGTAATATAATTCACCAGTTGGTTTTTAGTAAAGGCAGTACTGTTGACAATGCTATTATAGAGCAGCCGCGTGTGCGCACCTTCAAGAAGCAGTATACGAATAATGGCGTGGAAGTCATCCGTATGCGCTTCTGCAAATATCATCCTGAAAGCATTGTTATATTGCACCTTCAAGATATTCAAAGTTCTCTGTATATTCAAACTTGCAGCCATAGGAGTGCAACAATTAACTTGTCAGTCATTCGCGCAAATGAGCTATCGCGCGTTCAAGCTTTCGCGCAAATGAACGATCGCGCATTTAAGCTTCGCGCAAGTGACCATTCGCGCAAATGAACTATCGCGCATTTAAGCTTTCGCGCAATCGTCTTCGCATTATCGGCATTCGCGTAATCGGCATTTACTAATATAAATCTAACCATAATACGTTCTGACGCGTCACGACACGACACGACACGACACGTCGGAGAAATGAAAATGTACTCTTTGGAGAAATGTAAATTCGGCTTTAACCGGCATTGAAGTCTTGTCTTTCCAGCTCAGTGCTGCCATTTAAACATATTGGTATAATTAATTGTAAACTTGACACTTTTCTAGAATTGATCTGTTTGTTAAACTTTTGAGAAAAGTTATAGGCTATGAAGTGATTTTGTAAATATAAGTTTAATTCAAGTCGTTATTAGTATTAATTTAGTATATTTTGCAAAAATGCATTTTCAAGCATACTTCTATGTACCCAACCATGTATGTATATGAAATTATAATACACGAGAAGTTGTGGAAAAACATGAACTGTTGTTTAATTTGGCGTATATTGAATACTATTGTACGCACCAACCAAATACCTCTGTAAATTTATCGTCATCAGGACAACATGTCTTGATAAACTAATTTGTCATATTATCTAAAAATAAAACTATTTCGCCGTGTATAACGTTTTCTTCTCTAAGGCTCAATTTATATTGCGGCGGAACGGAATGGAAGCGAATTTATGTAACGATATTGCATAGAGTAAGCTTTATGGTTAATTGTGTAACATACAAACTTGATACGAGTCAAAAATCGCAAGTCTTCGATTTTTCCGCGGATGCTCGGGAATTCTGCCGTCGGCGACGGTTGGCGGCGCAGTGTGACGTCAAAGTTTAAAACACTACAACCGCAGGGCGAGAAAGCTCGTGAATGCTCGGACATTCCTGAGATTGCGCGCGCCTTTTTTTAAATTGACGCTTCCGTTCTGCCGCAATGTAAATTGAGCCTAAATAGGGTTTCAAGAACGTGAACAATTAGAGATTGATAGAACTCATAATGTAAATACTAAGACAAAATATATGCTTCAAAAAAATTTATTATATATAAAGCCTTAAAATAATCGGAATACAAAATTAACCCTCATAGAATTTGGGTAGCTGATCTCCCAAGATGACAGATCGTTCCACACCTTTTTCAGTGATCACACCAAGACGTACCACACCACCAGAGGAACCATCTCTGAGAATGGCCAATGTCAGTGTCTTAGTGACAAAGTCCATGGCCTCTTGTTGAGTCATATCAGGTTTGAAGTTAGCATCAACATAGCCATATACGTAGGAAGAACCAGAGCCTCCAATTGATACATTCTGACGTGACAGCATTCCTCCGATTGGAACAGAATAGATTTGACCTGGAGATAAGAAGCAATTGCTATATTTCTTGAAATATAGTATAAATAAATTATAAAACTAGTTTAGTTTATTATCTTTATGTCTCAAGGTGACGTGTGCAGTGGCAGTGTCCCTCACATTGTTGTGATTTAAAACTCCACTTTGCAAGCATTGTGTGTTGCTTGGATTGATGGTTAAACAAATTAATCCTTGCCAAGCCTCTGACAGGAGCCCTATAAAATAAATTTTAGTATGGACCAAGAACCAATTATTTCTCCATGGCATGGCAGAGTTTATGTAATTTTGCTGAGTTGATAAATTCATGTCAAACAATTTCTAATCAAACTACTGCATGTAAAATTGAATAAAACGATCATAGGTACCTCCATGCTTCTTATCCCATCCAGCAACTAGAATACCAGCCACCAGCTGGTCTCTATAGTTATAACAAAGCTCACGGAAGATAGCCGAAGCTGTCTTGACCAGAGGCTTCTCACCAAGCTCCATTCTGTGAAAATCTGAGCAAATGAACAGTTTATTATATTGGGACAGCTTACTACAATGTGCAGGCCAGATCTTTATTGACAATGTATAACAGAGGTTTAAATTATTCATTATGAAGAAAAAATATGATACAAAGGTACATAGAGATATTGGTAGTTAGATATTGTATATCCTATATATTTTGTTACCTAGATATTTACTATGTTTTTTTCAAAGACGTTGCCATTTTTAATAAAATTTTAAATAGTCATGTAATTAAAGTGAACGGTTTTTGTGCTAGATAGTGAAAAGAGATAAGAAATTGCAGAAACACATGTTTAGTGAATGTTAGAAAATCCACACCAATTGCCTGGTTTCAAACTAGGGAATTCCCTGTACTATGAGTACCAGAGCAACGGAATTCTGGGGCACAAAATTGGTCCGGCCAGGAATCGATACCTGGGACTTCTGCAATAATTCTAACAATTAATAATTGCGTTATTGCCTTCTTTGTATTTTAATAATTTATTTCGCCCACATTGTGTGTTTGACATTTTTATAAATCTGAAATAAACATATAGTTACATAAAAATGCAGTTACAGTATAATATATTTAAAAACCCATTCCCTTTTTACTTTATTTTTTATATATGCATGTGATGTGAATGTGTAATTTGTGTTGTCCCTTTTTAGATTCTCATCATATCCAATGGATCTCTGGCTATTCAACCGTACATAGTCACACCAACGTAAAAGTGTCTTTTTCAACCCTGACATTGGCACAATCATCTTGAAAATTGATGGAGCTATTCATTGACTTACAAATAAATGGACGACGGGTCTAATACAAAAACCACGAAAAAAATGTCCCAAGTCAACCTATTCGAAATTTAAATTGTTATGTCATCGCAGTATCGCCCTGTCCGTAGAACAAATGAAGACTAAAGCGGAGTGTCGCGCTCTGTATACGATTTTAGCGCCTTACAAGTGCGGACACTTTTTAGCGCGGACCCGACGTCCATATAATTGTAAGTCAATGGAGCTATTATAAAGAAATTGGAATTGGCCTGAATATTAGACATCACATATGTTGCTCTGACCCCAAAGTAAGTAACAAAAGCACTTGTGTTATGGAAATTTGGAACGTAATATGGAATCCCAAACACTCAGCCCTGAGACACCGGACTGGGATCAAACCTGGGGACTTCAGATGATGGCGACGCTAGGAAAACCAGTAGGTAAGCCACTCAACCTTGCAGATGATATTCAAATGATACAAGTTTGGCTATTTGTTGTGTGAGTGTGATTAATATCTAGTTATTATTATTATTATCACTGATTATTTGCAAACTAAGTAACTCCCTATACCATTTGTATGCTGAATGGCTAGATCAGACCTGAAATGAACATGTTACTCACTTAAATGATACTTGACAATATCAGCAATAGCCTGTGTATCGGCGGCAGAACCGGAGCGACAGCAGTAAATATGATCAGTGATCTTGGTGAGTTTGTCCGTTACTCTATTTGCGATGTACGCCCCTGTAGTGGTCCGGGAATCCGCTCCAATCACCACCCCACCGTCGAACACGCAGGCCATGATCGAAGTACCCGTGCTATGAGGAGCATTCATCCATTCCGCAGAGTACGGATCTGCGTATGTATTCACCACTGAAGCGGCCATTTTTCTGCAACTTTACAAATGTTTTGTGTTTATTTAGAGCAAACTAGGTAGTTTAAAACAATTTGTAGTACAAATTAACTTTCAAAATATGTAGCATCATCATGCCAGGTTAGTTTGTTATATGAATTTAGATCAATATAAAGCATTGTGGTAGAGATCGTTGATAATGATGTATTGGAAAAACAAAAGTAAATCAATTTTGTGGTAATACTTACACGATTTAGTCTTGAAATAGAGAAAAATTAAATATTTTTTGAAAGTCACGATATTGCTCCGGCAAACTGCTTGTCACTGTCAAAAAAAATTTTTTAACAGTTATTACGACACTGGGTACTTTGAATTTGATCTACCAGTCAAATGTTATTATGGTTCAGCAAGTTTTCAATCAGAGATGTTAGTGGATTATAACCTTTAGAGCATAATACTCAAAGTTAAAACACAATCCAACCGCCAGGTATTATACCCAAAACCAAAGCATGTTTAACCCATTTCTTCCCAAAATCGTTAATTAAACCATTATATTCGGTTTCAACTTAATTGTTGTGAATAGTTTTCGGGCATTATTGAATTTGATTTAAATCAATAAGAATTCTTTTGTCAAAATCTATCTCTGGATTTAGGAAATATTATCAATGTATTAAAGTTGGACAACTTCTTTTTTATTTAGTAAATATTTTTTTAAATGTGTAAGGATCATTACGGTTAATTAACTAGTTAGAACATTTTACGTATAAAAGTATCACATTAGGCTGTGACTTGATAATAGTTCAAACTATGCATTAACCACAGAGAATTTAGTTAGAAACATTTATTAATTGTTATACAGCTCTGTTTAATATTTTAATTATAAAATTGTTAGAATACCTCTTAATATTATTTTAAGTATGGTTATCTGAATCCAAGGTTATAAAATAAAATTTTAAAAAAATGTCTGGATCAGTCGAAATTCTAATAGATGGCGTCGTTTGTCGAAAGTATTCTTGATTGTACATTTGGTAGTTCTGACATTCCCGTCATAATTCTGGGTACTATTAACATCTTCAATCATATCATATCAATTAAAGCCAAACAGCTACGCTGAAAAATATGGCGGTAATTACAGTCAATGATAAACTAACAGTAATTTACGGCGCCATCTACTGACGACAATTTGAACTTTCTTGTTTGGCGCTTATCTAAGTTCGGAGTTCTACAAAAAACAGGGTAGATGGCACTCTGTGTTTTCCCAGTGACGAATAATTTATAAACGTTTTAACTTATTTCATAAAATATCTTTACTTTTTGTACCCATGTTGCTTTTTAGCTTTGCATGACGAAGGACGGTAGGACTTCAACCCCAGATCGACTAATTCATAATATTACTCTCCGACCACTAAGCTACGATTTATATATGATGCATTTCATTCATTCTGCTCCATATTATCATTAAAATGCTTTTGATGTTTGTTTATAAGACCTTGGCGAGATTTAATTTTCAGAAATCCTCACTATGTAGCAAACAGAAGTTAGTGGAAGATTGTAAATTTATCCACAATATGATAGCAATAGCTATCATAGCTTAGATTCTCTTACAAACACCTAATAATTGTGCACTTACATGTTACAAAAAATAAACAATCTTCATAACCAACTTTGATAAATAAACCAATCAACATCATGTAGGTAAAAATGCATTTATTCCTTAATTTCTCAATATTACTACAATGTAAAGATTTGTCTATAATATCCCTGGCAGTGTTGGCAATGTTTAAAAAGATGGTATGTACTACAATTGAATTTATTGCTTTTTCTTGTGTTGAATCTTGACAGACTCCGTAATACGTATTTCCTGTAAAAGTATACTATTTAATTGTTCAGTAAAGGCATTAAAAGAAAATTTTGCCTCAAATCTTTTTCTTCCAGCTTCTCCAAGCCGTACTCCAAGTTCTTGGTTTAAAACCAGTGTTTTCATAGCCTCGGCAAAAGCATCACTTTTTGGTTCACAAAGAAATCCTGTGATATTATTGACTATTGTTTCTGTAGGACCTCCGCTATTAACAGCTATGACAGGTTTACTAAAGTACATTGCTTCTAAAGGAACTATGCCGAAATGCTCATTAGATGGTGTATAAACCAAAGCTTTGCAGTTATAGAGAAGTGAAACTTTCTCAACCTCTTTTGGAGATTTCATAAACGTCACTTTGTTTTCAATATCAAGTTCAGCTGCTAATCCTGTTAATTCATTATAATGCTCTATATTTTCTAAATTGATAGGGTCATATCCACCAGCCATAATTAGATGAACGCGATCCCAGTCTTGTGGAGCCAGCTTATGTTTCAAATGTTCAAAGGACTTTAATGCTAGTTCCAAATTTTTCTTTCGTTCATATCTGTTTATGGAAAGAAATACAAATTTGTCTTTTCCAATCGATATTATATCTTCAAGTGGTTTATGGGCAGAGTTTTCAAAAAATTCAGTGTTTATGGAAGGGTAGCAAATATCAGGAATTTCTTTAATTTTGTTGAAAGCTTTCATGTAAACTTTAGCTGTGTATCTACTGTTAACTATGACTTTATCTGCTTGAGCTGTTGTAAATTCTTCTAGCCAATTTAATGGCGCCCTATAAAGTTTTTTTAAAATCCCGCCTTTTTTCGTCAATAGCTTATCTGGATGATGGCAGTAGAATATGATTCGGAAGTCCCCATTACCCAATTTCAAAAATGGAATGCATAAGGAAATCAAATCACAGAATATCATATTAGGTTTCTGTTTAGGTATCACGTACCAGGTTAGATATATCGCCGCGTAGACGATACGAAGATAAGCACACGCTGCTTTGAATTTTCCTAGTATTGATCGCGGAATCCAGTCTCCGACTACAGTAACCGGAAACGTACCATCTCTGGTTTCTGCAAAGCAGTGGGATGGGTCGTGGTGGTTTGTATAGAATGATACATCGTGACCTTTCTTCTTGAAGGCCAGCGCGGCGTCGAGTACAAGTCTTTCGGCTCCGCCTATACCCAAATCTGGATGGAGGAATATTATTTTAGCCATCGTGGATCCACCACGTGATTTCAGTACACGTCATACGAAAATTCACTTGTTCAATTATGTGTAATTACTCCTAGAAACAAAAAGTGAAAATTTGTAAAGCAAGGTCAACTTCAACTTCAACTTTTGTGTCGCAAAAATGTAAACAACCTAACTGTCAAACTGCGTTCCTGAGTACGCAAGGCAAGTTGATGTGAATTTAATCTTATTGCTTTATATTGTGTACGAAGAAATGTTATACACATGTTTTTGTGCTTCAAACATTGGGTCATAGAAAAATTTCCATTTGGAAAAAAATAATATTTTTCCGGATATTTTTCCTATATTGTTCCCTTAAACTATTTTCTATCCTCTAAAATTGTTCCACATTTGACGTTGACATCTGTCAAAAGTTGAAGTTACTGAACGAAAACGATGGAGCCAATATAAAGGTTTTTTCGCTGTTGTCTAATCATTTTAGATATCGTTTTTCTATACTTATCTTGCTTTTACAATTACACTTTTATTTTATAATTCACGCTAAATAAAATTCAAAAGATATTTGTAAACGAAGAACATTTATTATGAGCCTTCGAAATATTATATACTTATCCAATTTTTCTAGTTTTTCCGCAATTTTACGGGAAAAATTTCGACTGTTATTTGAAATTCGGAATAATTACCCAAGAGTAATATTGTGGGTTACACTAAAAAGTAATGATAATGTTGATGCTTTTGTAGTAAATTTCAGCTCCGATCACGAAAAAGATTTAAAAGATTCAGCATCAAGTGTTTTCAATTATGTAATAACCTGAGTGAGAGATTGTCTGTTGATATGCTTTCCAGTGGCTGTATCAATTCATACATTTCCAATTCCTGAGTACAAGTACATACATCCTCCAAGTGTGATTACATACTACGTCATATTTGTCGTGTCATATTGGCATGTGGTTTTATTCATTCTATAGCAAACGAAGTAGGTAGGTACTTACATATGGTATTCGATATTCGCAAACATTGTCAAGGGCTGAATGAAATTGCTGCGTCACGTCGCGTGGGTGTCCGCCACTCATTAGCACCCCTTGTCCCACCAAAAAAGACCGTCGAAAAAAAAACAATATTCGCTACGCGCTATTTTGTACACTATTCCGAAAACGATGTTTATTTAAAAGATATAAAAGAGAACTCTGAAAGAGGGGACGTTTTTGATAAATCGTCTTTTTATTCGACATTTTTATTCAAAAGGAATATCGAATTTATATTTATTCATGAAGTTTGCGATTCGCCACCGTTGTTGCAATCGTTGGCGCGTCTTACAATATTTACATAGTTTGACGACACCATTTTGATATTTGTGCAAACGTTCTTTGTACCCATTTGTGTAAAAGTTATTTTCGTCAAAATGTTCAAAGTTATTTTCGTATGTTTAAAAAAAGAAATCATATGTATCTAATTTTCATAGTAAAGTCACTGAAGAATTTGCATTTCAATTAGCGCCGTCATTAAAACGTTTCTTAACTCATTGGCATAGCTTGATAGGATGTTCACGATTTCACACGCTTAACAGCGTTATATTTGTAAACGGCAGTGTCTATAAATAAGCAGATATTCATATTATCTGTCGAATTAGGCAGGTACAAGTATGACAGCAATAGTCAAGCAAATTCTAGAGATAGGGTCTTTCTTGTCGTCATTAGATTTTTGAAAATAGTGGTGAAATAGAAAACAAAAAGATCTTTGATGACTTTAAACGGGGCCGGCAGCAAATTAGCAAACCTTTGAGATTATTACAACAACCTGCGTAATTCCTGACCTTGCATTGTGAAAAGCATTGCCAAGACACTTCTGCACTAGTTACCCATAACACAAATAAAATGACTAAATACGGCATTGCGAGGCGTGGAGATGCCAAAATAACTAAATATTATTCGTTGTTGAAATTTCGATAATGACTAAGTATGGCAGTGTGGATACATTAAAATAGATTCTATCGGTTTCTGAAACACAGTTCTCCGCCTCGCTTTGGGTCTACTGTCAAAACGTTTCCAGCAGGCTTTTCCCTTGGCGTTGCTCAGCAGCAATAAGTAGGCGTATTATTGAGCCCGACCCATGGAAGTGGCTGTCAATCGTACTTGAATAATGGCGCGTGCGGCCGCGACATTTTGCCTTTTATTTTATTCCATATTGTACTCCCCCGCGACTCCTGCGACTAGACAATGGCCAGATGTTGATATTTTTTCTATATTACAACGTATTTTATAAGTTTCTATTGCATTGTGATGGTCGTTTCCGTTGGTCGCTCTACGGACAAGGGTAGCGCAGTGATCTGTAATGATGTGATATGACAATTATAACTCACTGAAGTTACATTTCGATGTTCATCTGTTGTACTTTATATGTCGTTATATAATAATCATTACTCTATAACATCAACTTCATTTTACAAACAACTAAAACGAAATCAAAGATTTTCATGATTACTATAATAAATGAAATATTTTTGGACAGATTGATTAAGCTCTAAGTATGTACAACCTGTACTTAAATATGTGTTTTTTGTTAGTTGATATTGGTAAAACGAAATACTTAATTGTATCATTACCATTCTTTTGAGTGAAAAACTAAATGTTTAGCGAATGGAATTTGTAGGAGTTTCAAAATGGCCGCCGTGAAGACATAACGATTTCCCGCGAAAAAATATCAGAAAATCAAACCATTGAAGAAATGTAAGACCTAGGCCCTGATTTTAATTCAAATTGGAATCGATCCGATCGGGTAGCCAACCAGCAATATTATACGCCTCGACTCGGAAAAGACGCAGTTTTCGATCGCGAGAAGCAATCAAAATCAAGCTGTTGGCAATATAACGAATTTAACTTGTCCCGAAAGACGAAAAATTTTACTACCATGGAATTTGTACTTGAAAAAAGTTTAATCAGAATCAGAAAATTTAAACATTTACTACTTGTAAGTCTTATTTGCAAATAAAATCTCCGTGGCCCTAGAACACATAGGATTTTTGTATTGGTCGCAAAAAGCGAATTACGGCTCATTTTCACTAGACGATGATTTACGACGACTCTTAACCGCGCAGGATTTATTGTTTGCATTATCGACTAATGTAAACAATCAGTTTGCATCAAATTGTCTTTTGATTTTCTAACTATCATTTGAAGAAAAAGATCGTCATGAATAAATAACATGTTAGGGAATGGTCACAAAACTTCGTTTAAGTGTAATGGTCACCAACCTGCGCTGGGCCAGCGTTAAGGAGTAGGTACCGCTGTCTCCTTGGAGGAAATATGAACAAATGCTGAATATGAATTTTATTAATCATGTACATTATTTATTTTCTATTTCGTCAGTTTCCCAAAGCTTATGTTATGTGGTTTAGGAGCCGCTACAGTAGTTTATCATCGGGCGCGCGACTTGTTCGTCCCGTCACTTTATATTATAAAAAAACAAAAAATATTGTTTTGCGCTGAATATTACTAAAATTTGAATTTGAATGAAAAATAGATTTATTAGTACTTCGTGCGTTATTTTTTATTTAAATTTATTTTAATATATTTTGCACGTTTTAGAAAAACGTTATTTTGCGAATATCGTCCCAGTATTATTGAGGATGTGGTGTGATATATATTAGATACATAATTATAGTCTGCTAGAAGGCTAACCATAAATATATATCTATGAGGCTAACCCTGCATTGGGCAACTATGAACTATGGCTTTTTCCACAGGAACTCCGCGTCCAGTACCGGCCTTATATAGTTGACGGTGTGGCGTGTGTATAGCGAAATCCATATAAAGTAACATTTTTAGGAAACTGACGAAATAGATTTAAAAAACCAACGAACGTTGCACCACTCAAACATGCCGTTTGGATGGCGCCAAATATGACTAAATTGAATTTGACATAAAACACAATTTATTAGTTTTATTTCGTGCGTTAAAAATAACATAAAATGTAAATAAAAATTGAAATATATTTTGTCAGGTGTTCAAAAATGTTACATCGCACATTTCATCACCACGGTTGAAGCTGCGATAATATGTATAGTCTGTTAGAAGGCTTACAAAAACCGTGGCTTTCTTTCGGAGGAAATTGACGTCCATTACTCATATGGTTGACGATATGGTGTATGTATAAAGAAATGCATATAAAGTAAAAATGTTCAGGTAACTAATAAAATGGTTAAAAAAGAACTTACGTGTCACCAGCCTTTTGGTCGGTGCCAAGTGTGATCAAATTCAATTATTGTAATGAAAGAAAAAGATCCCTTACTTCTTTTGAAGGCTGTAGTTTATCAGCTGATTGAATATATAAAAATAATTCAAAAAGAACGCCACTATCTTCAATCAGCTTGCCAAACTTTGCGACTAAGGACTCATTACTTCTTTCATAAGCTGCTAACAGGTTGACTGCACGTTTGCAGTTAATGCTTGAAATAGTAATCAACTTCATGCAGCCGAGATCTCTATTGCACAAAGTTGATAACGACTTTACGCATAACTGTATGCAGTCTATCTCGGAGAAGCCGTTATCTGAGATCTCGACTGCATGAAGTTGACAACGACTTCACGCATTAACTGCAAACATGAAATCAATCTGTTAGCAGCGTATCTACTCATTATTTCTCTCCTTTTGAGAAGATCATGTCAGCAGTTGACTATTACAAGCTACCGTTGTGTAACTTGCGATAACTTTAAATTACATGGTATAAACAGTATAGTGGCATTTGTATTCGGTTTCCATGTTACACCTACAGAAATCCTTCCGACGTGCAACGAAGCCAACAAACTTCACCATCGTCGTGTGACCAACTTGACCCATTAGTTTATTACTCAATACAACTCGAGAAACCTATTAAAGTAAAATACCTTTTAGCTCTAACCAACTACGTCCAATGAAAAGCTTTGATCGCAAATAATTTTTAGTTTCTAGTTTCTAATGTCTAAGATATATATATACACAATGATACATTAGGTAACAAAGTACTAGATAGTATATGGTAAAATATTGTAAAGAATCACTGATTTCTCAGTAGTTACTATGTGTGTGCGGTAGGTGAATATAGGGAATGTCC